ACTCAGATGGGATATTTCAATGCAGTATGGTAAATCCGATAGTCTGTTGACGGCTTGCGCGAGATCTGCATTGGGTGGGCTGGGTAACGAGCATATCAACTTGATCACGCGACCCAAAAGAGGCCATCACAATTATTCAAGGCTACGGGACGGCATAGGCAGTGACAAGCGAAAGAGAATGAGATTCAAAAATAACAGAGATGTTCATTGGACTATGTACAAGTGAGACAAAATGCAAACGTACGATTAGGCTCAGTTACTGCATATCAACAACAGATCAGGCTGCGTCAATAACCATGCCCGGGACAACACTTCCAGTCGTCGTAGGGCCCTGATATCCTTTTCTTGCACTTCCGAACCACCAAAGACTAACCAAGAAAGTTAGACCGCCCCAAATAACGCAAGTATAGTTCATGCTCGCCGCACTTGTAGGCAAAGCATAAGGGAAGCAGTAGATAACGCTCCAGATAAGAAGATAAGCACATGCAATGCCATTAATAATAAAACCCCAGATACCATGCATTCTGAAGGGTCCATAAGCAATGTTCTTTCGTCCACTGAGGAGATTAGGTAGGATGCATGCCAAGAACGAACAGCTGCAGAGAAGAATAAAGGTTCCGACGAATGCATTGAAGGCTGTTGTGCTACCGACATAGATAGCGCCAAGGACTGAAACCAGGACAGCTGTGACGATGGTAGACCAGAGAGGCATGTCGAGAGACTCCTGGACATGGCCTAGCACTCCAGGGAAAGGAGTCGCGCCATCACGGGCAAGGGCCCAGAGCGTTCGACCGCAGGTGATGTAGAGTCCAACGACAGTCAAGGCAATGCAGATCATAACCAGTGATAGCAGCCCGGTAGCACCAGCTGCGGAGCCGGTAGCTTGGCGGTAGATCTCGGCGATGGGATATGCCGATTCGAAGAGAGCGTCGTAGTCGTTGATGGCGTACATGATGGCAATAAGGTAGCAAAGACCAGTGACGAAACCAGTCGCGACCTGGAATAAGATGGCGATGGGGACATTTCGGCTTGGGTTAGGGATCTCCTCTGCCAGTTGAGTTGTCGCGTGAACCGATCCAACACTGTACGCTCCGTTGAGCATACCAGCGACAAAGACAAACCCATCCGGATATCCAATATCAGCAGTCCAATCTTTCCAGACAAACGCCGAACTAGCATGCGGCGGACGACCTCCTCTTCCAGGCATGACAGTAACAGTGATGACCGTGATGATGAAACCCGCCAAGATGATGAAAACTCCAAACTTGTTCAGCCCCGGCATAGCACTGTTCCACAGACAAACAGCCGCACACGATAACCACGTCGTGATGATATACGTGATAAACACATGCCACGACTCAGCCACAAAGCCCGGATGATTCAAAGCATACATCTGAACAAGCGTATTCGCAAGAATACTCGACATGCTAGCACACCCAAGACACCAAGCAAGATAATTCCACCATCCCGCAAAGAACCCAATAACCCTCCCCCACTTCGGCCCAGGCGTAACAGAAGCCCAGTGATAGACACCAGCAGATGAAGGAATAGCGCTAGCTAGCTCTGCAACGCTCGCGGCGACTGTCCAGTAGAACATAGACACCACGATGAATTCGTAGAGGACGCCTGGCGGACCGCCGTTGAAAATGGCGACGAGGATGGAGCCGCCGATGGCGGGCCAGACGTTGCCGACGACGAGGCCTACGCCTGCTAGGGAGAGGAGGTTGAAGTTCTGGGGGAGTTCTTGGACGTGGCCGGAGGCGTTTATGGGGACTTCGTTGTTGGTGATTGATTTGGCTGCATCGTGGATATCGTCATCTCTCTTGGCGGTAAAGTCCGCCTTTGAAGTAGTGTCACTCATATCGACAATAGTCTTCCAACAATCTCGGAGCACCAGGCGAGAAAAGAAGATGGGAGATGAATAGCAGGAGAAGGGCGAGATTTTAAGTCATGGTTTATCAAGCCCCGGACGTTAGAGACCCGAAACTACGGTTTAGCCTGTCGCATGTTCCTTCCAAAAGGAGTTTAAACGCGTTTCTCCAATCTAATCTCTCCCCAGAATTGAGGTCTTGGTCGCGGAGATAGGGTGTTGACTTATTTCCCCGACTGGTCTGGGCGCCGAATCTGGAACGTGGTTAGTGGCGAGGGTCTTATCTGATGGTTGGTCTGAGGGTTTGGAGTGTCGGCTGTGGTTTCCAAATGGGATTATGGTGTAAAAAACATGATGGAGGTGAATCGGGAGGTTACCGATGAATGAGATAGTGATCACGCGATGCGAAGTCGGAGCTGAAGAACGGTGTTTCACTACGGTTGAATTACACTAATTCGAGTTAAGACGACACAGATATTTCTCTTCTACTAGATATTCATCATCGTCAATCTTGTTCTTGAGCTCTTGAGCTCCAAATATCGTCAAGTGGATCAAGTTCTCCTCGGAGTCCGGGTTGACCCCAAACCAGTCTGGGGTGCTGATACGACCTATCGTGCGGGGTAATTTCTATTACTCATCGACTCCAGTAGCTTCAGAGTCTAGGGTAGTTTAAAGCAGTAAATTCATCGTTAACAAAATAGCAACATAAACGCGTCACAGACCCCGAGGAAGGTCTGGAAAACCCTGTTCATGACTGTATTCGTGAACATATTCGTGACGCCACTTCGTTGTCGTTCGTGGCGTCCGTTGTAAAGCTATTGTTATCGTACAATTTCGAATCTCTGAGCTCAACTACTGCGCAGATATAAATGTACAAACGTAGGCCGTCATTTGACGATCATATTATGTTCCAGCTTAGGACACCAAAGTCAATTTACCTGACACTCCAATTCAAGGCACAGTCTGAATCACAAAACTTCGGACAGTTCTATTGCAATACTGTCCTGCCGGAATCTGTCGCTCCTTTGGTAGGTTGAGCGGTAGGCCGCGTTATCTTATCGGAGTGTTATCAAAACTTATCAGCTTATCAAAAACTTATCATGCTTATCGTCTATCGGCAAGTATTTTTAGAACTTCCCGAATCCCGACGATCTCTATGACCAAGATCATCCGACATATCCATCTGAGTTATGTTCTGATCGAATCTGGCATAATCTGAGTACATCAACATCTGATACCTGCTGACTGACCTCAGATACATCTAAAGGAGGCTAGCTTTCCAAAAAAGCTCAGGCAAGATCGAATGTTGTAATCTTTCATCTCATTTTTCAGCGCTCAGTAGGTATTTCCCATCGGCGACGCAGCCCAATCATTCTCGAATCGATGCCAGCCACCATATTCCGGCTCGCTTCCCATATACAGACTATGCACGACCATATCGTAGTATCCATCTGCAGGGGTCTTACCGCCGCAAACATTACCTCCCATAGCAACGTTGAGAAGAATAGTCATCTCCCTCAATGGCCTTGTACCTTCGGGGATATCTCCCTTCATAACAGGTCTACCATCAATATACCAGATCATTCTACCCTGGCCAGGCTGTCCACCTGACTGGAGCCATGCAAAGTCATACCTGACCGGGCGATGCTGCATGTCGGGGATTTTAGTGCCGAGAACACGATGTTTGTGAGGTTCATGGTGGTGACCCCAGTGCAGACAAGAATGATTCTCAAGATCTCCATTCCACGTCTCCGCAATGTCCACCTCACCATCTGTAGGCCACGAAAAAGGCTCCTGGGGAAGAAGCCAGAATGCAGGCCAGATACCCGTCGCACAGGGTGAAGTAATCCAGGCGGTGAGGACGCCCTGATCCCTAGAGAGGGTCTGCCGACTCACCAAGCGAGCAGAAGTATACCGCTTCTCATGGTCCTCAGAAGAATTATTCGCAACAGCTCTCAGTACCAATTTCCCATCAGGAGTGCTGTTTAGTTAGATAACAGTAGCTTCTTAATATAGTTAGACTTGGACCTACTAGAAGGCATTTTGTTGATCGGCGGTGTAGTACTGTAATTCCTGATTACCCCAGCCATCCGGGCCGTTTCCGATCTTTGCATCCCACTCTTGGGTGACGGGGACATCAGGCCGGAATTGAGGTTGCCAGTAGACGTGGCCTGGCTGCTGGCCGCCGATGGGTTGCTGAGGTGGAGGAGGTGCAGGCGGTGGGGGATGTTGTTGATTCTGAGCTTGCGGTTCACCGACTAGATTTTCGAACTCATTCTTGAGACGCTTTAGATGGTCTTTCCACGGCATGATGATTCTTCAAATGGATTGATGTGAAAATATACAAGGAATGGGGAATGGTATTGAAGATTCGTCATGATAGAGAGGGGTTTAGTCAAGGGTTGATATCGTCAAGTTGAGAACTTGGCATGACGTCACGAGCTTGCGTGGTAGGGTGGCTGGAGCAAGCAGCCAAGCCCAACAGCAATTCTCTATTCTATGCTTGAGTCGGAAAAATGAAGCTATCTAGAAATCATGGAATTTCCTAAAAGAGTGGAATATTCCGTGGTTACAACCTTCAATTTTTAACCCGAGAACACCGTGCAAAATGGTCAGATACACAGACCATTTCCCGTAACCAGAAACACGCTGAACCGAGAATCAAGGAATTGAAACATTCCTCGTCAGCGATTCAAAAAATTTCAGCAATTGAAGTTTCAAGATACAATCGGGCCTTAACAAGGCGAGCACAGAGAAAAGCCGGTGAACCTTTTAGCGATTGCCTGATGAGCGATCTGGGATCGGATACCGCGGTTCAGTTTATCATCCCCTGGCGATGGAAAGGGCGGAATCGGGATCCGCCGAGGCCAAGCATCAGATGGTTTGTGGTACCTGAAAATTTAATCCATGGCGAACTCCGCTGGAATAGATGATCTACATGCCATTATTTGAGCCTCACCGTAGATAAACAAGATTAGAAAAGGTGATCATCTACGTACCAGTAACAATGTGTGCGGTACAGGCAATCTGTTTCACCTTGAGGCTCTTGACACATATAATGGCCTGACCGACAATTCCTGATACTGAAGAAACATGTAAAAACGCGTATGATTTCGTAAAATTTGATACGCAGAAACTTAATTGCATATATTTAATAATAGCCCTTGTTTCATTATTACCCGCGCATCTCATGTTCGCCCACTGTATTCCAACTCAGATCTCCTCATGGCCCGATTGCACCGCTTGATTGACTCCCCGGAAGCACCCGACCAGGGGTTCCAGACGAGGAATCATCGGACCACCAGACGGCCTCGAAACGCCGCTCTCACCACGCGATTGACGGTTATCGATAATGCAAGATACGGGCATTTTTGGTGAGACGATATGGTATATAATGAACAAGACATCATTCTAGATTTTGGTATCATCACTCTCAAGCTCATTAATTACTGCTGATTGAACTGCATTGCACTAAAATTCACCTGTAATTTCGACCATCTCTGCCACGATAATTATCTCTTCGCAATACCAAAATGCAACCAGTTCTCAGAGTCATGCCCACCGGTCAAAAGTAAGCCCCAACAAAACCCGCCAAGTCTTTCTAAGCTAACAGCGTCAGGATCGTCCCTCTTCTCTTGACAGTCGGCAGCGCCACTGTAGTAGGTGGATGCGTGCGCACACAATTGAAGACACAATCACGGACATTCGATAGAAAATTCAGTCAATACAATACGGCACAAAGTGAGCAGGTATGAGTCACCTTTTCTGCCCAGTTCATGAGTCAGATCAACTAACATACTTGACAGACTATGAAAACTGTTATTCACGAACTTTGGTTAGAGGCTTAGACTTGGAATCTTAAAATTGCGATTAGAATACTGCGGGCACGGTATAGACATCGGAATACAGGCTAGAATGGCGTTCTGGTTTAGGTTTACATATCACGACATAATGACAATATCATGAAGAATTACACGCCATCTTTGCACCGAATGTCAGTCCAGTGATGCAAAACGATCTATTCAAGACAAGGAAAACCATCGCGACGCGACAACCGTAGCGGCGAGTCGCCGATCTGGAGCGAGCGGCTTAGATAGGCAATTCCTTCAAGTCCTTATGAATCTGTGTCAGAATGCTAGGATGCTTCGCCTTGAATCCCATCGCAGTAGCGCGATCGCCCTTCATGAGCATGTTCGAACCGACAAGATACTTGACTTCTCCCTCACCAGCCTGTTCGAACTCAACACTCTTGGGCTCAGGGCTCGAGAAGACACCTCGCGCATGCATCATCTTCGCAAGCTCAGTAGCTAGATCCTTCCATGCGACGTGACTAGTTTCTAGCATATAGAAACGACTGTATGGAGAACCCTCGGCGGGGCCTTGGGCTGCAACTTCGGAGATCTTGACGAGGAAGTCGACTAGGTCTAGAATGTGACACTGCAGAAGTCAGTATGCGTTAGAGAGATAGAGGAGAAGTACGTACTGTGCTTATGACTGCTGTTCCCTCGCCGACGTAGGGGACGTAACCCAGAGGCTTGGCATTTCCAGTGAGAAGCTTATATCCAATGCCCAAAATAGGCGAAGAAATACTCGCACCACCGTAGACAACAGATGGACAAACGATATAGGTATCAATACCATCATCACCCTTCCCAGCCTCAAGAACAAGTGTATCAGACTGCCCATTAAACATCTCCTTATGAATAGCCTTGATATCATCCTCATTCGCATCATTCCAAACCTTACTCTCAGGGTTAAAGTTTCCTGAAGTTCCAAAGTCGATAAAGTTTCCTCCACCGCTGATGTGAATCACTTTACCCCTGGTACCGCGAGACTCTTGACCAGCAATTATAGCAGCGACCGGATCAGCAGTGAAGGAGTTTCCGGCGTTGACGGCGATGTCGTGTTCTGCGCTGGCGGCCTTGACTTTTTCAAAGTCGGAGAAGTCGCCGACCATGACATGGTTTGCGTTGAGTTGAGACTCGGATTGGGGACTGCGAACATAGGCTGTGATAGACCAGTCTGGATGGGCTTGCTTGAGGGCTTTTGTGTAAGGAGCTGGGTACAGGAAGTCAGTGGAGATGGTAAAGAAGCTTGAGAATGGTTGACATACCACCCACGAAGCCAGAGGCACCGAAGACAATTACTGAAGGCATTGTGATGACGTTAAAGTAGAGGAAGTTGTTGATTGAGTGGTTGATGATAGCATTGGTATGAAAGGATGATTGTTTGACAACACAAGTTGTTCAAGTTGTATCTGAAATGGTTGATATACTAGAAGTAGCAGTTTACTGATGTTATATACATGGACGCATGTAAGCAGAGTGTTGCTCCCTCGAATCATAATCCAATGTGTCTCTCACGTTGATACCAGTAACGTTAACATTGTTCAGCCAATCCACCCGCGCCGCATTTACAAATGCACCAGATGACCAGAACACATTCCAAGCACCATATCACCACTGACGCAATAAACATCATACCAACAAAACAATCTCTTAAAGGTAAAAAAGCTCAGTCATCCAAAGCCCCACAGATACCATTTCACCAATCCCTCATCACACCTCGTAACATTTCTAAGCCACTAGCGCAAGTCGCTTTGTAGCTCGGCACTCGGCATTGTAGAAAGTGCGTTAGTAATAGCTGATGGATCCCCTTGCGCGCAGGGGTCTTCAGACTGTGAGTGGACGGGCAACTCGGTCGCGTTATTCAATTCCTCCGTCGACCAATGTCTTCAGCCCTAGCAGGCTGAGCAAACTCCCTTTTGGGGATGGTATGGAGTTTGAGGTGCTGCAGGTGGTCGGATAGATTACGGATTTTAGTGCGGGAGGATTTTGAGATCGTGAATTTGTGTTGTATTCTGCTGGATATGACGTAGAATGAACCAATTAGTGTACTTTGGTTGTAGAATTGGATTCGGATGCTTGATAGTTGACGGAAGTATTATATCGTTGCAGTGCTGGACGAAATAGGAGTTTGTTCACGATTATAAGAAGCGGTCGATTGCCAGGACAAGAGACTATCTCATCATCACAATTCAACCCAACAACTTCATTACCTCTGCAACCTTCTACTATCTCAAGCACTTTAGCAAAAATCCAAATCATTAAAAATGAGCTCTGAAAAGTACCTCGCCGGCAAGACTGCCATCGTCACTGGTTCCTCTAAGCTCAACGGCATCGGTGCCGCCACTGCCTTAGCCCTCGCCAAGCATGGAGCCAACGTGAGTACCTACTCTATCTTCACTCTGAACTCGACTTACTGACTGTTCCTAGATCGTTGTTCACTATGCAACCAGTGCCGAACCCGCTGAGAAAGTCGTTGCTCAGATCAAAGAACTCGGCGCCCAAGCCATCGCCGCTAAAGCAGATGCATCATCCGAATCCTTCGGCACCGATCTCGTTGGCGCAGCTCTAGACGGTCTTAAGACCAAGACCATCGATATCGTCATCAACAACGCAGGCATCGCATTCGGACACCCTGAAATTGCAGCCATCGAGACTGAGTCTTGGGATAAAATGTTTCACGCCAACGTTCGGGGACCTTTCCTTCTCGTCCAGGCAGCACTTCCTCACATGCCCAGCGGAGGACGTATCGTCAACATCGGTAGCATCGCGGGAAAGCTGGGTATTACCCCCCTGACGGTGTATGGCTCGTCCAAAGCTGCTTTGCATTTCATGTCTACTGCGATGGCGGGTGAGCTTGCTAGCAAGGGAATCACTATCAACGTCGTTTCTCCCGGACCTGTTGCCACCGATATGAGTATGGAGGGTAACCCCATTGGTGATATACTGAGATCTCACCAATCTATTGCTAGGGAGGGTGAGCCGAAGGAGATTGCTGATGTTATCTCTTTTATCGCTAGCCCTGCCTCAAGCTTTATTACCGGACAGGTTATTCCCGTTGATGGAGGTATCAACATGCCTTAAGTGACCAGATGGGCTTTCATGTAGATATTACTGCATAGATATTTGCTTTGAGAATAGACTTTGGAAAATCGGCCTTCAACCTTCTACTCCTTCTTCGACGCGGACATTTCTGTTGTAGGCTGATCAGATGTTTGTGATCGTGAGCTCTCCCGGCCAGTGAGCAGTTAATTACCAGTCTGGATGTTTCTTTGTTCGCGTAACTTTGTTGGAAATCCTCCAATTATCTGCAGTGTTCCAGAAATCAGGCGATATAAATAGAACCGGTTATGATAAGAAGCCAAACCCGTTATCTTTCAAATCTTATCGGCTTCCAGAATGATAGAGATCCCCACAGTGGAGATTCCGCCTCGTCAGGCATCCCGTCCGCGTGAACCTCAAACCAGACCTCGTAATTATCAACGGCCTCCGACTTATCCATTAACAGAATCAATAAGCGAACCAGAAACAAAAAAGAAAAGTTTTTCTGGCCAAGAACTTGACAGCGATGAGTCACTTGGCCTTACCTTTCAGTCCAAGCCATACGCAGTAGTTGAGCTACAGTGCTCAGACCGCATTAGGCAATTGCCGACTCTCAGCCGCAGCGGAATAAGAGCGCTCGCTCTGTAGTGCGTATCAGGTGAGTGGGCCAAATTTCATTTAATTCTTCGTTTTACGATCGGCTTTGGGTTAAGGTTAAGTGCCGAGGAAACATGATCCCATGTCTGGAATGAACTGGCATTCGTTTTGCGCCCAGAGCCTGGGGGGCATTTACCTACAGGCATCCGGAAGGACTATCACTCTGACGACAACACCGTCATGTAGAGAAGTGATTGAATGTGTTACATCTCCGTAAAGAAAAGGAGCTTCTTATCTTCAAAACAAAACAACCAGCGCCCTGAGCTGGAAGGCTTGCAGCACCATGCATTAGCTCCCAATGCTCAATTTCAGACCCAAATTGGTGGCGCCTCAACTAGCCCAACTGCCGAATCAAATGTTTCCAGCCTACCACAGGGCTGAACAACCTCTCCGCATGATTGCTCTGGCCGCTGCTTTTGATTGGCTGTCACACGCCCCGTGTCAAAGCTGTAATCTGCTAGAATGGTGATCAGAACGCCTTGGTGCACGCTAACATTATCAGGCATTTTCAGGATTGCAGCCACTTTTGGGTCGTCGTGAAAAAAGTGATGGTGGGGAGCTGGGGTATGGAATGGAAGTGATAAGTATGGGAGGGATCCGCGTTCTGTTTCACATGGTCTTGTTCATCACTCTCCTTCACCGTTTCCCATCTTCTACATACTAAAGCCGTTCTTGTCACTCTTTCATCTCTACTTTCTTAACATCAAGATGTCTACCCCAGCTCAGACAAACGCTCATAACAACGGTCCTATTGACCATAACGACCTGAACGAGTGGAAGGACCGCTTCAACGATGTCCTCGCCCGTCCCAGCGAGCATGTCAACTCCAAGTCGCCCGAGTCTTCTCAGCCTTGGCAGAACAGCTTCTTCGGCTGCTTTAGCCCCATCAGCCTTTGCGCCATCACCTGCTGCGTTCCTTGCGTGACCTTTGGCAAGACCCATCACCGTCTCCGAAAGAACGGCAACCTTCAAGGATACGAGCCCATCAACACCTCTGTATGTTCTTTATACACCTCTATCTAACCGTTACTAACATATCCCGTCAACAGTGCCTGCTCTTCTGGGGTTCTACCTGCTTCGGTCTTCACTGGATCCCTCTCGCTCTCCAGCGCGCCAACCTCCGTGAGAAGTATAACCTCCAGGGCAGCTGCCTCGTCGACCTCGCCACTGCATGCTGCTGTGGTTGCTGCGATCTCATCCAGCAGGACAAGGAGGCCGAGTACCGTGAGGCTCACACATCTGCTCCCGCCGAGGGTTACAAGGCCAACGAGGGTATGACTGTCCCCGCCTAAGGGATGTCAAACCTTCGCGCCATATGCCACCCTGGAAAAACAAAATCTTTTCGCGTTCTTCATCGCACCATCGATACCCCATCATGATTGACCAGAGGAATAGTAGCCTGTGCTGGCTTTGAGTAATGCATAGGTCAAACTTCTCAATGTCATGTAATTAGAATGTTACCTCGAATAAAACTTGCTTAAATTCAATGACTGTTTTGTTGAATGATACAAGATGCCCATCACTCTTTGCCACCCACCTTAAGTGATGTCTTGGGGTCAAGCAGGCTGCCTTCATGCTTCGCCCTCGCATACCATTGCGTTGACCTTTTGAAGCATGGAACCTGGCGCCGGATAGTGGCGATCTACTATTGAAGCCACAATGCCATTCGTTGATTATTCGCAAGCAGAAAGACAACCTGTAAGAGAAAGGGAATGCATATCAATGCTATGAAGTTAAACTCATGACTATTGCTCAACGCCCGATAATTCCGTGGATTGTGATCGACCATTAAGTTGTACCTTATTACCCATGCTCAACACGTGCATATCCCAACGTCAAACGCATATATCGTTCGGCGAACAAACCTTACTGTTATCACAGTCTTTGAAATACGACTATAAAAGGCTGTACTGCGATGGCGATCTATGCCAAAAATGAACGTAGCAACGCTTGAACCCAGTACCGGTCCCTTTATTCTTCCCCATACCAGAGCTCATCGTCGCTGTCCCAATCCGGAAATTCAAGGCGACTATCTGTATTTGGCCCTTGAAGATAGGTTTTCGCCTGACACAAACGATATACCTTGGCACTGAAACTGACACCTGCCGCTTTAGATACCCGACCGAGGTCTCCTCCGCCTCTTGGTCCGAGGATAACCCACTTCAGCAACGGAAACTTTTCACTCTTCACAGCCACGAGCCCATGTAACGCGTCACTCACGAAACATCTACCATCGCGATAGATTTCGAGTGAAACGATGGAACGAGGAAGGAATTGCACGAGCATCTCTGCATCAACCGGTGTTCCCAGCGTCGGCGGCAGAACTATGGGGAATAGCAGAAGAGTGTTGATCCAGAGATGTTGAAGTGCTGCGAAGTCCCTCATATTCACTCCTGGCTCGATCCTTCTGATATCAACACGTCGAGCGGTGAGGTCCAGGTGGAGTATTTGAAGAGTACTCTTATGAAGCCGGAGCAACTCAATCGCATCAGACAATTGAAAGTTCACAGCTGGAGTCTGCTGCGATTGTGAGTTAATAACATGATGGATATGGTGATGACAGACGAGGGACTCACATCATTATTCTGACGCCGTCCCTGTGCGGCTTCATATTCAAAAGCAACTAGACCCCCGGTACAGCCTTCCAAAACCTTTGATAGTCGCACAGCTGATAGAAAGCCCTTCGTGATCCTCAAACTCTTCAAAGAAGGCATTTCCATCTTTATATATCCCAAGTTCCCTATATATCCATGGAAATTCAGAGTCTCAAGATTGTCAGAGATCTTGACTATTGGGTGAGCCGGCATGCCTAGGTCTAGCCTCTTGACTGGTAAATGAGTGACACCAAGCGCAGGCATTGAAGACTCTGCAATACCGCACGTTGGCCAGCCGCGGCTGCTTTGGATACTGATAATCTCAATATTTGGCGTGTGAGCTAGAAGCATTGCTATCAGTTCGGCATTCATCCAGCGACGGCCGAGCATCGACTTCTCACTCATTGCCCTTCGGAGTTGCCGTTCTTGCTTCTCTGTTAGTCTGCGATGATCATCGAGATAAAACTCGCTAAAAACGGGATAAACATCTGGCCAGTCAAATTCTTCCCACAGACATATATAGTCCCAAATCTCCACACGTTCCTTCCAAGCCGCTGGGAGATCTACACCGAGAGCGTTGGCTGCCTCTAGAAGAACATTTCGGCGAGGCTCCTCTTTGTCTTCTGAGGTACTGAAGATGCGGTGGCTGATATAAATAACCTTGACAAGGCGGGCAAGATCAGGTCGACGAGCCAAAGTGCGAATAAATGGCGCAAGGCGATCGTCCCACTGATATACCTCTGAGATCCATGAATCACCGTAGCCCAAGACAAATTCATGATACAGTACAGGCTGCGCAATGTCTTTGAACTGTCTGCAGGTCAAAGACAGCGAGCAGAGAGTCTGTCTATGGATTGAGTACCACGGCTTGGCTTCAGCCTGTTGTTCCTTTCGCTGAGATGCGATGGGGCGAAGTGGTCTCTCGTCCCAAGATTCATTGTAGGCATCTTGACAGTGAAGGCAAAAATGGCTGAATATGAGGACCAGTATTTCATTGGGCAGACGTGGAGTTGATAGATGAGCCATCTTGGTATCATCCAAGTAATAAGATGGCGGGATACAGCTTACTTGCGTTGTTGGTTTCGAAATTATCTTGGCGTTGTTGGTAGGACCATCACGTGAGAAACATTTGCTGGAGCAGCATTGGAGGTAAATCAGTCATGGGCATATTTTTGTTTACATTATATTTCAATTCTAAGAAAGTATCGCCACTTATGATTTCTCTTGTCTTAATACGTCGTCGATACTGAAACTGGCGAAATTCGAAGACTCGAAATCTTGTCATCATCTGAGAGAGAAGATTTGTTAGCTCTAGTCCGATTATGAATTAACAGTACCTAGAATATAGAGCAAGTATGTTTTGAACGAGCGAGCATCTTGTTGCATCGTGGTTCGTGATATGCTCGAAGCTCGGATTTCACTCTACATGGTCCAATGAACCCAGCCTCCATTTCTCTTAAGGCTTCACAAATGTTGACTATGATCCCAAGAATTCGTGTTTTACTCTGTAAGGCTTCAGATACCTCTATCTCGAGATAGATAGTTCTCACATGCTTCCGAATATTGCCGATAACTATCCTAGCGATCAATATATCCTCGTCTTTGCTCTGTGGATAACCTTTAAACGTCAAGAAGCTCGCGTATAAGTGGGATAAAGATAAGGATCAAGGACCTCTCCGTTTTTATCCGCTGTGCAAGGGGAGCTTGACTCGTTAATTGATTGCATTGATCAGTGCACGTAAAGATAACGTCCGCAGACGCGTGTAATTTCGCACGTGGAATGACGATTAGCAAGATATCCAACGTCTGCCAACAAGGGCCCTTGTGCATTTTAAGGGGTGAAAAGAATTTTCACGTCAAAGCAACGCAGATGAAACCTCCTGAATGATAGAAGAAACGCAGCTGAATGATCACCCTGGGCTCCATCACTGATTAGATCGACAAAATGCTTAATGGAACTCCACTGCATCCTTGGCATTGGGCTGATATCGTCAGAAAACCTTTATCTGTATACATTAAAGGGAAGAACAATGGTGTAATTGGGTGTTTGAGGCTCAAAACGGTCCCGATGGTGCCCGGCAGCTAATTTTAACCCTTGGGTTGGGTTTATTTAATCCTTGGCTGTTGGGCGGCGAAACGGAGTTCCCGCCGAGCTTCGGTCAGAAGCACTCCACTTTGGACGTTGACCGTGGTGAGACTGACAGCGTCCTCGCAACGTAGTAATATGTTATCTGAATAACATTTTGTATGGCCAGACAAGTATGCCATGCCTCGTATTGTTTATCAGGCAGTATTGACCCTTATTCATGATTATGGACTCATAAGAGGCCTCACCAGCATTCTTATCAGTACAGTCTAGACCCCAGTGGCGAACAAAACCTGTTTGACAACCAACACTTTGAGGCTCGGCCTTATCTTCCCCCTAGTCCCAAACTAAAAGCATGACACCGACCATTTGGAACCGGCGCCGGCGCACCGGGCCAGGATCCGCGTAGCCTCAGCGTCACGTTAATGTGCAGCCCATTTGTATGACACCCATGCCATTAAAAACCCGGCCGCTAGAAGTTATAGTGGGTAACCCCCTGGAATGAGCCTCAATGCCACGGCAGTTCCAGCGCCATGGCCCACTGTTATACAGGGCTTAGAATCTTCCATCACGGTCTCATCACGAGATTCTGGTCAGTGTCATGATTCGCAATCTTCGTAATGGCCCCTTTAGGCGAGGACCACAATGAGCCGACTAGTCGCGCTTTGCAAAAATGCATCTCCATGGACTTTATCTTTTCTTAGGGTCTATAAATACTGCACCGCGCTACTTTCATTTCTGAATTGCTTCATCAGAGATTTCTTCAATGATTCACCATCAGCATTCGCTACGGCTTAATTAAAGCATTACACTATCGTTTACAACACCAACGCAAAATGGATCGCCTTCGAGATCTTGAAGTCCCTTGGACAGACTCAAATACCCCCACGCGCCGAAATTCGGTCGATTTATCTATTCCTTCGCCACCGGCTGAACACGACCCCAAGGCATTTCTAAACCATCATACAGCGAAGTCGGCAGCGAAAACTGATCCCTCACAACTTGAGAAGGGCAGTCAAGATGACAGTATCGACGAAGAACCTTCACAACAACAATTGTCCCTCAGACAACGCTTGCATCATTTTACGTGGGCATGGTTTACACTACCCATGAGTGCAGGCGGTTTGGCATTGCTCATTCACGTACAGCCTCATCAATTCCCCGGTTTGAGAATCGTTGGTACTGTGCTGTACAGCATCAATCTTCTCATCTTTACGCTGTGCTGTGTTGGTATGATATGCCGCTTCTTGTTCAACCCCGGCGACTTGACAAAATCTGTCACGCATCACCGAGAGGCGTTCCTCTTCCCAACTTTCTTCCTGGCTATTGCTTCGCTCATCACCAGCACCCAGCGATATGTCATTCCCAAAGACGACCCCTCATATGTTTGGGCAACTGAGACCATCTTTTGGATCTACGTCGTTGTCACATTCATCCTAGCTGTCTGGCAGTACTCGTACCTCTTTGCAGGACATAGCTTCAACTTGCAAACAATGATGCCAGGTTGGTTGCTGCCTATCTTCCCAGTCATGTTGGCTGGCACTGTCGCAACTGTCATCTTGGACACACAGAGCCATATTAACCCTCTTCCGATCATCTTCGCTGGCCTGACATGTCAAGGCCTGGGCTTCTGTGTCTCCATGATGATGTACGCTCACATGATCGGTCGACTCATGCAATCCGGTCTTCCCAATCGAGAACACCGAACTGGACTCTTCATGAATGTCGGCCCGCCAGCCTTTACAGCCTTGGCCCTTATCGGGATGGCCAATGCACTCCCCAAGACCATCTCTGGAGCTGACAACCTTGCTCTCAACGTCGACACCGTCCGCACAGTAGCTCTCCTCTGTGCAGTATTTCTCTGGGCGCTGAGCATGTGGTGGTTCCTTATCGCTGTCGTCGCAGTGGTCTCATCCCCACCAAAATTCTTCCATCTTGGCTGGTGGCCAATGGTCTTCCCCAACACCGGCTTCACGCTTGCTACTGTCTCCATTGGCAACGAGTTCAAGTGCGAAGGCATTCTCTGGGCTGCGAGCGGCATGACTATTATCCTTGTCATCACATTTCTAATCGTCTTCTCATTTAACATGAGAGCTGTTTTTGTACGCGATATCATGTATCCCGGAAAGGACGAGGATGCAGATGATCACTAGACATTATCTAGAGCTGGGAGTAATGGTTTGGATTGGTTTGTACTATTAGAGATACCACGGGATACAGGCTTAGACAAAAGGACACAAAAGGGATCCAGAGTAACAGCGCTCATAGATAGGATCCCACCGGAATTAGAATAATCATCGTCAATTAGCATTCTAAACATGTCGTTCAACTTGGTGTAAACAATTCGGTTCCCACCGGGCTAGAAGGTTCGATGTCAAAATCGTACATCGACAGCAGGGAACAAGGATTGGGCTAGCAAGGAATTTTCCTTTATCGGACGAGATTTTCACGATCCTTGGATCGTAATCGCAGGGATTTGCACGGTCTTACGCTTCTGTGAAACAGGGCCGATGAGCTCCCCTTTTTTCTAAATGCGTCGATCCGATTCTCGGCGAGACTCGCTTCGGCAAAAGTGTCATTTTCGCCGATATTCCTTTGATGCTGTCAATAGCAACCTAGGTTCGATTGATCGATGTCGAATATCATTAACTTCATAGATACATACCCAGCAACTCAGGCGATTTCTATACATCAGCACATGGTTCGCGATGACAGTCAAATCTCTTTCTTCTTCTTCGTCGTCTAAATTAGCTAAGTACAGGGCTTCTTCCGGCCTGCTAACGGCATATCAGCGATATCGCATCAGCGACTTAGGGAGTGACTCAATACAGAAGCTGACTCGTTCGGTCGATAAGTAATCGCATGATGAACAGGTATCTAAGCACGCGATTTAGCTATCGGTGGGCAGGGAATAACAAACTGAAGCCCGGGGCTTTACGTTTTACAATTCCAGTTATAGTAGCTGTCTCATAGAACTAGAAGATGGCGTTGTCACATCCCAGTTGCTCATGTCCCATTCGTCATGGTTTGGAAATTCAAAAGCAACCAGAATCATGCAGTTTCTCGTAGCATGTAACAAGTAGACCTCCGAATCACATCCAGAGCAAAAGATGAACGGAGCAGAATACTGTCTTCATAGTCGGCTACTTTATGACAGCCCTTGAAAGAGTCACTCATCGATTACTACTCCTGATATCACATCAGCATCGATATAAATTAAGTAGCATCCATTTTACAGACGGCCTTCTCGTATTAGGCTACTTATGTGCAAATGGGGACCGGGGAAGATTCTTCCATTCCGTTCAAAAGTCCTGGCTAACTTACCCTGACTGATCATGGGGTCATTACAAAGATGCCCAATCAAATGCAAGGACATTGCATGGCAAGAGTGATAGGAATCTTTTAACCCTAAAAAGACTAAGCTCTGTGTGGTGATATAGGCTCTCAGTCACAAGTCTGAACTGCATATAACACATCTAGCTCACAACTTTGACATTATACCACAATGCCTGACCAATTGCTACAGGAAACAACATGCAGCCCGCGCTACATGGCTCAACTGTTGTTCGTAGACGACTTAGTTGCCAGTCAGGAGCCATTACTAGTAATATAACATATGTAGAGCATAAGCTTGAGAAAGTTAGTATTGTTGCCCCAGCCATCGAACGCTGGCTTTGGCACGCCAACTCATCTGTGAGACTCTTGTCTTTGAGGCCCGTGTTCCTTTCGTAGAATGATAAGATTTCCCGTTTTTTATAGAAAATTAATTCTTTTGAACACTCTTGGGGGTAAATAAGTTGGGCTTTTAGAATGTACATTACTCACCTTTAGGTGTTCTATACACTACAGAAGGCCTAGCTAGTTCAATATACATGCGTGAGCTAATAAGTCGTAGTAACTTTATCTCAAAGCGTGTTATTAGCTTGTATGTTCTTAGGGCAGATACCTTTCCTCTCAGATAATTCTCCCACTCCCCTGGACTGAGAACAGACTGCGAGAGTCCGGCGAACTGAAGATGAGTCACTCGGCGATAGAGAACTTCAGGAAGCATATTGCGCCCAGAAGGATCAATCTGATTGGAGATTGGTAGGAGTCAGGGTAAATGCCTTCAGTCAAAATGGGCTTTAAATGAATTACAGAGTCTGAAGATGAAGAGCCCAAGGTCGCTTTGCCTAATTAGGTATGCATTTCGACGACTACCTCTTCAATGACTCCATTTTTAGTATAAACCAACCACTCGTCACATTTGTTGAAAGGCTGGTCTTGCTGACTTTGCATGTTCTGATACATTATTGGATGTTGAGATTACAGCACGCGTAAGCACGGGGCATTTGAGCCACCGACTCCTCGGATACGGCATCTACATAATTGACCGTACGGACTAGGACTAGGTGATTCACCTCATGGTATATAAACCGTCCTTGATAAATATCTTTGCAATAAAATAACTAACTTCCACATCAATCTTTGTAACAATCCTTGAGCCCATTTAATTCTTCACCATGAGCCAGGCTCAACAGCCGTCAGACCCGACCTTCCGAGCGTACAGTGCCCAGTAAGGCGCAACCTATGCTGAACATCGTCGGAACTATAATCCCAAGCTATACGGTGCAATAATTAGCTTTCATAAAGAGGGATCTGGCCAGTTTGATGCCCTCATCGATGTTGGCTGCGGACCAGGAACAGCAACTCGCAGCCTTGCCCCTCACTTCAAGACTGCCTATGGACTTGACCCCTCAGAGGGAATGATTAGCACTGCGCGATCTATCACCACGCTCGGAAATGTCAAGTTTGAGGTCTCCTCAGCTGAGTCTCTGGGATCTGAACTTGCCAACCCCATTCCTGATGGCAGCGTCGACGTGATCACTGGAGCCACTTGTGCCCATTGGTTTGACATGCCGCGATTTTGGGAGCAAGCTGCCAAGACACTCAGACCTGGAGGCACAGTGGCTCTGTGGACAGCTGCTAGTGTCCGAGTCGATCCGTCGATGCCCGCTCATGAAGCCGTACAGGAAGTTATCGACGATCTTGATAACTTGGTTGAAGACTATATGCTGCCCGGTAACCTTATGGGCCGTGATCTATACCGTGGTCTACCGTTGCCTTGGACTCTTGATCCCCCTGTTTCGACATTTGATCAAGACTCATTCGTGCGCAAAGAATGGTGTACCGGACCAGATTCTGAGACAATGTTCTTTGAGCATTCGCCGCCAGTTAATTTGGATATGGTGGAGATGGTTCTTGGAACCGCTAGTCCTGTTACCAGATGGAGGGAGGCTCATCCTGAAGCTGTCGGAACAGAGAATGACGTTGTTCGTCAAATCAGAAGAAGGATTGAGAAGATCCTCGGAGACGCAGGCGTGGAGAAAGGCAAGGAGATGCTTACGGGTGACATGACTGGTGTCTTGCTGCTTGTTAGGAAGAGGAGCGACTAGGTGTCTTACAAGACAAGAACTGACTATTGAAAGAGCTGCTTTGATAGAAATTACAACCAGTTATCTTAGTTCTTGAGCTGACATTTTTGTTCGCAGAATTTTCGTGACTTATTATATCCTCCGCCCTGTTACTCATCGTACGCATCACGGGGATCATGCTCCTTCCAGAACTTATCGTAATCATCCCAACTCTGAGAAGGGAATGCCAATGGAACAGTGATCGGACCAAATGGAATACCCTTCTTCTCAAACTCATCCAAGCGGGCCTTAGTCCTCTCCTTCGTCTTGTTGACGCTATAAATAGAGATTCTATGGCACGAGCTAGTAACGTGAAGACCCCAGTTCCAAGATGTTCGGACATCAGGCGGCTGAGTGTTGAGAGAGTTATCCCAGCAGCGACAAACAATCTCAACCCAGCCTTCGACATCACATGGTAGCTCAAACTCCCAGGTACGCCAAGTCCACTTACGCTTCTTGGAGAGTTTTTCAAGCGGCACGGTATACCAGTTGAAGCCACCATCGTTGGAGAGTTCAACTCGCTCGGGCCAACGTCCGCCACCAGAGTAAGCCCAGCCCTTGCAACGAATTTTGCCGTTATGGATGACAACTTGCTTTGTCCAGGGTGACATGATGGCAGAGCTGACAGGCATCTCCTGGATCTGAATACCATCTGTCATTTTGAAGTTGTGCTTGCCAACTTGCTGGGGGAAGTAGAGATATTCCTGGCTTTGAACAGGAGCTCTTGAAGGCTCTTTGATAGCCTTGATGCGGTATAGCCACTTGACGCTTCGAGCGCCGATGTAACCAAACACCACGATTCGAAGAGGATACCCGTGGATCTTGGGAAGTTCTTCACCGTTCATCTCCCAGGCTAGCATGACTTCATTTGCCTTGACCTTGGACCAAGGAATACTGACGAGATAATTCATCGTCTTATCATCCTTGAAGTAGGTATCAGCACCGTAGAACTCCAGGTGCTTAGCGCCATCGATCAAGCCACCACAAGCCTTGATAACCTTCTTGAGGCTGATACCAACGTAGTTCGCAGTGCCGATTGCTCCTTCGGCCCAAGGTGCTTGGGGAACCTCGTCGCCCTGGCCGGGGTATTTGAGAATCTGCTCAATACGACGAGTTCCAGAGCACTGGATCGTGACGTTCTTTGTCATACGAGGGAACTTTGACTCGTCCATGAGTTCATCCAAGGTGAAGGACTTGGGGTTTGCAACGAGACCATCCATGAGGAAGCTGAAGTCTTCTTTGTTGATGATGGGAATTCCACCGTGGTTTCTCACAAAGTGAAGGGAATTGGGGGTGAATTCCTTGTCAGTGACTAAGCGCTTGGGTGGCTCGCCGTTATAAGGGAATTGCAATAGGTGCAGCATATCAGGGTGCTTCTCCTTGAGAACAGTAGCCCATGAGTCTTCAGGCACGCTGGTGAGTTCACCGCCGACGGCATGATGCCACATCTTCCAATGTGTACCAGGAAGAACAGGGTTAGTTCCCGGAATAGGACCAAGCTGGAACTCAGGGTTGGGTGGGAACGTCTGTGACGTCAGGATCTTGTGCGCAGCAGCTTTCTTGTCAGGGTAATTCTCCCACTCAACAAAGCTTCACGGGTCAGCTTGGCATGATACACTTGAGAAGAGTCTTACCCAACCCAACCCTTGCGTTCACGAGCGAATAGCTTTTTACGGTCACCGACCGACTTGATAGCTTCTTCATCTTTGGTGAGATCCCCAAAGACCTGAGGATCTAGAGCCTTGGTCTTTGGTCCAGTTTGGTCCAGTACAGGCAGAACCGCGCCGGAGAGACCTTGTTCGATCTTCCATTCATCAGGACGATTGGTAGTCTTCATGGTTGAAAAGTAACAGTGAAATTAGTTTTTTGGTGTAATTGAGCAAAAGAGGGGGAAGACGGCGGGCTATGGGTTTAAGTTAACCTACGTTATACGAGGGCAGAGAGTTCAACATGCGGGCGTCGCATAAGGTTGTAACCCTACGATCTGCTCAAAACGACCTAGATCGAGCAAGACTACCAGACCAATGACGAAGCAGACAGTAGTATACCCAAAAGCAGCCACAACTTCAGATCATTGGCTCGATAAGCCGCACCCTGCAGGTCAGGCATTGAGTTTAAGCCATAGGGCCGATTTACCGTCGATGCCCTGAGCGGTGACACTGCTTTCTAATGGTGTTGTGGTGAATGGTTGGTGATTACGCTGTGAAAGTGGGGTCGTTATCAAGAGCTGACAGAGTTGGGATGCATCAGATTTCATCATGACAAAGTGGCTGCTGTACGAGTGCGGGGTCAACTTAATTCAATGGCTTTCCGAGCTTTCCGTGTAAGATTGGGGATGGGCGTGATGGAGGACGGGGAGGATAAGATGAGCTGTGCTGCGTCTGTGAGGACGGTATTTGCTTCGTAGTATGATCAATTGGAGCGACAAGATATCATCAAATTAGCTATGGTGAGTATCAACTCCAGCTTGTGTTATCGTCGTTGAAGGCTTACAAAATCAGTCTCAGAACAATCCCATGTCGACTCTTGCCAATGGTACGAAATCCGATCCGGTTTGGTTATTTGCCTGACATTGTTATCTAGGGCAACCGAGCGAAAATCCAGGATCAGTCCAACAAGTTCGCTATGGAAAAAGCAACGGAGGGCTCATCGTCTTGAGCGACACGCAAACCATTGAAGTACTCGCCCACTTTGCTCGTGAACGTATTCCAGAGAGGTACTGGTTAATCTGACAAATCCTGGGTCATTGGCTAACGGTAGGTATAGAAGCGTACATGCAAAGGCCGCCGGAGCCTTTGGCGAATTCGAAGTCCTCGAAGATATCTCCCATCTCACCGACGCAGACTTCCTCACGGGCATCGGCAAAAAGACCAAACTACTCACACGAATGTCAACCGTCGGCGGAGAGAAAGGTTCAAGCGATACCGTCCGTGATGTTCGCGGCTGGGCTACCAAATTCTACACCGAAGAGGGTATCCAGGACTTTGTCTTCAACGATCTGCCCGTGTTCTTCATCCGAGATCCGATCAAGTTTCCGTCCATGAATCGCAGCCATAAAAGACATCCCCAGACTAATGTTCCTGATAACACCATGTTTTGGGACTTTCATCTGAACAACCCTGAGGGTATCCATGCTTTGATGCACCTCTTTGGACAGCGTGGTATTCCTGCGTCGTTGAGAAACATCAATGGCTTCAGTGTTCACACATATACCCTCAACAAGGCCGTAAGCGCATCGTCAAGTTAGTCAAATCAAGCTGACATCGCCTAGGATGGTAGCTATGTCTACGTCAAGTGGCATTTCCGCCCTGATGATGGAATCAAGACAATGGATGCAGACACTGCTCAGCGACTGGCAGGCTCAGAGCCAGACTACCACGTCAAAGATCTCTTCAAAGCTATCGAGAAAGGAGATTTCCCATCTTGGGGTGTTTACATCCAGGTTATGCAACCTGACGAGGTTAAGGATGCGCCGATTGATGTTTTTGATGACACATATACTTGGCCTTTTGAGAAGTATCCTCTCAGGCTTGTTGGTAGAATGACTCTTACTAAGAATGTGAGTTCTCGTGATGCTTGAGGTTCCCGGATGCTGACAATCTGACGCAGCTCAACAATTACTTCCAAGACTTAGAGCAGGCTTGCTTCTCACCTTCAAACATGGTTCCTGGCATTGGACCATCAGCGGATCCTGGTATATAGACCCCTCCACGTTTACATCCAGAGACTAACTCGAGAAAAGTACTACAAGCAAGAATGTTTAGCTACCCAGATGCTCATCGCTACCGGTAATTCTACTCACTAATTCACTCACCGCATCTAACAATTCCCAGAGTCGGGCCCAATTACTTCCAACTCCCCTGTAACAAACCCATCAACCAAGTCTACGCCCCATACGTCCGCGACGGCCCAGGCACGATTAATGGTAACTACGGAGGCGACCCAGACTATGTCGGCTCAGAGCTTCGTCCCGTCAGTACGAGCAAACGTGTTCAAGTGCCTACCCACGAGGATTGGTCTGGCCATGTCACCGCTTTCGCAACTTCCATCACCGATAAGGACTTTGAACAGCCCAGAGCGCTGTGGAAGATCATCTGCAAAGAGCCAAAGGGCAAAGAGCAGTTCTTGCATAATATTCTTCCAACGCTGAGCGATATCCCTGATAAGATGAAAGATCAGGTTGTTGGTGAGTGCTGAGCCATTGCGACCGTGTTAAGATTGTAATTCCGCTAACTTCGTCCCAGAGTATTTCGGGCGCGTTGACGGGGATCTGAAAGCTTGTCTAAAAGAGGGTCTTAGCAAGTGAGATTGATGGTCCCTATTCTATGGGCATAGTGCTAGACACGTTAATTCCGCCTAAATTGACACGAGTCTAGTTACTGGGTTGTTGCGTGAACAAACTTTTTCTCGGCGCGTAAATCGTTTCAGGGTAGGATCTTCAGGGACTAGGGTGCGCTGGAAGCCCGCTAATATGGCAGTGCTGATCACAGCAAAGTGGACTAAGCTTGTTTCTTGTCGAACCAACAACATAACGGATCAATCACTTCATGCGCCTGCTAAATCCCTCTCTTACATCCATTTTCGCTGAATACTACTGGAAGGTCAGTGACACTTCGTAATGACGCCTCTTTCGCTTCTGGACTGTCCCAAAGAGGTTCAACTCAGCATTGCTGAACTTCTTCTTCAAGCCGACGTGGCCAATCTCTCCTTGTCGTGTCGAGGCATGCACAGCCTTACCGAGCCACTCGTTTACTCCACCATCCAGATCATATGGACGAGGCAGTATTATCCACCCATCCCAAAAGCGCTGCTGTTACTCCGAACTTTGCTGGAAAGACCAGATCTACGGAACCATGTTCGTTCTATCGAGTTCGGTGGTAATGGATTCATTGACTATGATGATCCTCCATGGCCTGGTGAAACGCCAGAACCGCCTGAGGTGCCGAATCTTCCCCTCGATGAACTCAATGCAGCGATCAGAAGGACTGGGGTGTCTGAGTCCAGCGCAAATGAATGGACGTCTAAAGTACTATACTCCGATAGCCACAGGTACTTACACTTTGGAGAAGAGCTCCAGCTGGGTATTATCCAGAAAACTCAATCCGCAACTTCCGATGCCACCGCAGCTGTCATCGTTTCTCTGCTAAAGAAATTGGAGAGACTTACTGTCTCCGAGAATTGGTACAATGAGGCGCGACTCTTGGGTCTTATGTTTCAGCTGGCACTCTGCAGGACAAACCAACACTCTACTCAAAGCTCCCAGCCCACCTTTAGATTTCTGAATTATGTTTCACTCGACCCAATGCTACACGAGGACACAAATACGGAACCCGACAAGGTCGACCAAGATCTTTGTTTGTTCTACTTGCCTTGTATCCAGCATCTCTCCACCTCAATCCAGAATCCCACGCCATTCTCGTGGCCCTGCGCTTCAGCCCCGAACCCAGTGTCCTTGACCTCATTAGACATTTTCAGACTCCGAGAAACACGCCTCGCTCCAGTTTTATCTGCAACAAAAAACCTTAGGAAGCTGAAGTACAATTGGTTCTACCGACCTGACCTTGATGAAGAGGTTAACACTTCTACGCTAATGCTGGATGAATTGGCAATGGCGCTCCTCGAGGTCAAAAATTCGCTAGAGGATCTAGAAATCACTGCCGAGACATGTCCCGCGTATACAATGGGAGATTATGATCCACCTGATTTTACATTTCATGAGTCGTTGGCAGAGATGAAAAGCATGCGCAGGCTTAAGACTTTAAATGTTCCTTGGTCATTTCTGACCGGCATGACTGATTTTTCTGCCACTGGACGTCTTGGAAATGCGCTGCCCCAAAATCTGGAGTACCTCATACTAAGCCGCTTTCGTCTACGACCTGCACCGTATAATGATCGAGATGGAGTCATGATTTCCGCTTTCGAGAGGGAACTGGAAACTGGTAGTTTATCGCATCTGACTCAATTGAAGAGCGTCAAGCTACCGCCGTCTTTCGTCAGTCGTGGGATGTCAGATGCATGCGAGGAAAGGATTGCAGCACTTGGGAAGAAGTTTGACTTGAAGCTGGAAAGCCAGAAGAGGGACTTGAGTAAGATTATATAGATCATTTGTATTCTGCTTTCTCGAACAAAGAGTCTTTTCCAGATCATGAAGAGCGAGCATTGGATTTGATGACACATGACATCACGCTGGACTCACCTTGCTGTCGACGCCATTCTTGTTTTGACCACATGGTGGTACTATTTTATAGTCCCTGCCCTGTTTTCTTACTGAGGTGACTCGCTTCTTGGGGCTGAGATCAGGTATGGGCCGGTCATTTGTCATATAGTATAGGTGAAATGAATTGACTTCCCCGCACTTCGCCTTATTTCGCCTTATTTCTGTGCCACGAGTAGGGGTTTGAGTAAGTAGTGGGATTGGCAAGGGCACGCTCCCTCCAGAAGACACTGCAGCGGTCCAGTGAGAGCTTCACTGGGCTTTGGGGCCACTCGTTGATGAATCCCGATCTTCCTCTCTGAGAAGATGCCAAGATAATTTTGTTGTCAATGATGGAGACTCTTGGATGGGCATGGAAGCCGATCAATGGCGGCAAGCCAATCGCTTCTGGTGCTGCACCTGCAAGCCAGGTCGTTTTTGGCGACATCAATGGGTGAGTAGCCTCAGGCTCTGGTTGGCAGAGCACTTGACTAACCAGTAGCAGCGACGGGTTGGACGATTACCTAGACTTAGATCCCAAGACCGGCTTATTGAAAGCATATCTCAATCTGGGAGGGGAGTCAGAGTGGAAGTTTCGACCGATAGGCACGATCGCATCAGGTCTCGGGCCAGGGAAGCGAGTCCGTATTGCAGATATCGATGGCGATGGGGTAAGATCCACGTGTCAGTCACTTCGCGACCATTCACTAACAAACAGACTTTCCAGCGCGACGACTACATCTTCCTCAAAGACAACGGCGCCACAACAATTTACCGCAACATCTACGGCCCTGGCAACGACGGTGACAAGTATGCCCCAATGCCAGAGGCAGATGCTTCGGGTATCAACCAGTCACCAGAAGAGATTGACTTCATAGATATGAACGGTGACGGAAAAGCGGACTACGTCTGGACATCTAGGCTCGACGGCATCGTCAAGGTTTGGTACAACGACTACCCTAAGAAACCTACCTGGCGAGAAGCGGGAGAGATTGCAGGCGGCGTCGGGACATCCGGCTCAAACATCAGATACGCGAAGCTACAGAAGACGGGCCGATACGATTACGTCGCCGTCGATCCCAAGACAGGAGCCATCGGTGCGTGGCTCAACGGCTGCGGCGACCCTGATACTTCCAAGAAGAAGCACAGAATCACCATAGCCCGATATCTCGTCACCGTATGGGTCATCGCTGAAAAGCCTGTAGACAAGAACTGGTCGTCTGATACCTGTTTCAAGACAGGAAAGGGCGGAGATACGCGTGGCACTCCGGTCTTGAAAACAACAGCTGATGACAAGTTTCCCGCTGCTCTAAGGAGTGGTGATACTATGGAGAAACTTTATGGACATACGTGCTTTTATGAGGGTAGTACCGAGAGGGTGGGAAAGCTTGTTTGCGATGGGGTTAGTGGGATTAGGTGCTACGAGGATGAAAACTTTGGGAAGACGCAGAAGTGTAGGTTTGGGTCTTACACATATGCTTTGTACTGCGAATGGTAGTCATGTAATGAGACATTTGATGTTGGCACTTAAAATATTTCAATCATGGTAGTAAATAGGCAAAAATGAGCTTTGAAGCAACCGAGTACGTCTATATATCATAACCAACTAAGCAAATCCCACTCATATCTCATTCATCCAAATCCATGATGATACCCAATCATGAGACAATCTACAAGCTAGCATGTGACGCGAGAGGGGAAGCCTCTTGCACTTCATGTACCTCCATCTTGAAGCCCTTGAACCTTCTCGCCGGCAATCTCATTTCGAACATGTGATCAATCTCAATCGCACTTCTTCCCTTCATCTCAGGAATAAAGAACCAAGTCAAGACCGTACCGACCAGGCAGAGTCCACAGAACAGAAAACCTGTCTTTCCACCAAGAGCGGCCTTATCCCTGCTGAAAAGCATGGGTAAAACAACAGCCAACATGATGGAAAAGCCCTTCTCAGCAATACCAGCCAAACCCTGTGTCAGAGATCGGAGTTGAAGGGAACTAGTCTCTCCCAGAATGGCATACCCAGCCGGCCATGCACCCATACCACAGACGACAATGACAGCTGTCATGATTCCTCCAGTTGCCCAAGTGAGGGTCTCACTTCTCCAAAAACCAGTCACACCCATGGCTCCGTAAAGGAGGGTCGAAGAAGCCAAGGAGAACAGGGTCAAGCTGCGACGACCAGCGCGGGAAAGAAGCCAGAAACCTAGACCGTTGGCGAGCATTCCAGCGACTATACCGGCGAGCGTGAACATGATAGCATATCCTGACTTCATGCCCATAGATGTCAAGAATACGCTGGCATTGGAGAGCAGCTCAAGACCGAAGAAGGCAGGCATGATGGAAGCCAGTAAAACAATGAACGTTCTCCGAAGGTTCGTGCCCTTGAGACAAGACCAGTAGTTTACTGACGCGGTGATCGCCTTTTCTTCCTCGATAGTAGCTCTAATCCGTTCAAGTGCGCCATATGGGCTGACCTTCGGTGCGAACAGGCGAGTGGCTGATTTGATCGCTCTCTGTTCTTGACCAGTTCTGATTAAATGAGCAGGACTTTCAGGCATGACGATAGACAGAATGAAAGGGCCGAGGGAGAGAATCCACTGTGATGCGAAAGCGCCAAGATAACCACTGCTGTTCTCAATGTCGTTGATCAACTTGATAACAATAAGGCCAATGAGTTGACCAAGCAATGTGAAAACCGGAAACAAAGCCATAGCCGAACCACGCAGAGCTGTCGGCGTATTCTCAGACACCCACGTAACACAAGTCGTCTTGATAACACCGACCGAAAAGCCCTGAATCGTCAAACCAGCAGTGAGGAGCGTGCGCTTCATATCAAGCGGCTCAGGCATATGCGAGAAGAAAATGCAAGCAATAGCAATAACGGAAATGATCGTTCCAAACAAAAGCGTGAGTTTTCGTCCAACGCGATTCTGTAGCCATCCGCCCAAAAGACCACCGAGAGCTGCACCGGCGGGCGGAAGACCTAGCCAGAGAGACAGCCAATTACCAGGAATGTCCATCTCGCCGTCGATTTTTGATCCATAGTCTGCTTTGAAGGTATCGACGCTTGCGACGGCGCCGACGATGACGAGATCGTAGCCCCAGCCGATGACGGGGATTGTCATGGCGAGGCAGTAACCTGCGATCTTGGGGTATTTTTTGAGTGCTTGGCGGAGTGGCATTTGAGCTTCTTCATCGTCTTGTTGGGGTGGCGGGTCTTGTTTGTTGGTTGAGTCTTGACGTGTGATTTGGGGTGTGTAAGGGTCGTAAGCTGTGGTGTCTTCATCTTCTTGTGGAATTGTCTGCCATCTTCTTGTTGTTTCGAGCTCGTGGTAGCTTGGCGCAATACTACCCTCTTGGGGATCGCTGTCTTTGCGGTCGTGATAACTCATGGCGACTTGTAATAATTGCACAAATCTCTTTTAGCGAATGGTTAAGATAGTGAATGATGCGAATGCGAAAGACAATGGGAAAGGTGGCAATCAGCATCTATAAAGAAGAGCAATCCAGCTCAGACCTCGCATTTCTGGTGGAGGGTCCATCGGACTCATGGTGATCTGCCCTTCGGACGTCAGATGGTGGAGTAGCAACTCTCGCGTAGGACAAATCCTTCAGTGGGCGATGATACTCTAATTCTGCATCTTGGCCAATTACGTTGGCGCTAGAACGAGGATGAAACTCGGTGCTTACAGGGCGCAGTCAGCAGTGGAGCGAGGAGAGCCCTACGGACCTCGGACTAGTGAGGCTTAGGACGGGACAATCTTTGCGAGGATGAGGCTGAGCTGGAGGTGCTGTTAAAGGTGAGGCATTAGTTCTGGAAAAAGCAGATTTGATCAATTAGGAAGGTAGCATTTGTTTGCGATAGAGAAGAGATGCAGTTTTGCACTCATGACGCCCTCGTGAACTTGCTGTGCCGTAGAGGGACAATTGCCACGTAAGATGAGGATTCAGCATGCATGCATTACTCCGTACAACACCATCTTTATACATGGCAATCAAGCATAATAAACTGCTCAATTAACCTCCGGCATTACTACCAATTGCCGCTCGTTAGTGTGATAACGTCGAGATCCGTAGGACCTTATCCCCGTCGGACTCTGAACGATGAATCTGACATGCATCCACTTTGTGGGGTCTCGCGAAATCCGCACGATCGAGCGAAGTCCGCTTCACATTAAGGATGCTTGGCGGTTTTGTGCTGATATGTAAAGGCGATGATTTCACTTGAAAAGACGTCAATACTTCAACGAATCATTGATCTAAAGAGTTTAAGGTCGTGTTGACACGTTTCGCGGGTTATTTCCTGATTTGTCACTGACTTGAAGCTACGATCACAAACTTATCAACTCCCGCTCTATCATCGAACTTCGCGCCAATACTACGTCGATCTCTAACGTATCACTGCATATCTCGTATTAATCAATACCCTCCCACTCGACAATGCAACTCAACAGCACCGAAATCTCGGAACTTAAGCCGATATGCCAAATCATCACTCCAGTGGGGATGCTAGGCTACGGCTTCGACGAAGCCCTCACGCACTACGAACTCTCCCGCCTCGTACCAACCGGCATCCCAACAGCTATCATTTTAGATTCGGGCTCGACAGATAGTGGGCCGCAGAAACTGGCTCTGGGGTCTATGTCATGTCCAAGGTTGGCTTATGCGAAGGATCTTGCCAAGTTACTCCGGCTTGTTCATACGTTTCGTGTGCCCTTGATATTTGGGTCTGCTGGTGGTGATGGGACGGATGAGCACGTTAAGATCATGGGGGAGATTATTGAGGAGATTGCAGCGGAAGAGGAGAATAAGTAAGTCATGGTAGCAAGGCCGATGCTATCTTGCTGATACTTTACAGGGACTATGCTTTCAATACGATATCGCTATTCTCCAATATCAGCAAGGCAACGATCCTCGAGCGCCTCAAACAAGGCCGTCTAACCGGCTGCGGCCACTGCGTCCCACCTGCAACAGAATACGAGATCAACGAGTCCCTCCGTGTCGTTGCTCAGATGGGCTACGAGCCCTTCTTTGATGCCATGAACGCCAATCCCGACTTCAACATCATAATCGGCGGGCGAGCCTACGATCCATCTCCATACGTCGCATTTTGCGTTTATCAACTCACACGCCAATCAAACCATCTCAGCACAGAAGAACTTCACTCTAGGCTTGGTGGGCTCTATCACATGGGTAAGATCCTGGAATGTGGAGGACAGTGTTCATTCCCGAAATCTCATGGTGCTGTTGCGACTGTTTATGAGAACGGTTTATTTGATGTTAGACCGACGGATCCTGAGTCTATGTGTACGCCTTTGTCTGTTGCTGCTCATACGCTGTATGAGAATACGAGACCGGATGTTCTACGAGGGCCAGGAGGGTCACTTCATCTTGACAACTCAAAGTATGAGCAGCTGTCTGACGGAAAGTCTGTGAGGGTGAGTGGCGGTGTTTATCGCTCGTCAGAAGCAGATGGCAAGCCTTATCAGCTCAAGCTGGAAGCTGCACGTATTGTTGGTTATCGCTCTATGTTCATGGGCAGTATCACAGACCGTAAAAAGCCCCTGCCTCCAACGTATGAAATCATTCTAACATTAATAGATATCCTCGTTTCCCAGATTGACAAACTATTGGCCCGCGTCAAGGTCTACGTTGACCAACAACATCCCGAGATCGCCGGTCAGTGGAACATTGACTTCCATGTCTACGGCAAAGACCAGTACACGCATGCCGGACCAGGTCAACTCTTCATCGTTGCTGAAGCACTCGCGCCGACACAGCAGTTGGCTAACAGCATTGCCTCCAAGGCTCGAGTTGGAATGACTGTAAGTCTCCCTATCTACCATCAGTCCAAGCTAATGCGTGATAGCATGCACCATATCCAGGGCAGAAAGCGACTGCAGGCAACTTTGGCTTCGGCCTTGGTGGCCTTATGGAGATTGAACTTGGTCCTTGTGCTGAGTTCTCGCTGTACCATCTCATGGACCTTGAGCCGGGCGAAGAGAGGTTGGCTCTGGGTGGTGATGGGTCTGTGCTAGGAGGCTCGTTGCTGAGAGGCACGGTCTCTCGAATTGGCAAAGGGGTCATGAACGGCACCAACGGGCACATTACGGTGCCTGAGGTCGATAGCAAGCCTCCTCAGCGGGCGAGCGCAAGTCCCCAGCGTTCGCCTAGTCCTCCGAATCAAGCTATCCAGAAATCTGAGACACTATCAGACTTGTGCCGCATTGTCCGATCCAAGAACGCTGGTCCATACGAGATCACGATAGATGCCATGTTCGCGTCCAAAGAAGCTTATGAAGCTGTCAAATCCTCCGATCTCCTGTCAGCCAGCAATGTTGCGAAAGCCATCGGCATCTCAGAGGAAGATATCATCTGGATTGGCTTCTTCGATCCTGCTATCTCTTTCAAGGTAACCATCCCCAGAGTCCGATCGGGGAAGAAGAAATCTGCCGGCGGGTTCATGGAAAACGACATCCATGGATCGCAGGAGCACATGGGCCTTGCAAGCCTGAAGCTCCCTGAAGGATTCAACTTCTAGGTCCATTACCAGGTATTTGGATAGTCACCCTCCAGTGATGTCGGGTCAAACTGGAGCAAGCTCGTATACGGATCACTCCAAAAGTTCTTCAAAAACTCTGGATTCCCATCCACCTGACTCATCATATCCTCATGATCCTGCACCGTCTCTGTCGTTGTCTCCTCAACCGTTCCCCCATCACCTTCCTCCACCTCAACAGGCTTGCCTCGTATCTTCCCCGCCGTGTTAACAGCATCAAACATCAAGGACACGCCCATCCTATGATTAAGCACCAACTTTGTCTTCTCCTCCTCTGTGGAACTCTCGCGTCCCAGTGCTTCGAACACACTTGCAATGCGACTGAACTCATCTTTCGGATCAATCGTACATGCTCTACACAGCGTTTGTGTCATAGCGACATGGTTTGCGACTATTTGTCGCTCTTCGGGTCCGTCGGAACTTTGGCGGATGAAGAATTTGAGGAGGAAGATTGTTGAGAAACCCAAACATCGGTGGCGGTCTTTCGGTTGGCATTTCTCGCGTCGGGTGAGGGTTGTGTTTTCGGGGTTGGTACGGATAGCTCGTGTTCCGATTTCGACTATTCGAAGAGCTATGTCGCGTGCTGTTCGGAGAAGGATCTGGCGGAAGGATGAATTTACCGGGGATTTTGTGATTACAAGTGTGTATATGTGTATTTTGGCGTCTAGGATTGCGTATTCAACTATGCTCTTCGTTTCTTCATCTGGTAGTATCTCATTCTTTATCGCATCAAGTTCAGTGTCAAACAAGCGGAGAAATGATGAACTTGTGCCGTCTGCCAGCTCATGGTTGAGTAGCGCTGTGAATTTTGCGACAACTAGTTGGATGCGTACTTCAATCGCAAAGGCTGGCGGTACGGTTTGTCGTTTCAGAAATGCATGAATAGCAGCAAAGTCCAGCTCCGATTCGATAGGACAAGGAAGGCCCAGATGTAAGCTCAGTCTGTTTCCGTTAGTAAACACTACCAGTTTCTCATCTTCCTTGAGGTATCTCACGATGTTGACACATTGAAACATGACAGCCAAGTGTTGATTCTTGACCGAATGCTCCCCGATGTGACCCCAATAACACGAAGAGATGGAATAGTTTGCTGACGATCAAGACTCAGATATCGGGCAGCTTGGATAGCAACACCGCAGTAAAGCCAGCTGGGCTCTTTCCATTGTTTGTCTGTAGGCAATGGCCAGTTGCAGAGAAGCAACAAAGCTTGGACCTTGTACAGTGGTAGTGGCGCGTCAGTTACAGTCTCCTGTACCAATCTCTCATATGGCGCCCGAAGCAACTGGAATAAAGCGATGTTGTCTGCCTCAGGTAAGCGACAGAGCACAATTGTGACAATTGTCCAGAAGAGAAAGGGCTGGTTCTCATAGGCTGCTTGGGCGGAGAGGAATGCGACCACCGGAAGTCGAGGACGCATGTACTCGGCAAAACTGAAATCTATGAGCAAATGCAGAGGGAGCAGAGAGGGGCCTTACACCATGAAGGCCTCTGTCGCAGTAGAAGAGTCGACGACTACCCCAGCCAAGCTCACAGTAAACGATGTAAGCTCAAATTCATCTACACCTTCATCCTGGGACGCCGGTGATCTGCTCTCGGATGTAAAGCTCGATCCAGTCACCAATTGATCTCCTGTACGATGAGTCTGGTTGCGTAGTTCTTGAAGCTCCTTACTCATGGCCTCCAAACGCCTACGTCGTAATTATATCAGTGATAATTCCGGATCAAGCAGTCTTGTTACGTACTTTCTCGCTGGCGTCCTCTTAAAAGTGGCGTCCACCGTGCAAAACAAATGTCTTGCATTGCACCGAGAGCATGGATCAGGGAACTTCTCCTTGGAATCACATCGTAACTTGCTAATCAGCTCTCATCTATCCCACGTTGAACATAGAAGCTCATACCTTTGCCTGCTTACACTCCGTACACGCCTTTACGGGCCTTGAGGCTAAATGGCTCTGCGGCATTAAATAAATATGTTAATAATTAGATGTTTGTTGGTTACACAAACATGCGGGCGCTGGGAACTTTAAGGAAATTGCCGACGTTGCTCTAGCTGTTAGACGGGCCGTTCGTGCTACAAGCTTATCGATAGCGTTGTAAGCCTCGGACTGTTAGTTACTGAAGCGGGAAAGGCCTGGCGGCTTCTGGATTTAGCCGGGAATGATCCAACATGGCGCGGGGACAGTCATTCCTTACTGGTGATTGGCAGATTTTGAGATCTATTTTTAGGTCGTAGGGTAAGTTGATATCGCGAGAGCTTTACGAAGAGTCTCGAGGTAAGTAATAATAATTCTAGTGCTTTTAATGCCTTAATAGCTTCTTGAGTAGGATTAACTAGCTTTATTCTTTACGTCAATAAGAAAAATCAGCATTTTAGTATCTGGCTCCTAACGCTGCATGGTTTGTTATCATTCTGAAATGCGACTTGCTTATTGCTACCCCTCTCGAGTAACTAAACCAGTGACAAATAAAACAAAAGACGAGATATTAACTCAGAAATATCTAACTGAAGTTTCTCTTGTTCTCCTCTAACCACGCCCTGAAATCTTGCATGTTAGGGTTATAACCACGGCACTCATGTACATCCCCGCCATAACCTTCATCAGCGAACCACTTGAACATATCACCAACAGACCCCTTCAACACAAACTTGACCGCACTGGCAACCGGACAAGGCGCCAGAGCCATCTTCTGGCCGAAGACTTCACAATAGATAGTATCCGCCTCACGCTGTGTGAGCTCATCGCCCACAAGCGTCAACGCTGCATTCTTGTACATCTCCGGCCAGAGCAGACTCTGAGCCACAAACCAGCCAATGTCTTTCGTCGACACCATCTGTAGCTTCTTACTTCCCATCTGCTCCCACATACGTGCGAAGCCCTTTCCGTGGATATCGGTCGTGATATTTTCGAAGAAGGTTACCGGCCGAAGAATAGTGTATGTCATCTGCTGCACGCTTTCGCGCGCCTGCTGTTCAAGATGTTTCTCAATAGCGTGTTTCGCGGCAAAGTTCTTGACGTAGGTTGGATTATTGGGGGATCGCTCAGGTCCACCACGGTCTCCCGAAGAGTAGACAAAGTGCTGGACACCATGCTGTACGGCGGCATTGATGGCAGCTTTGCCTTGCTGTTCTTCTGCGTCCGAATTGATCTGGACGCTGTAGACGCCCCATACTGGGCCAGCTTTGGCGAAAATTGCACCGACATTTTCCAAATCACCTTCAACAACAGATATCTTGGGATTGGCAGCAAGAGCTTGAGCTTTGCGGCTGGTCGGGTCGCGTGTGACTGCAATGATATGAAAGGAAGAAGAAGGCGAGTTTGAGAGGATGTTGTCAATGACAGCACCGCCTTGCTTGCCGGTGGCGCCAAAGATCAACATGGTCTTTTGTGTATTGAATGCCGACATCTTGCTTCTTTGCTTAGGATAAAGCTTGAATGTTGAATTATTGTAGGTAAGAGTTTGAGAAGAATTTATTTACTGTTCAGATGAAAATGATCTCCAAGTTTGCGGAAATGTTTGTATTAATGTAGTGCAACTATTCGCATCTTCTTGCGCGAAGACGGCGTCCGGGTTGACATTTTTACATACATGAACTGAGACGGAGCAACTAAATCATCGTGAAACTCATAGCTGAAAGATCGCCATGCGAATGCGAAAGATAAGAGGCCCTTTCAGGCGGAGCAACGCTTAGCTTGAAGCGTACTAGCACATTTCAGGTTAGACTTGCGCTTCGATTTCCTCTTTCGAGCTAGCAAGCGAATGCGAGCCGGTCAGTTTATTCGTCCATTTATCGTGACGCTACTATGTATGTTTTATTCTCCTTCCCAACTACCGGCTTCAAAGACTTTCCTCACAAGACTATGATAAGATGGAATAATGAACGCTCTTGATCAAGTCCAATTTTTCATGCTAAGAGCGATAAGACTTAAGGCACGTATGAATCTCTTATTACACATTTCTACTCTAAAAAGTTGAGTCTAGCTCTATCATGTCAACTAGTGACAAGAATCACAATCCGGTTCTCCAGTATATCGCCTAGTTATCACTACTATAATAGTGATTGACAACCGGAGGCTTTGCACCAATACCATACGCACTACCTCCATAATTGAGATAACCCTGCGAGTATGGAAGAGCGGGGAACTTGCCCTTGATCTCCTGTGCATCGCCAAACACCCAAACCGTCGCCATACCCATGACCTGATGCTGAAGGATATGGCAGTGCATCATCCAAGCTCCAATGTTCTCCTCAGTAATCTTGATTCTCCATGCTCTCCAACCAGCTGTATGATGAGGTACGCCCTTGACGGCATATCGATACAGATTAGTCGAGTCTCGAAGAACAGGAGTGAAGTTCTTGAAGTGCTTCTCGTTTTCGTGAGCGTCGTAAGTGCCATTGCCTGCACCTAGATCATAGACATGGTAGCCATGGACATGCATCGGATGAAAGTCCCAGCCTCCTGTTGGGCCGTTGTTGTTCTGCCACACGATATCCAAAACTTCGCCGACTTTAGCTGGGAAGGCTTTTGTATTGGGATCAAAACCGCCGTGCTCTAAAGCGAGCGTGTAGTTGGGTGTTTGGCTGGTTTCGTAGACCTGGATGAGATATGGGACTTGGTTGTGATCTGCTTGGACACTTTCCTTCCATGGGAGACCATTTTGGCTGGACAAGTTGATTAGTAATGTATGGAGAGAAACGCAAGGGGGAACTTACGCCCAGGCGACTGTGCCGTTCAATGTTCCATTCTCATATTGTCCAGTGGTCAAGATCTGATTGATCTGAATAGTCACCGTCCTGGTTACCTCGCTCAAACGAGGGAATGCCTTGTTGTTATACTCCGAAAGCCCTTCAAGCTTGTACTCAAGGTAGTCGTAAGTCTTGTTTGGCAAGACAACAGGTGACGAGGGTGGCAGAGTCCTTGGTAGCTTTGGTCCCTTAGGACATCTATACCTAAGAATAGCGTAACCGCTGATCTGTTGAGGTCGATCACGACTCTCATACCGGACCCAAAACTGCGAATCTTCTCCATGGCAAACATCCTTCGCAGACTTAGTCTTTAAGAGGTAGCTGAAGCGCTGACCGGATGAAACTTGGACGTGATCCACCTTGGCTGGCTTGGTGTATGAACCATCAGCCTCAATGACAGTCAGCTTGTCGTGCCCGTCAATTCCAAGCTTGATCATCGACAAAGCAGTGGCGCCGATGAATCGCATTCGATACGTTTTGCCAGGATCAACTTCAATGACATGAGGCGTGCAGCTAATGTCAGAAGCAGTGTCGAAACTCTGATTTCCAGAATTGCCGTTTATCGTAATTGCTTGAGGTTCACCAGACCACTTGAACGGATCTCCGAGAAGACCCGCCTCAATTGTCTCATCTGCCGCAGCGTAGTTATCAGCGACGATGAGCGCAAGGTCCCCGTCGTACTTGTATTGAGGTTTATCGGCATCCTTGACGATCAGGACCCCATGCGCTGTCAAGCTCTGGAGTCCAACGTGCGAATGATAAAAATACGTTCCCGCATCTCCGCGCTGAGGTCGTACTTCATAATCGAAGAAGTGATTCGCGGGAACGGGCCATTGGCTGACGAGAGGTGTACCGTCGGAAAATGGTGCGGCTCGTTGGCTTATTCCATGCCAGTGCTGTCTCTGTCAGCTGACGCTTCATCAATTGGTATAAGCGGACTTACAACAGTGATGTTCTGGTCTGGCACGCGATTGTAGACACGGATCCAGGCTGTTTGTTCTTCTTTGAGGTAAAGCGTAGGTCCCGGAAAAGTCCCGTTAAAAACGACCGACTGACGAGATTTGCAATTGACTTTGATGTCCTCTAGCGTAGCTTCAAGCACATAATCCGGCGTAAAGGTCTGATCGTGCACCTTGCATTTGGCCGCCGCCAAAGCCAACAATGGCAACACAGCCAGAAGATTCAACATCATTTTGCAAACCTTGCCTCAAATCATAAGAACGAGATTCAAGGTAAAGTTCAATTGCTATATATACTTTAGGATGATGCGGCACGTCGCATTGGGGGCCAGGCAATCCAGGCCCTCCGAGGTGCATTGTCACCCAACAAGCTTTCAGCCCGGATGACACGGCGTGAGCACTAAAGTATCACCTGAAGAAAGGGGCCTAGCGACTTTCCAGAGTGAGCGTGGCACGGTACACGATGACGTCTGTGATAATGTCAACAAGCGGTGCGATTTGGTAATAAGCAAGAAAATACGAATAACGAAGGAAGAAGCTAACGAGGCAGTAAGCAGAGACGCCTTGGTGATTGGTCATGAATTCAAGATCGTCGGTGTTCTCACCGTTCTTTGGGCGCTGAGTCTGACCATTTTGGGTCAGTGCATGGCTTAGCCGGATGAACGTATTGTGCTTGGGGGCGTAAGGTTTTATCTAGGCGCTATCTAAGCATCTGCCGTGTTTGAAACAAATTGGCGTATGCAGAGAACTTCGTTAGCAGCTGGGATGGCCCCGCTTGCGTTAATTACAGCCCCATTGATCTGCATGACAGTTATTTCGGGGCTTCGGAAACAGCAAAGTTTAAATGGGAACTGTTACGCGGACTGCGATGGATCAGATGATGAGCGTACCGTGTTCGCGCGATGGCTTTGAATGTGCCTCAGACTTCGCAACTTCACCGTGCAGCAATGGTTCCCACTTGCCAGCATGTCTAGGGATACACTGGAAATCCAGGTTTTCGAGGGAGAGAAGACCTGCTTGAGGATCATTACTTCACAGCTATGTCCTATCATAAGCTCGGTCAACTTTACTTGAAGGGGCAGTCATGTCAGGAAGTAAGCGATGCATTTGAGAAAGCCCACAGTATTCTAGAGATCCCGTTGGCTGGGGCCAGGGCAGAACTGGCGAGGACACTTTGGTACTGGGGCAATGCAAAGGAAGGCATGAGATATCTGAGGCTCATAAACTGAAGTAGAAGGCAATTCGTATTGGAGCCGAGCTACTGAGCCCTCGGGAGGTTAAGAAATGGGTTGATGGAGAGCTTGACAATCTTGTTGTGTACTAAAATAGATAAAAGAAAGGAAATAGCTGCCGGCGAAGCCAATTGGCGAAGGGGGAATGGAACTACGTAGCCTTTCTGAAAAGCTGCCCGTCTTCCTGTGTATCATCAATCCTTCAATGAATATCAACAACCTCTTCATTTTCTAGGACGAACTGAATTTTGTAAAACCAGTATAGTCTATACCACTGGCCCCGCTCGATGATGCGATCAAAGCTCTCGTTGAATACGAAGGCGTGCTGTTGATACTAAAGAACACCATATTTCTCGTCGTCTCGGTTCTGAGCGACATGATGAGATCGCCGCGTTTTCAAACAAGATACTGACGCAGAATTGATAAGGCTTATGCCAAAAACATCCCTGATACTTCTTCAAATCACCAGGAGGTTCGCTGGGCTGTCTTTCGCTATCCAACATTATCTGTACACGTTCCATGGCGGATCGCCCTTATAAAGCTGCAGCAGTAAGGAATGCTTAAGTCAGGATCTGAGCAGTCCAGTCCATAGCATCGCAGTGGCCGAAAGAACTGCCGATGACAATAATTCCAGTATCCAACTTTGGTACCAGGTATACTGTGGAAGAGCAGCCAGTATTATTGCCGGCGTGGTGAAGTAAAAAAGGTCAGTTGACCAAGCCTCCAATTGTAGGATATGTGTCTAATATTCCCGAGTTGCTGGTGATCTCACTGACTTGGTTCGGGAGCTGGGTGCTCCCCCAGCCCATACCGTAGGACTGCTCGCGAAGAGCCTTGGAGGCCTTGAGAGGAATAGAAGCGTCAAAGATAGTACGAAGCTCTTCAACATTAATGCTGTGCTCCTCAATCCTGGTCGATGTAGCAATTGCTCGTAGAAGAGAACCATAAAACACAAGGAGATCCCGCATACAACTTCGAATGCCGCCTGCGGAAAACGCAACGGTATCACTTGAGATACGAGGACTGGGAACCTCGCGTAGCTTCAAATCGTGGTAGGCAAGATAAGCTACTGAGATGTTCCCATCCATCCTTGAAGGTTGCTCTGTAAATGTCCAAGTCATATTCAAAGGCTTGAGGATACGATTGGCGAGAAATTCACCATAGCTTATGCCTGAGATTTTCTCAATGATACACCCCACCGCATGATAACCAAAGTTGTTGTAAATGAAGTCTTGACGTGGTGGGCGGCTTATATCGAGTCACGCAAGTAAGGTGGTGCCTTGGGTTTTGGACAGGAGCAGCTAATTATTTGGTCCAATGAAGAGTGCATCCGAACTAAAAAGGCCGATCCGATGGCTAAGCAAGTCCCGAATGGTAGAATTACCAACGTTGGTGTAACAAAGGTCGACGAGAAAAGTATCAGCACGGTCATCCCAGTGAACCTCCCCATCCGTAACCAGACAAGCAATGGCTAGTACTGTAAACCCTTTACACATAGAACCAATGTTAAAAATATTATCGACATCTGATCGAAGTCCTTGGTCCACATCACGGAAACCGAGATACTTGTCAAATGCATTCCCATCTCGGTCAAATACCCCAATCTCAAGCCCTGGAGTGCCAGAAACAAAGCAAGCTTGTTAAATATGTGCCTCGGTGAGATGGAAGATCTCTTCCCAGGTTGATGTACAGCCTGATAAATTGACCTTGTACGCGTTGCGAGTGGCCATGGGACAACAGTCGACAGAGGAAAATGGAGACGACGATGGGCGAGCGGGGAACGTGAACGGGAAGAATCAGTAAGATATTTGGTCAGACGCTAGGTGGAGCCCCCAACCATTGCTTATTTGTGCCTTAGAACCGTTGCACAGAAATGCTAAGTTCGCGACATAATATCTAATTCAGCTACAAGGACCTGAGCACTAATTTTGGCTCCGAGGTTTTTTTCTTTTCTTTTTGCTGTACCATCGTGGCATGGCTGTAGGAAAGGAAGAAAAAAAGATACGCAAGTGTTTGCTCTATAGACATCTCCCAACCCACCTCTTCATGATGCCTGATGCCCGCCGACTTGGAGAGTCCTTGTTGAGGTTCAATCAATGGCAGCCTGCATTATGCTTACAATTCGCGCACGAAGAAGTTACTTTCCCACCAGTGCTTCTTTGGCTTCGGCGATTGCTGGCCATCCCCTTCTCCCTGGGCAGCAGCTTGCCCAGGGTCGATTGCCGCCAACTTCTGCTGCCGTTCGTGTTCTTTGCGACGCGTGTCCCATTGCTTCTGGCGTTGCTTCTCTTTGACCCGAGCCTCACTTTGCTTCGCCGGATCGTCCAGTGCATCTATTGTGTCCCTGATTCGGTCGCGGCGTACTCGCTCGACTCTGACTGCGCTAGGAGACCTCACTATCATGGCTTTGTTAGGCGTCTATCTCAGAACTTTTGACGTAAAAGAAAAGTCAGATAGCTTACAGTCATTGTTGGACTCCTCCTCAAGCCTAGCTAGCTCAGGGCTGTACTTGCTAATCAACCTGACGTTGTAGAATCCTGGCAATCCAAGCGAAAACTCGTGATCGACCATGAAATGTTCGAACTTGGAAAATAAGTCAAACTCGAAGATGAACTCGTTGCTGAACAAAATGTCTACAGGAAGGTCGTTGACAACGTAAAAGTCCCAGCTGGTTTGCTGTTCGGAGTCACCGAAAGTCCATGTTGCGTTGTGGATGCAACCCATAGTGAAGAACTTCGAGCCATCTCCTTGCTCAAGCTCGAGGTGATGTTCTGGACTGTAGTCAACCTTAAGGTAGTTTGACTTGGCCCACTGAGCCGACACCAGCATGACGTCGGACCCTGTGTCTGGAAGGGCAAGAACATGGTGTCCGTTCAGCCGCCCCCAGAGGCGCTGTTCTTCATTGCCGAGAAGGCTGACTCGGGGGCAAGTCTTGAGATTGCGTAGTACTCCTTGAATTCGGTTCTTGAATTTGGTGAGAGTCTTCGTAGCGCGCAAGAACGAACCGGAAAGAACGAGGTCGCTGGTACAACCAGGGAGGATCCGGCAGTCCAGCATATATGTCTTGATTTCTCCGTGGAACACGAACGGAACTTTCACAGTTCCTGGAGAAATGACTGTTTTCCCGCAGGGTAGCTGAATGGCTTCAGGCGTGGTGTTGTCGGGTACGAGACAACCCTTCACGACGAATTGTTGTGAGATGAAGTTGTACTTGGCGCCAGTGTCAGGTAGCGCATCCACTTCATATTCTCCAACTTTTGCTTTGACACGGTAATCTTTCAACCCGGGGTTGAGGATGGACTGCAGGCGGTTGCCTGTGGGAGTAGCACCGCTGGGCCTGACCGACTCGAAGAGGCGCTGGACCCCGGCCGGGTTGCGGATATTGTTGTAGCCGTTGGAAGCTTGAGTAGCGGAGCCACGAACACCAGATTTGTGGTTGAGAAAATAGAGGTCGACGCCATCCGAGTCGTGCGACGTGCAGATTGGAGTGATGGCAAGGAGCGCATCGCGAACCTCGCGCCAGGACCGGCCCGCCATAGCACCGGAGTCGTCGATAAGGAAGACGGTGTCAAAGGTGGACAGGAAGGCATACTTGTCTTCGGCGGACGTGATGCTAGCTAGGCTGGACGATGTAGAGGGACCAGCGGAGGCGGTATATGCGGGAGGGGCATCTTGGGCTAGGAGGTTGATTGTTGGTAAGTCGAGAAGCGCACCAGGAGATTTGAGGTCAGACTCACGAGTCTCGTTGCTAGGCTGCGTGGCAGATAATGGGTCGGGGAATGGGTTGTTAGTATTCCAAGACGTCCCCGCGTCGTTGACTCCCCTCACATCGCGCCGTGAGAGCCTCCACTCTGCTTGGGAAGATGATGAGTTCTTACGAGCAAACTTGTCCTTGGTGCGTTCAAACATTGATTTAGTCATGGCTGGCGAGTGTATCGACGAGGTTGTTGAATAGTGACTCAGATTCGAAACATGGTGGGGCAGGTGGCGGCTCTGTACTTGGTGTCTTTTGTTGGCGATTGCTTCTGTAATAAGTAAACGGCCTAGTTGTCAAATCGGGACCACCTAATGAGTGGCTGAGCCATCGATTTTCAGGTCACAAGCGAACACGTCACTGTGGCTTAGCGGCTGGTCAGCCCGATTAGACAAGGCAGTCTAATGTCGCATTTTGTCGTAGGCCAGGTGCCTGGTCATCAAACTTCATATTTGTATTCTACATCTTCTTGTCACAGTTTTTCAGATATGGTTTCTGAATGCTTTGGTATTTTTTCGAACAACAACGGCGCAGCATCTGAAACCGCAGATGTAGAGAAACATGGCGGCCAGGACATTCAACAAGGGCCGTTGGGTTTCGCGGCTCTTTCGTCGTTGATGGCCTCGGACGGAGACCAAGAGCTCCTCATCTTTCGAAGATTCGACGATATCAGCGCTCGAAATCTTCTTTACCTACAGTGTGAGCTGTTATCAATAGAAGATCGACTGAAGAAATGGGACCGGAATGTTCTGAGGAGTCGGAACACCAAACTTGAAGAAGTTGCGTACAGATGGGAGGAGATGGTAAAGCAAGCTAAGGAGGGAAAAGATGAAGCAAAGGAAATGATGGAACTAGTTTACCAGCTAAGGTCAAAGATCAAGGAATATCGTAAGAGCGCACATGACCTCCTTTTCAGGCTCTTACTCACATGTTCCACAGACGAGGCACTGGAACTTCAAAGTAGAGTGGCCAGACTTCATCCTCCGGACAAAAGAGCTCTGAAAGTGGCCCGAAATGAGCTTTGGGGAGGGCCTCTGGAAACCGACGGCCTCAAACCATCGCCAATAGTGGGCGGAAAGGCAAAGGATTATTTGGACAGAGAAAGTGACCTTGTTTCCGTGAAGGCACCTGTGGAGACGGATTTGTTATCGAAAACGCTGAGAGCTGTCTGGCCAGGCAAGGTGAGTAAACCCCATTTGATTCTGGCTGATATGAGATCCTTGACTGATCATTGTACCTTAACCTACTAGGAGGAGACCTCGAGGGACGGTATAAGTCGTATCAGCCGGTTCGACGAGCGGTCAGTCGCGATTACGGTGGCTACTATCAACATTATTTTCGCCATCATCTTGCTGGTAGGACCGATCACGAGTCTGTCGTACGTTAGCTCTCGAGCAGCGGTGTTGGGCATGATATGCACTTTCACGGCTCTTTTCGCAATCAGCTTGGGACTCATGACAAAGGCGAAAAGGGCGGAGATCTTTGCTGGGAGTGCAGCGTGAGACCTCTCGTCCAAACAGCCAAATAGAAGGAATCGAGGTTAGCTGACTTATGAATCACAGATATACTGCTGTTTTGATGGTTTATGTGAGCAATGGGGACTTTTCAAGTGGCAAATGATGGCGGGTATCATTGAAGCATCATATTTATATCCTTGAGTATTCTTGTGGCATTCTGTCACTCCACAAAGCCCTTGGAATTAGCAAGCGACAATAGTCAAGATATATCACGGCTACATCGTTCCTGTACAAATTTTAAAAGAGGCAGTGAAACCCCAAAAAGCGTCTCTGGAGCATACCAGACGTCGGTCGACAAGAAGTCAGCGGTGTGGGTAATAACTAGCCGTCAGGACGCCATCGCCATCTTCTGCCCGCCGCGTCTGCCCTTTACATCCAGTGTGAGAAACACATGGGATTAGCGATTTAGCGCCGAGGTTAGCATATGTCAGGAGTTCGTTCAGCCGAGTGACGGCGTTTTTGATCCCATTCAGGGCTTCACTGAACCGACCTAATCTTGTCACCCAAGCACAAACGCCGAGAAACAGCGAAATCATCTATTGATTTAACTACAGACATTATGCTATATGCAACACTCTACTATACCGAGAAGCCATTTACCAGTTCCGCGTTATTATCTTCCCAGATAGTTACTTTGCTGGGGACTATAGTTGACTGACGTGAGCTAATCTAAGATATTATTGTGCTCCTGTGTCTGCTGATGATGAATAATTGTGTTAGCTTTCCTAGATGTAGCTGAGACCTTGTTTTTTAACTCTGTTAGGGCGATACCATAGTAGCAATCGAGCCACAATAATAAGCAAGGAAGAAGCCACATATAACGAGAGCTTCATGTATTTGCCATCGGGATGGTTTTTGGACTACTTATGCTAACCCGACATGTTTTCGCTGATCCCCTTCTCAGCTTTAAATTGAGTTGGCGCGATGCAATAAAGCAGATCTTTGGCATACACCGCGACCATTATCACTGCATATCCTTGCTACTCTTTATTCTTATATGAGTCAGAGTAGTTGCAGATGCCTCGAATAACCAGGAATGGAAAGTCATTCATTAAGCCAGCTGCTTCCATATCGAAACAGAGAACGCCCTTATTCACTATAAGCGCATCCCAAGTAAAGGCATCCTTTCATGAGCCTATTCGACGAAGCAATTAGAGCTGTTCCAAGTCGTAGATGTAGTCGATCCCAGCTTTGCCGCATGGCCAACCATCGGGATATTATCATGATAGGGGCATTCGTTGTTCCATCTTGACCACGTTGTATAAAGCGAGAGTAAGATAAAAAGGTTTACTGCTATCATCATAAGAATGATAATTTATTATAGAGTATTGTATTATAATAAAGAATAAGATATTTATACTTGCTATACTAATCAAAGTTGATTAAAGTATTTATTATTTAATCTGCCTGAGGTTTAATTATTAAGTGCTTAACCTAGACCAAGTATGAGGTTAGAACTGAGCAGGAGTTAATACCACCGGTAGTATGTTGGTATCTCAGCTTGCTAACTTCAGTGGGCTAGTATTTCCTTGGTGCAACGATGTTTGAACCTTGCCAGCATATCCAGCCCATTTCTCGAATCCGACACCAAAGATGTCAGCCGTCTCAAGAGCCCGTGTTCGATTAGGCAGAATCCTTCGCATTAGTCATTTGAATGAAGGCCACCTCGCTTCTACTCCGAGCACTTATGTTTTGTTGATCTGTTCGTGTGTCAAAGGTTTGACTAGTCCTTGTCAGGAAGATGGTTTGAGCTTTATGGATTTCCATACCTACATCAAGTAGTCGTAGACTTTCGTTCCTTTCTTTTTTGGGAAGTGGACAATGAATAGAGCGGACCATCGGAGGCTTTGCGCTTTGCAGGGAGAGTTGTGCTGGAGTATGAGGCTGCGTTCTGATTGTCAGATTGTCGCTTTGTCGATGTCGACGAGCTAAATCCAGGTTGAGTGTTCGATGGCGGCTGATGAGTGTTTGGTGTGCCGTTGATGAGGTCAGCGATGTTGGGATCACGAAAGTGATCACTTTGTGGAATGCTTGTTTCCTCTTCCTTGTCGAAGGTGACATCGGTGATAAGAATAAGGATGTCAAAGTAGTGCAACGCCCTGGTGAGATGCTCGTTGGTAACTACAAGTCGTCCTCTAGAGAGTTTGCGCCGATTGGCAAGACATAAGAGGACGTGCTTGACCTCATCTACTACCTTGTTTCTCCGGTCACTTGTCTGATGACAGGCACCAACGGTACGGGTGAGAAGGAGGTTAAGATTTTGGAGCCACGAAAGTTCCATGTTAGGAGGTGCCGCTGTACCCAACTAGAGCCAGGGTAACTCTCCAACAATGTCCTCGATGTCTCTGCAGAGGATTGTCGTGGATTCAGTTTCGCAATTCAAGTTGATGTTGTTGGGCTTTATCGGGTCCAGAGGACCCATGTTGTACGACATGGTGAATGATCAAGGTAATAAGTATCTAGAAGCGACGATTTGCATGCATGGATAAATGAAGGTGGTATCGTGGAAGTGAAGAAATGAAACGAAGTTGAGGGGATTTGGGGATGGAGGAGAATACCGTGACGCGTTCGGCGCGATGGAGGCAATGATTCAGAGGCGCCAGGCGCCTCAAAATTTCGCTGATTTAAACACTCCAGCGTTCAACGGATGAACCACGCGACTCCCCCAGGAGAGAAGTCACTAAAACGGTCTCATTCACAAACTTTCATTATTTACGAAGACCTCCTAGGAACTACAACCTCTTGATCAACTTCTTGCTCAACATGAGCCTCGAGGCAACAATCAAAAACGTCGCAGCAGATCCAACACCCGCCGCGTAAAAGATAGCAGCTCTATACGGCTCAATCGACGAAGCCTCCGACGCACCCGCAGCATCAATCAAGATCCCCGCCAATGGCGCTCCCATCAAGTATCCAGGTGTCCAGAATGACGTCATCAGACTAATAGACGCAGCAGCGGATCCAGGCGCAAGTGCAGCTACAGCTGTCGGCAGTGCAACAAAGAAACTCCCATTGGCACACCCGTTGATGATGGCGAAGGCAAAGAGTGGCGGGAGTGATGAACTGACAGGCCAGATCGCTAGCATGGAGACACTGTTGATGAGGGCTGCAAGCGCGAGGGAGTTGAAGGCGCCAATGCGATCACAGATCCAACCGCCGAAGAGACGACCAACGGCTGTAGATGCGCCGAAGCCTGCGACAAGCCCGGCGCCTGTTGAAGCAGAGAGACCAATCGACCTCGCGAATACGGGTAAGAAGAATGGAGGCACAAAGAGAGCGAATACTCCGACAGCGCCTGACATGGTGAGCGTGAGAAAAGGCATGCTCTTTAACTGTGACCAGTCAAATCTCGATGTTGTTGCACCGCGAGTAAGCTCTGTGAGAAGAAGGGCGCACGGGATTCCGGTGACAAGAATCGAAGCACCCAGAATCCGGAAAGTCCACTGAAGCCCAACCTTGTCGATCATGGCTTGCGTTGCCAAAGGAAGCACAGTTGCGCCAACGCCGCCTCCCGCTTTGACGATTCCATTAGCTGTACCGAGCTTCCGACTAAACCATTGAGTGGGCATGGTGTTTGTAGCCGTGTAGAGCAGAGAGGTTGATAGACCAACGAGTAGCCCAGCAATGCAGAAAAGACCTGCGAGATGCTCGAGGGTGAAACTCGTGATGATCAAGCCTGATCCAAAGAAGATTGTCGCTACGAGACTGGTGATGCGAATGCCATATTCTCTTGATAATCTGACCGATATCAAGCCAAACGCGACCATGCAGGCCATGTATAAACTTCCAACAAAGGTAATGGTTCGAATATTAGTGTGAAGTCGAGGTGACTGAACAATGGCAGCTTGCAAAACTCCCCATGCTGTAGTGTACCCATTTATCCAGAAGAGTAGAGTGAAGCATGATCCGACAATTGTCCAGCCATACCCGCCATCAGGAATTGCACTTGTGGCGTGTTCCGGTGGCTCTTCCTCGTTTCTCACGATATCTTCTGTGGTGTTGAGTGGACTCTGGCTTGAGGAAGACATCTCGATAGCATCGCCTTGGCGCGATGGATCCATGCTGGATGTTGTGATGGACTGTGCGACCGTGTTTGTAGCCATTTTGATAGTGGTGGATGATTCGGTGAATGAACCGCAGTCCATCACAAAGAATGAGCACTATATACGTGGGGCAAGAAGCGATTGATACAGAGAGTATTGACGTCGAAGTATAATGCCATCACATGAAGGGCGCACTTACAGGGCGTCTGCGCTTTTGACTTGAAGGGCGCGCATCAGCATAAGCAGTGACGACATTCACTGTGCCTCGATCTTGGACATGGATGGCCATCTTCCTAGTCAAGTTAGGCCCTTTTCACCGCCGATAAACTCTTTCCTTATGCGGTTTCAACGCGGGGTTAAGCACTTTCTGCTTACAGATCTAAACCTTGGCACTCCGCCCATTGACTATCTTCTACGGGTTGAATGTTCTGAAAGAGATCACGAACAATGCTGATTTCTTTTCTGATGCTACTCCATTTTATACCTTGAATTGAGGTATTCTTCTCGCTGAACTCAGATTAAATTCCAGTCTATACAACTGTTATTCTCCGTCTCATGAAGTCTGTCAGCATATGTCACCATGATGCAATCAGAGACAAGCTTGTAGGGAGCGGGCCGCCAATATGCCATGATATATATTAGGACCTTGACTTTTGGGACGGAAGACAACGGTCAATCGAATGCACCGGAGGTACACAAGTAGCAATGAATCGATGACATGCTCTACGTTATGGCGTCGTCAGATCCGTCGGACAAGGTCTTCTATTCACATACGGAACTCCGTAGGTCCGTTCTGTGAGCATGCAGGGAGCTACACTGCCCTTAGTTGTCCGTAATCGTGAGTAGAATACTCAAGGCTTCTATGCACTGCCATTCGCTCTTCGTCAGTCTTCGGACCTAAGGTGTGTCAAATCGACGACAAGGCACCATGCACTGCCGAAACAACAGTTGGCGTCCTTTCGAAGAATTTATCCCAGGCGCTATCCTCCTAGTATAGAATCTTCAATCGTCACATTCAATGTCTCCAGTGGAAGCTGGTTCTTTTGAAAATTGTATCTTGAATTGTGACGATATGTCTTAGAAGCTCGCTTGAGACAGCGATTCCTGACTCTACTGCACATACTCATATGGTTTGCTATTAGCATACTGCCTGTAAGCCACCATCTATAACCAGGGGCGGCATGAGTCTTATGAAATATTGGAGTTAAATATGTATTTATATATATTGCAGTTGCACTACCAAGTACTCCCATTGACCCGCGTTTAACACACTATTGTTGCAACATTTTACTTTCTACTTCACTGCATTCTTCTTCTTTTCCTCCTCCACTTTACTCTTCTTACTGGGACAACTCGGGTTTGGACGTGTCTCAGCCGTCAAGGTCTCGCATAAATGAACCCTCCACTATTATCTCCCTGATTCTAGATGCCGTTCGTAAGAGGGTGCACGTCTTTTGGCGATATTGATTTTTTCCTGGGCATTGGCGTTGAGTCTGTACCCTGTGAAATATATCCATGCGAAGAATTCGATATGGCCACAAGGCACGCAATACTTTATGTCCTTCTTACACATCTTAACCTTTACTGATTCTGAGTATCGATCTAAGAACTGGTATGTAAGCAAGCAGTTGGGGGTTGCATAAGATGTGAAATGGTGGCATGACATGAATTTATAGGTTTAACTACGACGTATCAGGTTCCAAATACCTGTGAAGCATTGCAAGTAGAACGGCCTTTGATTGATCAAACTTGAGGGGCCTAAATGAGGTAGCCAACGAATGCTTGTTCAACAAATGGCTGGGGTGGTGGGAATCCAACTCTACATCAGACTACCAAATAACTGACTCGGTGATGTCTATCGACCAACAACATAACATTACGCCTCTGTTCCTTTTCCATGCTCTTCCTCATTCGACTTGTCGCCTTCAGGTTGTTTCTCTATTATTTTATCCTTCGCCTCCTTGGTTTCCTCCTCCGGGGCTTCCTTCTTGCTAGGGCATTCTGGATTCGGGCAAGTCTCAAGGTTGAACGCGCCGCTCACAGTAGTTCTCATTTCCCCATTGATCACCAATGGTGATGGGTGAAAGGTCGTCGAAGTAGTCAGTCCCAAATATGATGGGCAATATACCCACTTCAAAGTCTTGGTATGCTCGCAGGCAGTACAGTATATTGTCTCGCGGATGCACATGTTGTCGCTGGCGTAAATAATAGTCTTGGAAGTAATTTCTTCGTTAATGGATTAGAGGGTTTTCTTTTCAAGCTTTGTTGCTGGAGGGTTGAGTTCTCATTCAGTGCTGGATTTTATAGGCGCCTTTTGGGATTCCCATGCGCTCGGGATTATGACATAGTCCCTGACTTAAATTAAGTGGCCTAGTGACAATTGAATCAAAATGCGATGAATCATGCCATACGGTATAAAATAAAGTCTAGAGCTGAATGAATAGACATCATACAATATGCCCATACCGAAATCGGCCTTTAGTCAACAGTCAGGAACTACTGAAGCATCGCCTCGTTTGGACGTAAGCACTGTAAGAATGCATTAAAAGTCGAAAGCAGAAGCAATATCAGAGGGATGAATACTGGACCTTCTAGAATGAAGATGCAATCTCCATATTTTGAATCAGGTTTCAGAGTGTCTCGTAGCCATTGCCCCGGAGATAGCCATGTACGTCAAGCGAAGTCAGCACATTTCCCTGATTGGACTACCGTCTTTAGCTATTAAAGATCAAAGTCACCATAACAAGAGCCAGGCTTCTACATATCAGGTGATGTACATTGTTTTATATAGTCACTATCGGAAATAACTCAAAACTCTCCTCGATGTCACTGTTTTAGAAAGCTAGCACAATACTAGTGTCTTTTATTTCAGCTATCTGATATTGACTCCCACCATCTAGGCCCCCCTTCTAACATTTGCTACACGACCAATCCATGAATTATAGTCCAGTCAGGTCGTTAACCGCCATCGAACTCCCAAGCCGCTGAGTGGATGCTTAGAAGAAAGGAGGGTCAGGGGTATAGGATTTGCCCGAAGCCAGCCAGGCATTGTACTGGGCCACACATGTTGCGCAATGATCGAACGTGGAACTCCTGTCCTGATCAACTTCAGAACAGTTGCTCAAGTCACAGCGCTCCTTCTTATCCTTGCGAGCCTTTTCACATCGCCTGATTTCAAAGTCGACGCCTGTCGACATGTGGCACCGTCTGCAGCGGTAAGTGATGTTTGTAAGCCAGCACATTGTGAGCAGTAGTTTATGAGAAGTTTCAAAAATTGTTAGCGGTAGTATAATACTGTAAGATTGTAATGTCATGTAGTGTTGATGTTGATGTAAGAGGGAGAAATCTTCTTGGGGCTAGGATGACGGGTTTATATACTTGGGAAAAGCCAGTGATTCACGAGGGCAATATATCGACGCTAGGTATCTTGGCCTTACAGAGCTTACAATATTTTAATACAAGCTTCATGGCTTTGTAACACGATATAGGGCTCAGTGACTCAGCTTCGCAGTCTCTGGGATGTCCCGGATGGTGTGGAGCCTAATAGAACTGAACCATGGAAGTTAGCTGTCAATGCCCGGTTCAGGTCACATCTCCAGGTATATCAGACGTGATGGACAGTAACTTGCCCAAGCCAAATTTTGCTGCAATCACGTCGATAGACTGGCGGTAGATGACCCCTTGGATCCTCATCAGCACAATCTGTTCAGAAGCCGTGAATTCTATACGTGAGCCTGCTGAGATTATCTGCTGTACGACTATTCATGGAATTACTAGATCTGGAGGTCATCAAGTCAGGGTCACAGATTAATCGCTGGATTCGAGGTTGCAGCGGCAAATAATATCCGTATATTTTCTCTAGCTCTTAAACTTCGGGGTTTTTATGTTAGCCTCATGTATTGAAAAGAACTTGAGTGGGCGGAAAGAACCCATTGCATATCTTTTGAACCAGCAGTACGGGAGAACCATCTCAGTAGGTCAGCTATCACCTAGCTCACGTTAGGTTGAGACCGTAAAAGATACGCCTAATCTCTACCATAAGTGTAAAAAGCTGCCGCCTGAGATTGACAGCCCAAACTTCTATGGCCCATCCCAATCTTGTTGCTCTAGGTAAAAGGTGGAATGGGGTAGTAGGGTCTTCCCGCTGCCACAGCTGCCTGCCATCGATCGTACTCCCTCTGACATGCAGTGCATTCAAGCCATCTCAAAAGTCGATTTACTGTCCCGTCGGTACAATCCTCCAAATTACAACGCCATTTGCCCGCCACAGTCGCTCTGGGGCATTTCCGGGTGCTGTACTCGTCACGTATCACCTGGCCACATCGTAAGCACCGGAAGTAAGTGGTGACACAGACGCACATATTAGGGCGTTCTGATATTTAGCGGTATTCTATTTATTTATAGTGGGATTGATCGTGGTGGGAATGTCGGCAAAGGAGGGAAAGCGTTCCAGCCTCTGAGATTGACGAAATAGATATACTTAGAGACCATGAGTGATTCGCAGCAAGACACTTGTGTGCGTGGAAGGATTTGTGTTCCACTGAATGTAGTAAACGTTACGGCTCTTTATAGATGTAACTCGAGTTTCACAATTATAGTGATGAAATCAAGATTGTATCAAAAGTGTAACATGTCGGATTGGATAAAATAGGGCCTGCCATTGCACCACGTCAATGGAATGATCACCTAACTTAGCAAAGCTAACCAATGTTACACAACATTTATTCCAGAACAATTTTATTCAAATCAGTGAATCTAACTCTTCATAGTTATCCATCGATTAAGTAGGCATGATTTATTAGCAAGATTTGCTTATCGTAGTGTATTTCTGTTAAACTGAAAGCTATTATATCAAGGCAGGTTCTTCTTCCAAGCTATCTAGGATATCGTTTCTCATAGTCCTCATAGCCAGGGAAAGGTGGATCAGGTCTCGGAACATGGTGACCCGTATCTACACGCAACTTCCAACAAATGAAAGGTTGAAAACACGCTTTACACTGCTTGAAAGAATCCGAAATATCCGAGGGGGGTTCCTACCTGGCATCGAGGCAAACGTGAATGCCTTTTGCAATGGCTTGGGGACATCGTCTGACTTGGACATCAGATTTCACGTGATACTTACAGCGTTCACAGTGGTGTAACACGTCTTTGGCTTCGCACATATTGGGACTCGCTTCTTGAGCTTGAAGGAATCCTTTAGTTTGGCGAAAAGGTAACATGGGATAGTAATAGCGTCGTAGGTGATATAAACGATAAGGAACTTTATATGTCAAATGAGAATAAGTCTTTTGAAAGAACGATGATCAGATTTATATGTATTGAGAGGGCCAATGATTCATGAATTGCATTCGGATCGATTATCGATGCGCATTACTTGAGCAATCAGTGTGGCAGGAAAATAATGTGTCAAGACACCGAGAGGCAACTCGACTGAGTAACGGGTGAAGGCGCGGCAAAATCTCATATCTCAGCTAGTCCGCTATAAATTACTCATCTTCAAAACAGCTTTCAGGCACTGTATTACCTCAAAAGCAAGAGCACTTCATAACTCATCGTGGTCCTACACAACACGGCGGCCCATTCCGCCAGGAACCTAAGGGCTCATACGAAAGCGCTGACTCTATAATCAATCCTTCACTGGGTCACTGGTGTGATCAGATCTAAACATAAGTCAGATAGTTTAATTCAGAGCTTCTTTACTATGGAAGGATCCATACCTTCCTATAAATGTCAACTTAGTAACGTCGGAATGGAGGATAAAGGTCTGGAACGGACCATCCTCGTCTCAGATCCTCCTGCCACTGATTGAACTCTCTTGTACATGCCGAACATCTGGTCCACGGCTCTGTCCTCCAGACGGTGCCACCGAAGTAATATTACTGCAGCAGCTGACGCCTTGCTGCAGGGTCATCATACATCTTGTAATGTTGACTACGGAGCCGAGGCCTTTATCGCAGCGTTCGCACTTGTAGAATATAGCTGTCCTGTCACACATAATGAACGCTTCTCTTTGACGTAAGTTGGGATTCTGGAATATTCTCCGCTTGGAGTTTGAGCAGAGTATAATGGCCTTTTGGCGTTACTAATGATAGCAGGCTGGATAGTTTGGAGGGAGAGACTGTATTCCGATATCGTATAGAACTTTTATATGTGTTCCTCATTTTGGGTCTAATCACGAACTGTAAGTCATTAGTAATACTGATAAATAGTAAAATAGATATTGAAGATCACTAACAGCAAGGGCGGAATGACTTATATTTGACCACTGTCCAGAGCCCAGCACAATCATCGGAATTACTAGATCAGATTCTACCATATGCTTCTACAATTCCTGTGGCACATAAGTCTATCAAACAAGCATGCACCTGGGTTTCACCGAATAAATGAACTAGCAGTGAGTTAAGTACGATTAGGATTCTACCTCTTCAACTATAGGAATGGTGGATTAGGCTGATAGTAGTGCCCTTGTCGCTGGGAAGCCAACCATGCGTTGTACTCTGCCATGCAGGATCTACACTGCTGCCAAGGGGTTACCGAATTCGCGTTCCGGTGCTCGCAGTTGCTCTTGGGGCAATCCCCCCCACGCGCTATAGCCCGCGCACAACAATGACGACGCTCCTCCTCCAGTGTGATTCTCCCACACCGAGCGCATGTATATGTATACTTAACAATAACGCACATGGCAAAAGTAGTCCCAAGGTGATTTCTTGGTATAACGTGGTTTCGTAGAGTTTAGTAAATTCTGTTGATAGAATGTTTTATTTAGAGAAAAGCAAGTAACCATCGGTCTTGGTTCAACAACATTTTATACCCTAAGAGAGACCGTGACTGGCTAACTCTCATATCTTCACAAACCGTATGATTCAGTTTCAAATATTGATCATCTCAAATGGTGGAATGGGTTCGTAATAGTATCCGCTTTGCTGGGCCGTATACCATGCTGTGTATTCTGTAGAGCACGCGTCACATTCCATCCAAAAGACTGGCCGTGTGACACTACTTGATGTACATCTATTCGGCGGGCAAATGGGCAGATTGGGGTCAGGGTTTTGTGCACATTTCGCATAATCCTGCTTCGATCTGGTGATAGCACCACAGCGGCAGCAACGGAAAGAGACGTTAACAATATGACACATTGTCTTGTCTAGTTGTTGGTACTTGCTGTTAAATCTAAACTTTTCTGGATATTTAGGGTTGTATATTGACAAAATGGATGTGAGAGGAAAGGGCCTTCGGAGTGCTAGTACTAAAGCTTTATATACTTATAGAAATATGGTGAATAACAAACAGTTTCTAGTGTAGGTGCGTGAAAGATACTGTTTCTGAGTCTTATGATGAGTGAATGAGTTACGGTTTGTATCCACGTAAATATCACTCGAGATATGCTATTTGACAGATGTTGATTCCAATATTGGTCACTGCATCAGTGGAGTCCTTTGTGTTTCGGTAATCATATGCGCCTTTTTCTAGCAAAAAGGTCGAGGCTACTACCAAGGTCCGCACCAGTATGCCCACTGCACCACAGCACTACCAAACTTGGTACGATACAAACCCGCCATTTTCTTCCTCCACTTTCACTGCGTAGTACGCTGCAACACAAGTTTCGCAATACCACCAATTCAGTACCCTGTCTTCCGAACTATGTGTGGAATAACGGCTGGCACATCTGTGACGTCGCGATCTTGCTCTGGCGGGTCTACATCGCCTGATATCTCGCCCGGTATCTAATACTCCTCTGCATTTGGCGCAGATGTACGATACGGCTATCACGTGGCACATTACTTATGTTAGATTTCTCTTCTTACTAGCTTTAATGAGAATAGAAGGAATTCTCTCCTTGTAAAGATGAGATTTGCTTGCGATTTATATACCTGAGAAGCCTCAGTGATGGATTTGCTAGCGGCATGAGAATGGTATCTATGGACGTCGTCGATTACCTCTGATTGGTAGTGACATGTCTTTACATGCAAGTGCTTCACTGTGCAACTAGCTGGGACAAAGAACTTACGTTACTCGGGTGACTTCGTGTGCACTGTCAACCAAAAGGCGGCCCTGTCTTTTGTCTTTACAAGGCAATTGGATTTCATGGGTTGGTCATAGCACTGGGCGGGCGGACAGGATTGTCAATCCCCGCGTTGCCCTCTATTTACATTAATTGTTCTACCTTGCTTAATAGGTTCTTCGTTGGCTCCCTTCCGGCTTCACTCTTGATTGTCCCAAGTACGTGAACACCCTGTAAGCCGCGCGCTCAATTGCAACGCATACACTTCAGTAACTTCGACATCCTTCGGAAACTGGTCGAAAGTTGCGCAGAATAAATTCGACACCAACACTTGCATTTTCAGTCACAAATGATATCTCAAATCCCCTTTCCGTAAGATGAGGCCGCGTAGACATCATGTCAGATAAGGCTCTCGGAATCCCGAAAAAGCGTCTGACGAATGGCTGGCCCTTGGCGCTCAACCAACAAACCAATCACGGGCCTTCAAAATTGCCGCCCGGTCTGCACAAGTGGCTTTATGTCTAAGTTTAAGCATAATCTTGACGATCCGGGATCCCGATACCGCCGTCTGATGGTTTGATATAAGGTTGAATGGCACAGCCCTCCAGGGAGACGCGGTTTGCTTGTTTTCATTGCCACATTAATGTAGTCAACGGGATTTCCGTTACCGATTATTATCAACTGCCGAAGATAAAAGAGCCGTGTTGTTCCAGTCCGAGAACTAAATCTTCATAATAAGCCAGCACTTTATACTATTTTGACGAGTCTCGAACCTCGACTTCCAACCATTCATTGGCTTCACCTTTCATCACCTGTTTCGAGCATCCTTCTATCAACATGAGCAACGATCAAAGAGAACGATGTGAGAAGATCTCTCCCGACTGCCCCCTCGAAGACACCATCTACGGCTATGTCCCTAACATGGGCGGCAACGCCTTCTTCGGCGTCGTCTTCGGTATCTGCACTCTCGTCCAAGTCTACTTCCTCATCCGCTACTGGCGTCTCTGGAAAGGCTATACCATCCTCGTCCTCCTCGGCAGCCTGATCGAATGCTGCGGCTACGCCGGCCGAATTCTCATGTCGAAGAACCCGTGGGACGGTGCAGCTACATCCATTCAGTTCGTGCTTCTCATGGTCGGCCCATCGTTCCTTGCTGCAGCACTGTACATGACGCTTCGAGCTTTGGTGCAGTACTTTGGGGAGCAGTATACCAAGCTTCCGGCGAGGCTTTGGACATGGCCGTTCGTTACTGCTGATATGCTGGGGTTCTTCTCGCAGTGCGTTGGTGGTGTTATGGCGTCGATGACGGAGAAGTATCCTGCTGTTGGAACTGCTGGTAGGGTAGTCATGGTGTTTGGCGTATCATTCCAGGCTGTCGTCATGGCTATTGCAGGTATTCTTGCTACCGACTTTGCTTTGCGTATGCGTCAACAACGGGGAAGTGTCTTCAGGAATCTGCCTAAAGACCTTAACATCTTTCTGATCTCTCTGACGGTTGTATTCCTTCTCATTCTCACCCGTTGTATCTACCGGTAGGTGGCATCATCCCATACGCTTGTCGGCACACCCTTGCCTGACAGTTTTAGTATCCCCGAGTTGGCTGGCGGCGTTGGTGGTCATATGATGCGACAAGAGGTTGAGTTCATGATCCTTGATGGCTGGTAAGTTCACTTCAACTTCTTCCGTCAACTTACTCGTTGTCTAACACTAAACTCTTGCCAGTATGATCGCCATTTCCGTTCTTCTGCTCTCCGTCACCCATCCCGGTATCTACGCCACCGCTATTCATGGCCGGGCCGACCATCGATCCAAGTCAGTCAGACTCATGGATCTTGAATCAAGAGCATCTCGAGACGGATCTCGCAGAGCACCTTCAGACAGATCACGCAGAGGACATTCAAACAGATCACACAGATCACCGTTAGGCCGATACGAACCACGACGGGAGCATCGACTTGAGCCTTCCGACTACAAAGTCAGCGGAGATGTTGCAGCGAATACGAGTGCCATGGCAATGAGAGGATATGGTAATAAATAGTGACAGTTATACAACACAGCCAGTGGTGGTTGCAATTTGGTGTTCTGAAAGTCTCTCCTATGTCTACTGTTCTATTTGTGATGGATCTTGCGAGAGTGTTGTAGCTTGTCTTTTTGCGAAGGGATGCACCGTCTAATGCTGCAGCTTGCGGTATGACCACGGATCTATTGGTGTAGTTGTGGACGTGCGTTTGGTCGGAATGGCGTTGATAAAAGACTTCTCTTGTTGGTGCGGGAGCTGCCATCTTGAAGATCTGGGGTTTTTGTGGTGTTGAGCTAACCTTTCTTGGCCGAGGAATTGGAGCATCTTATATGCCTTCAAGGCCGGTCAAAGAGTCATAATCTAGGTTTTCCTCATATCAGCTTTATGCTGTAGCAATTGGTCAGGCATTGTGGTATAATGTCTAAGTTGTGAGCCAGATGTGTTATTTGCCGTTGAGACTTGTGGCTGAGAGCCTATATCAGCACATAGAACTTAGCGATGGATCTTGTCTTTTATTATGTAATTCATGGTTGTTTTAGAGATAGATATATATATCAGGGTTGTCATTAGACTGTCATTGTTTCATTTATGCACCGTAATACCGTTTGGTCCTATCCTTAACATTCCTGACCCAGAGCTTGATATAAAATAGGCAAAGGTTGTGCTCCTATCAGCCACTACCCTAAGACACTTGTCCAACTGGGATTTTCTGTCCCAGTCCCATCAAAGTACACGAGATAGTAGAAGACAGTAGTGATAAAGTTGAACAGTGTCAGCGTAATGCTCGTGCTGGCTGTCGTGTTCAACGTGAGGCCCCGCATAACCAATTGATCCGGAGCAACGCCTATCCTTCCCAGCCATGCTTCAGGATGACCCGCAAACATCTGTTCCCTGGTCTCATCCTGCTCTTCAGCGGTATCTTCACCCGAGGTGAATTGCACCTCCGATTGCCCGCTCTGTTCGTCTTCCAAGCTACCACGAGACAACAAGAATGCTAAAAGAGTTCCGATCGACTCCAATAGCTTGGCGATAGCTATGCTGACAATGGCGGTACAGATGATTAAGCCCGAACTATAATTGAATACGTCCATCCACCTCGGTGGCGGCTTGATCGTCGCTTGCGATGGAGTCCTCGCAGAAGGCTGTCTTGCAAGCCCAAGGACCACCATGACCAAGTAAAAACCTCGCATCGGTACTATATAGAGTGATCTCGAGAGGTCTAGGCGTCGTCGCGCGACCAGATACGCAATCCATATGACGACCTGCAATACCATGGAGAAGGTAACAACCATCGCGGCCCATTCGCAAAGATTTTCCACCTCCGTGGAAAGTTTGAAAGAGGCTTGTCGGCTGATATTAAACCATATCCAAAACTCGAATGGCGCTTGGAGTACTGACGACAATAAGACATCAATTGACGTTGAATCATCCTTCTCTTGGAGGATCCCTTCTGGCTCCCATCCACAAATGGATACCAGAAGCTTGGTAATATTGGCAAAGAAGAAGATAAAAGCACAAATTTGCGTCGCAGGTACGCCCTGGAGACTAAAGACTTTGATGGTCTGTGGCAGGACGGTAAATATTGTCAAGGCTAATCTGATGACCAGGCCAGTGGCTTTTGGTGAGTTGCGACGAGTCTGCTGAGTCGAATTGTGTGACGACAAAAATCTCGAAATACCTCCGGCCAGTACAAACAAGTCAAAGATTGAATCGATGAGACAGACGGCGGGGATAGAGCGAACGATATCGACATTGCCTCCGAAGAGGTCATTGTCTCGTTTTCGATTGCCAGACGGTTGTGCTGCTGCTGCTGATGCTAGAGAGGCGAGGATCCAGAATGCTGTTGGGCCAGTGACCTCTGCTGTCGGTTGTGACTCGCTGGACATGTTTGTGCGGCTTCGGATATGAGATGCGTCAAGAAACCAGTTTCATTGTAAGATGACAATCCGAAGATATGTTATCGTTGACAACGATAAGCGAGGAGGATTGGGGGGCTGTTGTCAGCCTTGAATCTGCACGGTTACGGCGGAGTCATGGCGTTAGTGCTGGACGCAGATTGAGGGGAAAGCTACAGCTCGGTACGAGACTTCAGCCTAATCTTGATGGACTCTGTGCTGATAAGAAGTAAAGAGAGCGATAAGATAAGTATTTCTTTAGCAAGTTAAGGCAAACGAAACCCCGCCGCAATTCCGGACTTACCCTGCGGCACGAGATCTACCAAACTGGCTGAGACGCAATAGGTTCTAGCGTGTTGATCTGGAAGCAGAGTTACCATGATAAAAAAAATAGTAAAATTCTAGTATATTTGCTTTGAACATTGTTGAATAATACCCGGAGGTGGCTCCTGCATGTCGTTTCGTCAACACACTTCGCCCAGCGTGTAAATTGGCTTTAGAGATTAATTTAAGCTTATCGCCATCTCATCCCCAACTGTCAAAAGCAGAGGCTACATCGTCAACAGCAATGCTGGATTGATTTGGAACATATCTCAAATGAACAACTGTACAAATGACTTCGATGTAACCTGCCAGTTGCGATCATCCACCGGTACTAATGAGAAACGGGCAGACTCGTGCCTTTTAATCTTATGCTCATGAGGAGATCACCTGTCTTGCCAATAACTGGACGGTCTCTACGCGCTGAAACAAATGCTCTAGCAAATCAAGTGACCATTCAGATTATCCTGAATGGAATTGGAAGGTCATGACTGGAGTTCTAGTCCGGTTTAGGTGTATCATCCCTGGACTTCGGGCCAATCACTCTAACTAGCACGGGCTAGTTTCCCTTCTCGGGAAATATTCCCCCAGCAGGGTTGTAGGGCATAAAATTTGCGAGCTCCTGATGTAACGCTCTGATAGGTCACGCATTTTGATCATAGGAAGAGGATGCGAAAATTCTTGTCATTAAGAATCAAGAGGTGACTATACTTTACGTCACGCCTGAGAGATAGAGAATCATTGTGTTGAGATACTTGAACACGAGAAATGTCTTCCGAGAAGAAACACTTGTGTTTTGAAGTGTTTTCTTCACTTGGAGTTTTCACTTCTCGAAGGTGACGCGATCACTAGATTGGCACGCTAGTAGCATGACATGCGGGAGGCTGTCAATGCAGGTCCGTCGGCATTGAACCATGAGATCTCGGGCCCTTGCATCTGTTAGCATGATGGATATGACCCATGGCACTGGAATAATAAGATACGGAATATAGATAACTACGTACCAAATGCCATACTTCCCCCTATCCTATAAGAGTGAAAGGTTTCAGTGCCACGATTTTCATTCTAAGCACTCTACCTAGTAGTCTCATTCGAATATCAACTACCAGTACTTCTTACTGAGGTACATTCAAGATGTTTTTCAAGCAACCTTTTACAGTACTCTTGTCCCTTTCCGCCACGGCTCTGGCTTGGGATGCCCCAGGCTACAGTGGTTTTACACGTGTCTGGCAGGATCCCTTTTCTGGCGCAGCCGGCACTTTACCTGACACTAGCCGATGGAACATTATACAGGGATACCTCAACGTCAACGCGGAACTTGAGGTCTATACGTCGTCTAGTCGTAACGTCCAACGAAGTGGTGGCGACACCCTCCAGCTAGTCCCATGGCGAGACGCTTCAGCCCTCAAGGGCTGGACTTCTGGCCGTGTCGAGAGCAAATATGTCTTCACACCTCAGCCAGGCAAAGTCACACGGGCTGAGGCCAACTTGCGCTTTGGCTCTTGTTCGATCAACAACAAGCAAGGAATCTGGCCTGCTTTCTGGATGCTCGGAAATATTCTCCGTAACGGCGGTAGCTGGCCATCTTGTGGCGAGCTTGATGTCATGGAGACAGTTAACGGCCAGTTGACCGGATACGGAACTGCGCACTGTGATGTTTACCCCGGTGGCATTTGCAACGAAGGTACCGGAATCGGTGGAACGGTTGGGCTGCCAAATCAAGATTGGCATACCTGGAGGATCGAGTTTAACCGCGCCAAGAGCAGCTGGCGAGATGAGACTATTACCTGGTTCCTGGACGGACAGCAGTTCCATCAGATCTCGGGTGCGAGAATCAACAACGAAGGAGTCTGGAATACGTTGTGCCACAGCCCCATGTATTTCATCCTCAACGTCGCTGTTGGCGGTACTTGGGTAAGTTATTGAAGATTTCATCATCTACTCCAAAGCATAAACTGACAGTATAATAGCCTGGATATCCCAACGGCAACACCTGCGACGGCTATGGTAGCATGATGGAAGTCGGCTATGTCGCCCATTACTCTAACTAAGCGTGACTTGATGAACATCCCCGTCACTTCGACCTACTTCATTAATTCCTGTCGTTTCCACTTTTATATCCCTTTATGCATCGAGATATCCCATCATGTGTTGTTTATCTATTTTTGTGTTTTCCGAGCTATCAGATGGTTGTATACCTCCACATTTGTTCCTTGTTGTATTATTGTTAGACCTAGTATAGAATACATATTGCACACCTGTACAAGCTAGAATTACTTTCGTGATTTTACTATCTTCTTTGACGTAGGTAGGTAAAAGCTAACTAAAGTCTAAAGCTAAATTTGATAATACACCCTTACGACACAATGGAGGGCTCTCAATTCAAGATAGCGGCTTACGCACCGACTAGAATACTGACTAGCGCATGCGTGGATTCGTTCTGTCGAGAAATGGATATTGCCTAAAAAGGGAGGATCAAATCTCAGTGAGTAAGCCAATAGTCTAGGTGGTGATACGATTAGCCCCCACTCCAGGCTTCTCGGCACTGACGGGCAAACTTTGTCAAGAGATCGGCGGACGACCTGCGATTCGATGCCAAGGCGCACGATTTTGTAAAGTAGCTTAGAAATTTATTGTATGGTGAAGTTTCCTAATAAGGAAGGATCAAATGCTAAGATATAACTCCGAGGTATTTTGAGAGACCCTCCAGCGGATAAACGAAGTATAAAGAGGCAGCAAATTTCCAAGACAGAAGAACTTCAAAACCATCGAACTACGAGACCTTCCACTATCATCTTGTTCCATCCACTATTACAATCAGCAAGCCCTTCATACTTGTTTAAGCCGAGCTACCATGTCTACCTCAAAGTCTTCAAAGATCAATATTGTCCTAGGAGTAGCAAACGTAGGCTAAACCCCCCTCGTTCATTCTCAATAATTTCCCATATCTGATCACTCACTAACAGGTCGGTGACGGCAATGCTGACCCCATGGTACGCTTCCACGAGCCAAGCGACGTCATTGCCTTTCTAAATGCCTTCACCAAACGAGGATATACCCAAATTGACACTGCACGCATCTACTCACCTCATGCGCCTGGTACATCCGAGCCAAAGATCGGAGCCATTCCTGAGAAGAACTTTATCATTGACACAAAAGTTAATTCGTTTCATGACGGGGCTCATTCCAAGGAGAACATCCTCAAAGACATTAATGATTCTCTGAGTGCCTTGAGAATCCAGCAGATCAATATCGAGTATTTGCATCAGCCTGACCGGGCGACTGACCTTGAAGAAGCCTGCGAAGCCATGGACCAGGCCCATAAAGAAGGAAAGATCAAGTACTGGGGTATCAGCAAACACACGGCTCAAGAGGTCGAGACTATCGTCAAGATTTGTCAGGAACACGACTTCGTCAAGCCCAGCGTTTATCAAGGAGAGTATAATCCGATTTCAAGGTCCGCCGAAAAGGAACTTTTTCCAATCTTGCGACAACACGGCATCGCGTTCTATGCTTTTAGTCCAGCTGGAGCTGGATTCTTTGCTGGCAACCATAAGAATGTTCGACCTGGCGGCCGCTTTGATCAATCCGTACGTGTTCATGCATCAGTTTATCCATGTACTAATATGTCTCTTAGCTTTTCCTTGGAGGTCTATACTCTGACCGCTATCTCAAACCCTCCATTTCGGAGGCCACGGAGAAAGCGCTGGCTGCAGCTTCTCGACACGGGATTAGCGGCCATGCAGCGGCTCTTCGGTGGACCGCTCACCACGGATCTTTGAGCAAAGAGCTAGGTGATTCTATCATCATTGGTGCATCGAGCTTGGAGCAGCTGAACTCTAACATTGATGCGATTGAGGATGGGCCGCTGCCTGATGATGTAGCAGACGCTCTTGGAGCTGTCTATGCGGAGATTGGGGATATTCTTCCATATCATGTGTAAAAGAAATGGCATTTGAACTTTGAGCCCTCATAATGGGGGTTTTGTGATTAGTTATCAAATTACTCGCTAGTCCATATCAAGTAGGATCAATATTTAGCTACATCATTCGTGCTGACAAATACCGAATTCGCACCGTCTATACAGGCCCCTCTAATACAAAGGCTTATACAGCCTTGGACTTGATGAGATATTCCTAGTAGTCATACCTGCATAAGAAATCTGGCTGAATTTGTGACGATGAAATTCATTCAGGTGGTGCACAATGCAGGCCCCGAGGCTCTCCGAGAGTCAAAACGCGAAGCTCGTTCGTACTCTGCCCAGGTGGCACACGCCAGAGCACGGAAGCTTCGCGGACCTGGAAAGGCAACAAAGATTCATGAGGGAAATGGTCTCAAAACAGAAAAGAAGCATACTATGAAAGTCTTGAGCCCAAAGGGCCAGCCTCTAAACCAGACCTTGCTTCCATACAACCAAGCAACTCTATCTACAGCGGAGCTTCACATCCATCAGCCGATACTATCACCATACATCAACTTCCTTTCAACTCTCACCAATGGCGAATGCTTCATGTTCGACCATTGTAAGTTCATATTTTGAAGCGTTCTTGGTCCTTTATGTTCGAGTCTTCCGTTACTTTCGCCACTGATAAATGATAATCTAACTGTCCATACAGACATCAAAATTGTGATGCCTTATCTTAGCGCTCACTGCCCGATAGCGAGGTCTTTAGGTCAGTACCACGAATATTTAAGAAGAAATTGGATCGTCATATCTTCGCACGATGCGGAATTCATCAGAGGGTTTCTCCTGGCTGCCTCCCGCCATTTGTCCATGGTGGAGTCGAATGTCGAGTTCGAAGAAATAGCTATAAGGTATAAACTGGAGCACCTCGCAAAGCTCCGGAAGGACGTTTCGATGCAGCCGATGTCAATAAACCCTCGATCGGTCTCGAGTGCTTTAGTCCTATCATTTGATGAAGTAAGCCTTTCCATTCATATCTGGAGTCCACGTATGTATGAAGGGAATTATTCACATTCGAGTCTAGATGCTTCTCGGGAACATTCCAATGGCATTGCGACATATCCATGGGGCAGCGAGTATAGTCCAGGCAGCTGGCGGACCCCAGTCACTGGGCCTGAGCCAGTTTATATCATATACGTTGTTCACTTGTGTCCAGGAAGACCGAATTGGAGATTGGGCCTGGGTTTTGAAGTATGATAAAGACTTAATGAAGCCTAAAAAACGTTGAAAGGGAGGACACTGGACCAAATCAGAATCTGTTCACACGCTATTGAAGAGTACCAAAGCGGTTTAGCTGTGGTTGGGTAAGGCCTGATAAGATGATGTCAAGGGACAGTCAGATTTGAGAGCATCTAAACGTAGATATGATCAGGTGAATACGTTGGCATTAAGGATTCGGTGTGAGAACTTCAGGGATCTACGGTCACTCTTTTCGGTTCTATTTCTTTCATAATACTCCCAGCCGTGTTTCGATACTTGTAATCCCTTTCGCTGGACAATTTATTGCTGAGGGTTGACGTAAGCCACTACACGGAGGTCGCCCTTGCTTTGTATCGAACAACCGATGTAGGTGTGAACACCTAGACCATTCGATAGCATCTCTTCACCACTAGGGGCTGTTAGCCACAAGACATCCTGGTATATCGCGAGGGGCTAGAATACTAACAAAATACCGTACAAGCAGTCTGAATATCTCTTTGCCCAATTCAAATCAATTGCAACATCAGGCAGCTTGCTAGCCTGGTCTGCTAGAAAACCTTTCAAGGCCTCAAGTATCTGTGAGTCGTTTTTCGCATAGTGCCTGACTGGTATATAGATCTTGACCTTTGGTATCGTGCTGTTCGTGCGCAACTCGACGTTATAGAGAATGCCAGCTGTTCGATGGTTGTTGTGTGGTAGAGGAATATCATCAGGCACTCCACTCGTTCCTAATAACGTGTCCCAGAGATTCCTCAAATTGCTCATGCCAACGTCAAAATCTGCGCCATGGATTCTACCTCCAAGTGACATCATCTCTGTGACAGATCGGAAATTTGTCCGCCTGTCTCGAAAGTAGATCTTCAGTCTTGACTTTTCGATGGGAACTAAGTCCAATGCCAGCATGTCCATCTCAAGGTTGAGATACCGGCGTTCGTTGACGAATCTGGCAAAGCTGGCGAAGGCGCTGATGTTTTTCGGCTGACAACCCGGAGCAGAAGATATTGCATCCGTTACGACGTCAAGTGTTGATTTTCCCACCGAATGGGCTACGGCGCCAGGAAAGAAGTAAGCCTTATTCGTAGTAGCCGACTCTTTCAGGTCAAACGCCCAGAACATAGTGCTACGGTGGCCTTCTGGCGTATCAGCGGTCCATTGCCCATTGAAGTAATCATAAAAGTGGTTGAAGAGTGTTGTGTCGGTACCGGGGAATGCTCGGATCGCTCGTTTTGCGAACTCTTCATCAACTCCATTATTGTATAGGTCTGCAGCTGTCCCTGCCTTGAGACCGATGGGCTCCATGGAATATCTGATGGTGGGCTGACTGTTAGCGACGTGGAAATCCCAGCTGAGTTCTACCGGACAATGATTATCGGTCATAAAACTCTTCCATTGCGGTTCGCCCAGCGCGGGAGATGACCCAAGAAATGGTGCGACAAGGTTGGAGAACTGATCCAGGATGTGGCACTGGCTCCGAGCGTCATACCCGGCACTGGCCAGGAATCTCTTTAGCGTTGAACCGGCGGTTTGGTTCCAGTACTGCTGATGGATGTCGACCGCTGGCCCAGTCTTGTTTTTGATATGGTGGAGGGAATGGAAGGTCACAGAGTCAATTGTTGAGAGATCCAATTCTCCAGGCATTTTAATGAGAGTAGTGATGGCATACAAAAGATAGAGGTTTTTCTCAATGGCTCAAGAGATACCCTATTGATTTATGTTGTTATTGTCTCGGTGATTTATCACAACTAAATCTCAATCTAGGTCCCGCCATGTTTGGCACGATCGCGGCATGATTCCCTTTCGGAACAAGCGTGGTTAAATGATCGGTGCCTCAGTGAGACAAACAGCTCATCCCGCATGACATCAAGTCCACACTTATGCTGCCAAGAGAAAACACTGAAAGAGAGTTGACGGTTTTGGATAGCTGCTCGGACCAGTACAATGAGGTAATTGTTTCATGAAGCATGGGTGATGAGTAAGGCTCATGCAGATGTTCGCTGCTCTAGCTTCGATTTGGTAATATTCAGCTGACGTAGAGATTCTAGCTCCGATTTATAACCGCTGACTACACTAGATCTGTCTATCAATAGACAGTGTTTTCTGTCTCCTCTTGCACTGCAGGCTTGTACTGCTTGGCAATGACATTCTCTTTCGGCTGGCGATCCACTCCTAGCCACAGCAGATCCGGGCGACTGTAATGACCCACGATGTCCAAAAATCCCCGAGTCGCTACAACCTTTGTCAAATCCAAGTCAGCATAGACAATGCCCTCGGTATCAGCCTTTCCATCACCCAACGGTTCCGTCAAGCGTCTTCCATCGGGCCCGATAACGCAACTATGGCCTCCACCTGGTTGACGACAAGCTAACCCATCTTGAGTCTTCAAAACTTCGATGCCCTTCTGCGTGCATACAGACGTGCAGTGAAGCACATACGTGGTGCTCTCAATTGCATATGTCTGAGACAGGTTCTGGGACCCATCGGCCGTCATGCTCCACAGACCAGGATGGTTAACGCCCATGCTGGGATCAATAGGTGGCCACATGGAGATATGGATCACTTCACCCTGTGAGATGCTGTGATACTTGAGAAGTGGTTGCGTATGTTCCCAGCATGCGAAGCATCCCACCTTGATCTTACCATGTTCAGCTCCAAAGTCCACTTCCACGACATTGTTCAGATCAGCACCGGTACCGTCACCAAAGACAGTGCGCTCCATGTGAGTGGGCTTGATCTTCCTTCGGTGCAACAAGACCTCACCCTGAGGTGAGATAATAGCCTGTGAGATGTACACGCTATGAGAGGGGCTCTTCTCGGAGAAACCAAGAGCAACAGCGATGGAGTTTTCCTTGGCAGCTGCTTTAACCATATCCATAGCCTCAGACTCAATCGGCAGTGAATTGTAGATGTATCTCGTCTGCAACTCAAAGTCCACAGATCGAGCCCTACCGAGATTAGCCAAAACGCACAAGCCCATCCAGTAAACGAAACATAAACATACCAGATCCACGCAGGATATCCGGGTAACCAGCATTCAGAAAAAGCAACAAGCTTCGCCCCATTCTGCGCCGCCTCGGCAATAAGGCCACATGCCTTTTTTACAGATGCAGCTAGGTCAAGGTAGACAGGCTCAGCCTGTGTGACGGCGACTCGGATGGGGGCGGACATTTTCGGAAGTGCTGTGCCGAGAATAAGAAAAGAAGGATGGATTGCATTGGGAGATTTGAGTCTGAACGGGCCGACGAATAAATAGTATCGGCGATGCAGTCACCTTCCTTGTTCAGAGGATTGAAACAGCGTTCGTTCTATATTGAGCTCACGGGGAATGTGAGCTGTTGGTCCGGTGCGTGTTGGTTTGTCGTTTCATGCGCAGGGGCGTTGTTCTCTCAACTGGGGCTTAGCATTCGCATTGTCGAGTACATCAACTTCAGCCGGGCCCTGTCCGGAAATGACTGTATCTGGGCAATATTCGCAGCGGAGGATTTGATCTATCATACTCTCATACAGTTGTCACTTCTCAAAGTCCGGTCGTGGACGTTACAATCATACCATGAATTGTTGTTCCCGAATCAACTGCCGACATAACTGAAGCGTTATCAGTAACGTAAGATACAGAACCAACAAATCCAGCATCTGAATCTGGAAATGCCCCTGACATCTGCAGCTCACAAACCCAGGGATCTCAATCCCACCAGGACAGTTACATCCCAGCGGGCCCTTACATAAAAAGCCTAAAAACATGTGATGCTCACCCCAGAAACCCTCCATTGAGAACCTTGGCGTATCCACTGAGTCGCCAGAGCGTAAGACAAGATGTAACAATCGAAAAAGGAATTTACAATTGTGAGTCTTACGTCCGAGGCATAAAGACACAGGCAAGGGAAAGATCTGACTGCTTGTAGTTAATTGCTGGGCTATGAATTGTTTTATCTTCTGTCTGGGGCGATATAGGGAGAAAGCTTAATTGAAAACATGCCGCGGGGTTTCGATTCCTGATTTTTAGATGCAAAAAGAAATTCTAAAGGATCACGTTGCCACTCCTTCATTTACATGCCTTGATATGCCTATTTGTTAGCTCGTTCAGCTGCTTGCAGTTGCCATTTCTTTTTGTTAAAACTTTATTTCTTCCGTTCGTTACAATGACTGCGTTAGCTGGTCAAATCGCAGAGATATGGATCCTCTACGTTATTGGCACTGCCATGATCGCGGCGCGCATCTTTTGTCGCACGAAAATGGTTGGCTATAGGAACTACGATTGGGACGATTACCTCGTCATTGCAGTCGCTGTGAGTCTCCATTCCATGACTGACGTGTTCAATAATTAACGGTTCATGGTAGGGAATGTGGACTGCTGCACCCGTAATTGGCCAAGTCTTCATCCAGGGCGCTGAGGGCCGCCATACCTCCGATTTGACCTTCGAGGAGAGGAAGAACATGAACGAGGAGGATCGTAAGAAGTGGGCATATGGTTCGCAGATGTTCCTGCTTGGGTTGACTGGATATGTGGTTATTCTGTGGACGCTCAAGTTCAACATGCTGTGCTTCTACAGTCGTGTTGTTCGAGGCCTTTGGACGGAGAGGTTTGTGAAGCCGTTGATGGTCGTGGTGGTTTTGTCCGTGGCTGTCATCATTATTACGCTGGCTGCGACGTGTCGACCATTCCATCACCTTTGGCAAGTTTGGCCAGACCCGGGACGTAAGTATTGAGGCACCAGAATAGTCTGTGACTTTTGCTAATCTTTGACAGGTCAATGCGTTCCTCAGAATCTTACCTTCTTCGTCGTGATATTGGTCTTCAATTTGGTCACGGATATCTGCATCATGCTTATTCCAATTCCTGTACGAGGCCTCATATCCCCTCTCCGATGTTTATTAACAAATTACAGGTCTTGGTGGGCATTCAAACCAATCGCCTCAAGAAGTTCGGTCTTTTCCTCCTCTTCAGCTTAGGCTTCTTCTGCATGTTCGCCGCCATTCTTCGCTTCGTCCTCATCTTCAACGCAAGTCCCCCAACCTCACTTTTACAGCAGCAAACACTAACACAAGTCAGTTGAACCAAAAGGGCGTCTCAGCTCTATGGTCAATGCGCGAAGACTGCGTCGGCATCTTCGTCGGCCAGGCCCCCATGGTCACACCTCTCCTCAAGCGTCGCTTCTGGGTCATGGCCGGCTACGCCACCGACAAGACCGGCAACTCCCAGACACCACACTACAACGGCAGTCGGCTGGAGAGCCATGAACTTCGGTCTGGGCGCGCGAATAACAGCAAAGTGCATGACCCTTACTCAATCACAAACGTGGTTTCTCGGTCCGAGAGCCAAGAGGAGATCGTGCAGAAGGACCTGCCTTCTTTACCGGAGCAGCCGCGTCAGTTTCGGAGTGGTATTAGAGTGGATCAGCGTATCGATGTTGAGGCAGTTCAGGGGACGTACACGCAGCCGCGAGATCCTCGGTGGTAGTCTGTGTTGGTTGAGTTATTTTCTTAGATCTAAAAATGCAACTTAGTGGTCTCCCATCTTGATTGCCACATCATGGCTACTGAGTCAGGTAAACGGATATACCCGTGACTACCATTAGTCCCCGCGAACTAAAGAGATCGTTACCTCCGGGGAAGGACTTCCTAACGATCCATCTTGGACCGTGCCCCTTTTGCGTGATACCCATACCAGGGTTCAAAATTGCTTCGACCAAGGACAAGGATATATCCTCCAATGAGAAACCTTTGCAAATCCCATGTGCTGTCATCGGATACCGCGGCCCTCCGAAGCGTTTCCACGCGAGTAATGAGCGACAGGGTACTTCAACCTGACGTACGATTTTGTGCCAGCCAAGAAATACGATTGACCCGACATAGAAGGTGGAAACTATTCCCGTCTGATTTCTCAATTGACAGAAGCAAATAAGGTTAAATGTCGGCAAGTTATCCATGACAGCCAGGTATTTGAGAGGAAGACACCGGCGAAACGGTTTCCTGTTCTGCTTAATCTGCTGGGTCAAGGTATCTTTGCATGATGCAGCAGAAAAAGCAACCAAATCTCGTTTCACTGACGCGCGTTGGCACTGCGATAAACGATTTATCGTACGAAAATTAGACTACGGACAGTTCCAGTGTGGATTTTGCGTTATAATTGTGTAAAATATGTGACGTAAAATTGTTTGTCAGCTGCAAAATGCTTAGAGATGTTAGACAATACTTTCCTCGTGACAGTGACAGCGGCGTTAGTGGCGGATGATGCATCCTAATCGGGAGTTTCGCAGCCTCGGAGATTTTACTGATCGCCGTGTGCCAAGATCCGTAGGGTAAGTGGCACATAGCTAAGTTCTGCGTGGTGAATACAAGCTCTCAGCTGCAAATAACACATCTAGCTCGTAACTTAGATGCCACAGTGCCTGACTAATTGAGACAGAATCAATACTGATAAGTGGAAAACCTAAACAATGACTCATTTGCCTGCTTCCACGGGGTATAAGAAGCTCCAATGCGTCCGCCAAGACCGTCGTGGCGCATAGCAAAAGATCTAGGCAATTATTATGCTGCAAATGTTAACGACTGAGAAAACTTCATCAAGAGATATTGATTACCTCCGAGTTGCTTTTTGATAATTTAGCCTTCTGTGGATGATATGGATCCACCTAGGGGAGAGGCCATCTTCAATGAGCGCTTCGTCAAGATCATCTGCGTTGGCGCTGGCGTTTCTGGGCTTTGCTTGGCTTACAAGCTGAGGAGGTCATTCCAGAACTATTCATTGACTGTGCGTACAAAGAATGCAACGAAGAATCGTACTGACAGATGATAAGATCTATGAGAAGAATCCAGAAGTGGGAGGGACTTGGTATGAGAATACTTACCCGGGCTGCGCCTGCGATGTCCCCTCGCATAATTACACGTATTCATTTGAACCAAAAGCGGATTTCTCATCTGTTCTCGCCAGTTCAGACGAGATCAAGGAATATTTTGAGGGTTTTGCTGTCAAGTATGATCTGCTCAAACATATCAAGACTGAGCACCAGGTCATTGAGACTTTTTGGGACCAGCCAAAAGGCCAGTGGAATGTCAAATTTACTGATTTGAAGTCCGATACGACGACCGAAGACTGGTGCCATATTCTCATTCATGCGACCGGATACTTGAACAAGCCAGCTTGGCCATCTGTGCCAGGACTCGAGAAGTTCAAAGGACCCAAACTTCACAGCGCCAAGTGGGATAACAGCGTATCTCTTGACGGCAAAGATATCCTGTTGATAGGGTCCGGAGCATCAAGTGTTCAGATTCTACCCGCAATCCAGCCGCATATCAAATCTGCGAAGGTCTTTGTTCGAACACCTCGATGGACTCTACCCTCTGTCAACTCAAAGAAGGGCAAGTTTTCTCCAGAAGAGATCGAGAGATTCATCAGCGATCCAGACTCAGTTATGAAGCTTCGGCTGGAAAATGAGCGAACACTGAACAGCTTCTTCAGTAAGTCGCACTGGTTACGCTGAGAGGTTCTTTTCTAACCGAATGTCAGCTATGTACATGAAGGGAACCGTCCTTCAGAGGCAAGCTCGTGAGCATTTGGAGAGTGAGATGAAGAAAGTTGTTATTGATGAAGAAGTTCAAAAGAAGCTTGTTCCTGACTTTCCAGTCGGATGCAAACGAATTTTGCCTTCGGGGGATCAGTTTCTCTGCGTAAGTTAGCTCCCATGCTGATATCGCACAAGTCTGACTGAAAGTGAAGGCAATCAAGAAAGACAACGTCCAAGCGATATACTCTGGTGTCAAAGAGATCACCGAAACAGGCTGTATAAGCGACGACGGGCAGCACTACGAGGGTGACATCATCATCGCAGCCACTGGCTTCGACACGTCGTTCATCCCTCGTTATCCCATCCATTTCAAAGGGCATAACCTCCAAGAAGATTGGAGCACCTCTATTACAGGTTACATGGGAGTTGGAATCTCCGAGTGTCCAAACTCATTCACCCTCGCAGGTCCATGGTCACCGATCTCTAACGGCCCCGTCATCGCTCCCATAGAAGCTCAAACTGATTTCATCTCTGAATTTATCGACAAGTACCAAACTGAGCCGGGTATGCATAGCATGAGCCTGAAAGCAGCAGCATGCTACGACTTTAAGAGCTATATGGCGCAAGTTACTCAGAAGATGGTATGGTCTGATAATTGCCGCCACGCACATAACATTAAGCCCAACTGGGGTCAGTCTTCGATCACGTGGCCTGGATCTACGCTGCACTACTTGGAAGCTATGCGAGAACCTAGGTTTGAGGATTATGACTTTGAGTATAGTGGGAACAGGTTTGCGTGGCTGGGTAATGGGCTATCTCAGACAGAGTGGGATCCTACGGCTGACTTGGCATACTATGTAAGAAATGAGGATGATGGGAGGCATTTAAGTAGAAGCGCGCGGACACGAGTCATTTCGAAGAGTGGAAGTCAGGCACCGAGGGAACTTCATCGTCAAGCTAAGCTTGCCGCCAAGAGCTAGGTGCAAATGACAGGGCAGTTTACATCATAATTTCAAAGCAAACTATTGCCAACAGTCTAAGATTGAAGCATGATACAAAAAAAAAAAAAAAGATCAAGTAGACTCAAGGCCCGTTTTGCTCGGATATGACCGGTAGCCAGGAAACTGTTGACATGGTAGGTAGTCTATGGCAGCGTTGATCTATGTTAACCCTTCAGCAAGTAGCCAGGAGATGCCCAGCAAGCGCTAGAGGATCTCCTATATCCTGGCGGAAACACTTGGCCTACTATTTGATTAGGTAGCCCTAAGAGAGCCACACCGATGAGTTGATGTTGGGCCAGTCGTGACGGAATGGGACGACTGCCAAGCCACGCTAATGTTTCGCTTCCTATTCACTTGAACGCCAACTAGCACTAGTTACGCATATACGGGTTGAGATAATATATTTCAATCAACGGTTCTTTCGGGTCTGACATCTCATCAACTGGGGTCTTCCATCATCTCCGTTCGTACCCCGCCACGTCATAGCTCTGTGATATGAAGGCGACAGCAAGCGAAGAGAACCTCTGTTCCTGGAAGAAGGCAGTGAAAACAGGATAATAAGATATTTTATTGAATCGCGAATCGCATTTGAAGGGGATTGAACTGATGCTGTGTCTTAGGCGTTTGCCATTTCTTATCATGATTGACAGTGGTTCAGCACGTCCCTGCCCCTGGTTAACTTAAATCTCACGTCCCAGGACCGCCAACACGGTCGGAAAGCCACTAGGGGCACTAGCAACAACGACTTGCCCATCATCGTTATGAATGGTACACCTGTCAGTTTTCATTCCCAATATCTTCTCTTCACCTGAGCCGGCCAAAGCGTCAGACAGCTGACTTTTCTTGTCCTCCTCCCATGTCATCCTGATCTCCACTTTGTATCCCAACAAGATTCTGGTGATCTTCGTGAGTTTACCGGAACGTCCTTCGTTGCCTATAGCCGAGCCCAGCTGAGATCAAGCAGCAACGCTAACATCCCTGTCGTAAGCCAATACCATTAGTGAGTTCAAAGTAAAGATGTCGAAAACTCACCAAAAACCCCGATCAACGTCGAATGCTTGCATACCCCCAGCTTGGAGTGAGAGTGTCGTCTTAGGACTGGTAGCGTCGATAAGCTTGGTGTCGTAGAGAGGGTCTTGATCAAGATTCGGGAACCCAAGGCTGGCCCAAGAAGCTGTCTTGGCATTAGAAAGATCGAGATCCAACTCAACTTCTTCAAGGCCGCCGTCTTGTGCGCCAACCCAGGAGTCAACTCTCCGGTCGATGCCATTGGTTGAGTACAAGGGCCTATAATAGATTTGACCAGAGGGAACTACTAGAGTAGTTTGTGCGCGCCCCATAGACGAGGGGATGTCCATATTCGAACATGGCATGTTACTCCTGTGACAGTGTTATGTATGGTCAGTATTAGTAAGACTGAGAATTACAGTTCCAGGGAGATGTACTTACCCAAGTCTGAGCGTTGAGGTATCCCGTGCCAAATCAAACGCAGCCAATACTAACCCAACGCTGCTTGACGTTTTAGTGGCGGCAAGGGTGTAATCCGATTCGAGCCTTTTCTGCTCCCTCTTCGCCCATACATAATAAATGCCGAACTTCTCGCCCCACGCTGCAAAGTTGGCAAGCTCAGATCCAGCCACAATTGCACTCTTGTTGTACAAATCGAGGTCTCGCAAGTATGCCTGTGCACTTCTGTCCTGCGCCTGCTCAACTTCAGAGCGGAGCTTTGAGATTGAGCCAGTGACATCAGATGAAGTCATGGACTACTTCGTCATCAGTATCTTGCTAGGGCACAGGAAGGACGAAGAGACTTACATCGTCATGTATAGCTTGTAGATACCTGGATTCATCTTAGTTGCATGAGTCCTCACGGTTACAAGCTAAAGGCGGGACACATACTTGCGACGAGAATCGAAGTAGCTTTCTCCATCAGATGTGTAGAATGGGGATCGGGTATTCTGCAGAGCATCGGTCCGGCGGAAGTTGTGATTATTGGTGATCTCCTGAGGAGCAAACTCCCCTGCAGGGATATCGAAGAGGCCTGCAGAGGCGACGAAGATCGCCTTGATAGAATTGTCCAGGTCATCTTGCGTGGTCATATGGGCCAGCAACGCAATAGCATAAGCCTTCCAAATAAGTTTTGATCCCCCATTTGCCAAGAGAGTGACGTTCCGCTTGCTAGCGGTCAGAGTTTCCGTGAGCCGCATCTTGTCTGTTCCGACAAAACACGGAACGTAGGCTGCTGTGTAGAATCTGAATCAGTCGATTTGGGTTAAAGTTCGAGGATCATTTCAACGTGAATGGTGAGCGAGGTGCATTAGTTATCTATTGATCATGTGAAAACTAAAATACGCCTTTTTCTATTCAAGTTGGCAAAAGCAACCCGAAACGCTATGGAGGAGGTGATTGCAGCCCTCTATTTGCAGGATGAGGCTTGGTCATGTTATCTATGGCTCTAAATAGTGGCTCGTATTGCAGGAAATATGAATCAGATACCATTTCGGGCGAGCAACCGCGTTTGTTGGTGTTGCCTCACATTACACTAGCTATGTGATCTAGCTGAGAAGCTACGTGCCGTGGGTGATAAGTGGCGGCTCGGTTACCATTGTCACTGAGAGTGGCTGGCTGTGACCATTTGTGGCTGTCATCTATCATTTTATCAACAAGCAGGGCCAATACGAGATCAGGGTGAACTATAACTCACCGTCTTGTATTCTTAATGTCAAGGAGAAGTTCACTGCACTGAGTATTATCGACAAAATCCCAGCAAATCCAACATCGCCTGCAACTATCCAATCCGCTGTATAGGTTTACCGCAATCGATAACTATACTCATGAATAAAGCATGTTGGAAGCATTGCCTTCACTCTAGATTCTGTCTTAAGTCACAGGTCCGAAACGTTTGGCCATCATCTCCGCCCGTAGTCGATAGCTCCGAACTCAACCAAGCCGTGTCAGTTAGAGAACTCCCGGAAAGAAACACTTCTGAGAAGTCAAGCCGTTTACTACTCAGGAATGATTCCTCTTCGGGCACCTCAGCTAGTCATGGAGAATATAGTCAACACTTTCTCTGCTGTTGTGACATCGCCACATACTCAAGGCTGACCATTCTCAGTTGTGCCGTCTCTCTTATGACACCCTACGGCGAATGTCAGCACGCTAACATCCCTCAAGAACGGCCCATAAGTCTGTGCTTGCCATTAAAGCTTCTTGGCGAGGGTCTTGGTCAAGTGAACTCAGCATGTAGATCACATAGCGTGTATCAGTCTGACTGTTTTCAAGCCGGCTGACAGCATTCGCCAAGCTAGGGAGCTGTGTACCGCGAACCATCTTAGCTTACATAGGGACACACGTTGCAGTAGTCGCAACGAAGAGTCTTCCCTTATATAAAGGGTTGGTGGTTTCCCCCAGTTCTGACTCTCACTCAAAAGTTCACCAAACACTACAAGAACACTAAATCACAACACAAACATAATCTTCATCCCCCTTCCTATCTCAATCAATCAAGTTTCCACCCGCACCATGTCTGAAGAGAACCAGCTCTTTTTGGAAGGCCTACGCCTCGACCGTCAAGAGCATCATGGTCAGCGGCCCGGTCGGTGAGAACACCAGAGTCTACATCGCCGCTGCCAACACTGCCGGCATCTCCGGTGGCAAGGACATTCCTGCTGTCTGCACCAACTGGGGAATCTACCAGTATGTGGACTTTCTGTTCGATTCCATCAACTCCAACTTTGTCGCCAGCAAGGTCTCGCGCCACTCTGAAGCCCTCAACATGACCCTGCAGACCCTCACTCCAGTTAGTCTTCCCCTTAACTTGGACTGACTTCGCATTGACTGATGACATTTAATATAGGGCGCCGGTGGTGACAAAAGTTCTGACCCCTGGGATAGACTCAACAAGGCCAAGAGAGATTGGCTATTGTCCGCTCCGAGCTGGATGATGCGAAGAATCAGGCTATGCAGGACTTCAAAGACGATGACAACCCGGACAAGCTCAAGTCATTCGCCCAATAGGCCCCGCTTAACGCCAATGCCTACCTGGTGGCTTCCAAAACTGGCACATAACCTTACAACATTGAGAGCAATGGAGACTTCTTACTGACATCCATACCACAGGGAGGCCGCCGCCAATGAAGTTCAAATGAAGACCAACGCCATTGGTGGCGCTGGCTCCGCTCTTCTTGCCGAAGCTATGAAGAGTGCCGCCAACAGGTCCAACACTCTGACTGAGCTGAAAGGGTACGTGCCCATGCTATCCAAATTTCCATTACCTCTGATCTGACTAACCAATCACTATCAGATACAACATGAAGGCTAGCATTCAGTCAGTCACTTACGATGCTGCTGGAAAGCCCATCCTTCCTGACCCGCTTGAGACCCAATACGTACCTCAGTACTCCATCTCGGGCTACGCTGCCATGCTCGATGGCTGGGTTGGCTTCTCAAAGAAGAAGCCGGATGAGTTTGGCATTAGCCTCTCCACCGGTCAGCAGTCTTCCTTCAAGGACATCGGCTTCACCGAAGCTCAGGGCAGTGCTTCCTTCAGCGGAGTCCCCGTCTTTGACTTCTATGCCAGTGGAGGTGGACGCGTTGAGCACTCCAACTTCCACATGAGTTCCGACGCGACGGATGTCAAGGTTGCTCTCAAAATCCAACACTAAAAGACCGTCCCATTTGAACCTGGTTCTTGGTAAGCCCTACCCCACTGCTTCACCAACCATCATCTAACCGCGCTACAGGAACGTCGATGTCAAGAGCCTTATGGCCAAGCTGGGAGCTAAGCCACCCGCCATGTTCCAAAAGGTCCGCCCCACGCAGATGCTCATCGCCCAGGGCGTCAGCATGGAGATCAGCTTCGGCGGTGACGCCAAGACGGCTTTTGACCAGGACTACAAGAAGACGGTCCAAGCTGGCGGTGGTATCAGCGTTTTCGGATTCCGCATCGGCTCTTCTGGCTCCTCTTCTGAGGAGAACGAGTCCCATGGCAACACATGGGACTCCAGCTCCGGTGTCCTCACCATCAACGCTGAGAACTCTCGTGGGTCGGCCAATGTTCTGGCTGTCATGGGTGAGATTGTCAGCGCTTAGAGTCCCTATCTTGTCCGGAAATCGAAGTATAGAGGAGATTGCAATGTTTTCGCATTGATCTGATGGAGATTAGAAATTGGAACGAGTTCTTTTTGGTAGTTTATTAGCTCCAGTCAGTCATTTCCGTCTGCACAGCCGTATTACGATAGTTCAACTCACTTCACTCCTTCTCACCTCACTAGCCAATGTGAATATTTTACGCGCATCTTCTTTCACCGGTCTTAGTTCCTCATGGCGTAAATGAGTGCCGCCCTGTTCCTGAAGTTACCGCATGACTTCAACCTACAACTCCGGCGCTGCGAGGTCTTCAGACTCTTTCGCTTTCTAAGTTATCCACCATCTTTGCCCTCGTCGCAAGTGCCATGATTTTTGCCCGTTCGTTCTCTAATTCTGATCTCGATAGTGTGAGATGCAATGCTGAAAGTAGCGACCTCGCCGCACTCTCCACCAGTCGGAGAGCGTCCTCCACAAACATCAGTTGAGAAATAGCAATGCTAATGGACTCAGTAGATAGATCCACCTTTTCTTGCCATGAAAGCCCTCCATCAGGCACAACATCGCAATCCTTGATCGCGAGCTCGCCCTCCCAAAACGACGACTTTATCTTGAGTTCCATGTTGGGATTGGCGCAGGGTCAGGCACCGCCAGAGTCGAGCTCGCTGTGAGGTTCTTTTCGTGCCGAGTCGGTGATGGCGAGGCCGGTGTTATGTCCGAATTTGTTGCCTGTTCCGCCGCTGATGGTTGCAAAGTTGCCATGGGAGTAGATGGAGTTGAGGTTTTTTTTGTTGGTTTCTTCGCATGGCCAATCATGGCCATAATGCCAGGAAGAAGCAGTGTATGGAAGGCCATAGTGATGATTAAAAGTTGCTTGCGGGAAGTCTTGAACAGTAAAGATGAAGGTCGATGGTATTCTTAAGCTAGCCTCTTGAAAGGAACATCAATGTATACTTTTGACCCGCTTCCTTTTACGACGATAAGGCTTGCGAATCCAAGATCAGCATGGATACTCCGCCATCAATCAGGCAACAAGAATCTTGGTTTCACTATGTAACTGTGTGCTTCTCGTGTATCCAACCAGTTCAGGCAATCTTGTTTGAGGGGCTCATGAACTAGGACCTTTGAACGATGTGATTCAATTGAAAAATGGAAGATTATTCTAGACTTTGGGCAATTTAACAATACGCTTGATCAAGCAACCCGAGGCGCAGCATGCAGTAGAGGAACTACCGTGATCTAAAACAGTATATTGTAATTTCTTTCCAGCGTTGAATTAAGTTAAGCTGTAATTAATTGTTATTGGGCGTTGGACCCCTTCAATAGTGGTACTGGGTAGGTAATGTTGCTGATCGAATGCAAAACATATAGATCGGGGTTAAATATCATACCTTGCTGGAAAAGACACCTGCCATACCTTAGCATACCAGTCAGTGGAACGAATGCGACTCACATGTCAATACAGAAGAAGCATGGCTAACGTTGTACAGAGAGCGGTGCCTGTCTCGGCTTCAACTACTGGCATAAAAAGGTTCCATACAAAAAGCTCATGTCTCAGTTCAATCCAATAACAGTAGCGGAATTGATTCATTTTTTTAAGCCATCAAAATCTCGAGTACGTACCAACCATGAGTCAGCCACCGTGATAACAGACCTGCTTTCAGTGGCTGCAGCAAAACCTTCCTCTTACACCGCATTCACAGCTTGATAAACATCGCACAGGAGCCACGTGTCAAGAACAAAATTACAAACAACAGCAACAACAAGCACGATGAAGACCCTCGGTTTAATCGGCGGCATGAGCTGGGAGTCGACTACAACTTACTACCAAGAGATCAATCGTCGCGTTCGCGAAATACAAGGCGGCCTTCACTCTGCCCAGTGCATTGTGTTTTCCTTCGACTTTGCCAAGATCGAGGCCCTTCAACACGCGGGCAAATGGGAGGAAGCTGGCGAAATGCTCAATGATGCAGCGGCAAAACTGAAGCTTGCTGGTGCAGATGCCCTGGTTCTCTGCACCAACACCATGCACTTCGTCTCTCACGGTATCGAACCCGCCTCGAAATTACCTCTCATCCACATCGTCGATCCAACTGCCGAGGCGATCATCAAAGCAGGCTACAAGTCCGTCGGCCTCCTCGGAACGCGTTTCACCATGGAGAAAGAGTTCTACAAGCAGCGCTTGGTCGAGAAATTCGGGCTCAAGGTCATTGTGCCGGATGATAGCGACAGAGATACGGTACACAACGTTATTTACCAGGAGCTCTGCAATGGGATCATTCAAGACAACTCTCGCGAGGACTATCACTCTGTCATTTGCAGACTCAAGGCTGAAGGCGCGGAGTGTTTAATCATGGGGTGTACCGAGATTGGTCTATTGGTTGATGAGGCGGGAAGTGAGCTGCCGATATTTGACACTGCAAAGATTCACGCTATCGCTGCTGCTGACTGGGCCATGAAAGAATGATGCCTTTTTGATAGCCGACTACATCAAGCACACGCTATAGAGAAATGATTGAGATCTTAGGATTTTACGGTAAACTGAAGCGTGAGATAGTTCTAGAACACGTCTCATCTACCTAACTGGTAGCGCCTTGAACCCCTTCGCCCGCCCATGGCACTGCATCTTTGCCGGCAGTGCTACAAGCAAATCATCTGTCGCGAAAACAGACTGATGAATCGGCTGTGCAATCTCCTCTCCATCGACCAACACCTTGGTAATGAACGATGCCTCCTCCGTAATCAGACACGGCACCTGGGTAATATGCTTGAAGCGTCCCAAAGTAACGCATGTTTGAAGCTGGCTCAATATGTGCATCGCATTGTTCCGGAGCATCTGTAGCACAGCGCAGAAGTCGACAAAATAAACTGGTCCAAATCCACTGTCTCGGCAGTACTCTCGCAAGTTATCTTCGGCTTCCTGAAGGTTTGAGAGTCCGTAGATGGAGACGAACTTTAGGAATGTCAGAGTAGTAATCCGGTTATTACCATCTATGATGACTTGCCGAGAATCATGGCTCGAACAAACGGGATGGCTATTTGCTACGGCAATCGGGGCAATACGGATCTTGTCCCCAGACCTGCAATTGAGAATATCGCTAATCATGCCAATCACAATTTCTGGGCAAGAGAACTCGGATCGAGCCATATCAGAAATGTCAACGTATGAGTATACAAGTTGCTGATCCTCCGAAAAATGAACGCAGCTTGCGTTACTGACGAGAGGCTGAGAAATGAATGAAGACTCGGCCGCCAACTGCGCTGCGACATCTTCTCGTATGGTCTGACTCGTCTCCTCCAGCTCCTTCGTGAGCCTGGTAAGCAATTTCAGGAAATTATCTTTGCGGGATTCAAAGTTGTTGCGCAGACCACAAACAGGATCCCTCAAAAACGCATGGATCTGCAAGAACGATGTAACTCGACCTGTAGACCATCTTCCCTTGGTGGTGAAGTCTTTTAGAGCACGGCTCCAGAACTTCAGACTGAGGTTCTCTTCGTGGGTTTCTGTTTCATATGGCACAACTCGACCGACAAATTCGCTGCCATCAACTGGACATTTGGCAGGCGCTCTAGGCGCGTTCATCTCAAAAATGATGGCTCGACTGAGTATCTGGGACTGATTCTTGAGCGTGTTCATTTGGCGAGGCCAATTCTCAATTACGTCTTCAGTCTCAAGCAGCTGCGATACAGAAGAAGCCATTATCTGTGGAATTCTGCGCCGTGGAATGCAAGATAGCATGTAGGCCATTTTGGAGGTCTCTATGTTCGCATGTTTCTGGATCTCACTGTTCAAAGTGAGTGCTGCCTCACAATCTCCTGCGGTGGGAAACAAGGAAACAGGATCGAAGGAGAATGTGCCACGTAAGATCTTCAGTAATCTGGATTCCGCGAGGCTACTGAGCATGGCTGGGGTTGGCTTCTCAATGTCTTGGTAGGGAGTCTCAGGCACACCGTATCCCGCACTCAAGGTCTTCGTTCCAAGGCTGGAGCATCCGCACGCCAGAGGGCTCTCTGAGGATGAAGAGTACGCGGAGTCGTCACTTTGTCTCCTTGTGTATGGAGAAGTTGGAAACTCAATTGAACCAACAGAGGCAAGCGAAAATGACTTTCGTTCATTGCGCAGCACGATGCGTAAACAGTCGGCGAGCTTAAGGTATTGATCCAACCTATTATAAGCCTGCACCGACAAACGGACCACTCGCTTAGGGTATGAAGGCCAAGAGTAAACAGGAATGACAATGCCATGTTCCTTCCACAGAATTTGCTGAATGGGAAGCATACCCTCCTGCTCAGGCCCCGGAGAGTCTGGCAGCGGTATAGTCGCCATAGCAGCAATCATACTATCCGGGCACGGAATATCCACGCGGATAGCTTTGCAGACAATCCTGCGGGCTAACACTGCGAGGTCATGGTTACGACTCGTCAAGTCGCCGTACCCGCCTGGCATCACCGTATTGAGATGATCAATAGCGGAGGGAAGGGAGAGCATTGCGGAAGGGCAATAGGTCCCCATCCATCCGAAATTGTGCTCAAGCACAGAGTGCTTGGACTTGCCAACGACATACGGCGACCTGGCAATCACCAATGGTTTGATGTTCTGAGCGCGGTCTCGCCGAACGTGGAGGAAGCCAATTCCTCGTGGTGCGCACATCCATTTGTGACAGTTGGCGACGTAGTATGCGGCGTTGATATCCTCGAGGTCCAAGTGAATCATACCGGGTGCATGTGCTCCGTCGACCAAGGTGTCAATACCGCGGGACTCAAGTTCCTTGGCGATTTGTTTTGCTGGAAGCACGACACCGGTTCGGCTTGGGATATGGTCGATGACTGCAAAACGTGTGCGAGACGTGACGCCAGCAAGGATGCGCTGTGTCACATCTTCGGGGCCTGTGACAAGCAGAGGCACATCAACGACGACGATATGAGCGCCATCTCTCTTCGCAACATGGTCAAGCACCATCCGCACAGAGCTATACGCAACGTTTGTAGTCAATATCTCATCATCTGGGTCGAAGCGGAGACTCTGAATGACAACGTTCATGGCGTGAGTTGCACCAGGAAGCAGAAAGATGTCTCGATAGTCGACGTGTAGGAAGCCAGCCAGGGAGCGTCTGCTGGCTTCCAAGCCGGAGACGTATGATCTTTCGAAGAACTCGTGGGGGTTTTCTTCAATGTGTTGTCGGATGTTTTTCTGCTTCTCAACGACGGATTTTGGACAGGACCCGAAGGCACCATTGTCTAGGTAAATGATATCCTTCTGGATCTGCCACTCTCCGAAACTTTGGAGATGGGCCGTCATTGTTTCCGGACGAGACTCTTCACCGTGTTCGGTCATAGAAAAAAGGGATTTTGTCTGACCATTCATGATTGATTACGACGAGTCAGGCTCAAAAATAAGATGGTTTGGCTTTGTTTAACAAGCAGAAGGATATGGGATAAGGTCGCAACAACAATCGTTCATTTTTATTCCTCCTTCATGACCCCCATCAATTCCACCCCTAATGACGCGGTTCTAAGGTACTTCAGGGCAGAAAAAGAAAATGTTGATTTGCTCTCCATCGCAAAGTCTTACCGCCTCCATACATGCATACAGCAGAATGTATGTTTCTCATGGTATACTACGCCACTTACGGTGATGCAGTTTCTCATGTCGCTCTTCATCAAGACTAAGACTTGTCTAGTAGTTGATCCGCGTTGAATTGAGCTGAGATTTCGGTGATCATTGACGTTTACTCTTTTCTACTGTCGGTCCCTCATTTCTATCCCTCGCGGCGTGTAGATGCGGTCACATCCCAAATAGTATGCGAAAGCAAAGAGGAGGTGCTGAGACTGTTCCTTGGAGAAACCTGCATATGCACACCTTGCATGCCAAACTTGTCAAGGGCTGATTGGCCCAATGACGATGACAAGACACCGACAACCGACTCGAATTACCGATAACCAGTAACTGAGACAATTGCCGCCTAACGAGGGGGCGGGCGACGCCGATAATGCCTGTCTCACTAGGACTACAAGGGTATATGGGCCGTCGGCAGCGACATTGTTGAGGCCGATGGTCCGAACTGAGACACCTTTGTTTCAGTCCGTCGGCCAATAGCTGAAAAATAGTCAAGGATTTGGTGATATCGCTCATCTCAACATTCGTATGCGGAACCGGAACCGGTGCCTGACAAGGAGATGATCACTATGGCTTTTCGCATAGGGCTGGCTGAGCTGAGACACGGAAACACAATGTTTCAATAAACTTTGTAGACCCGACTGGCGGGCACCAACTAGTCTAAAACGACTGGGATATGGCGCGGCTTGTTTCGATGCCGTCTTTAGCGTTAACACATATTCCCTGATCCTCGAAGGCTGGAAACCCTAGTCGCAAATGCACCATTCCAATATGAAGTCCAGGGATCTTAGAAATGCTTCCCGACGACAACCTTCGCGTCACATTGAGTCAGGGTTCAGGGGTTGTGTAGACAGGACAAGGGAGGATCGGCCGATGGCTAAACAATCACTGACGGTCTGACCCCATCAACCTTGTATTGATACGTAAGTTGTAACTGTTGTGTAGAACGGGTGGCCAGTCAGGTCCGAGTATCATTTTATTCTATTTTCTCATATGTCAGTAAAGACGTTGATGCCGCCAATATTTGTACTACCAAGATACAGCGAATGCCAACCCATATACATTCCCACATTCTCAATATCGCCAATGCAATGCTTTCCCATCGCGCTCAGAAAAGCTTGAACTGGCTGGCTGAAGAGATTCCCTCTGTCCCAGTATGGCCAGAGGGCGTGCTTGCCATGAACTCAGCAGAGAACTGGCTTTGCCGTCCAGATATTATTCCACTCATGAAGAAGGCCATAGCGGACAACCTTGAAGCCTCGCATCTCTCCTACTCGAAAAACCTCGGTGGGCCGCCGGATCTTCTCGAAAATACAGCCTCTTTCTTCAATAGATTCTTCAGTCCGCGAAGTCCTGTCCTGCCCAGCCATATCGTCTGTGGTGCTGGCGCTGGGTCCATCCTCGACTGTCTTGACTTTTCGCTCAGTGAGCTTGATGAAGGCATGCTGATTAACGCGCCATGTTGGGAGGGCTTTGGGATAGCAAGTCATCTGCGAAACGATGATCGGTTGATACCAGTCACGATACCAGTTGGGCTTTCGTCCCCGGAGCAGCTCATCAAGCTTTATCTCAAAGCAATGGAAGCTGCGACATGTCGCATACGCGGTATCATTGTTTGCAACCCCATGAACCCTTCCGGGCACATCTATCCTACCCATTGGTTGGAAGCGATCCTTCAGTTCTGTGAAGAGCAGGATATTCAATACATCGCGGATGAGATTTACGGCATGTCGGCGTGGGAGCTACAACAACCAAAGACCCTAAAAACATTTTCTGAAAAAGGGCCCATTGTTTTTGAGTCCCCAGAGACAAAGTTTACTTCCGTCTTATCTCTGGATATGGAGCGACTTAAAGTAAATCCGGCTCGCATACATGTTGTCTACGCATTGAGCAAAGACCTGGGGAGCAGTGGTCTCCGACTGGTACGAACATCGTCGCAGGCTCATAGTATCGTGACTAACATTTCATGTCTCTTATAGGGCTTCCTCGTGACACAGAAGAACCCCGAGCTTCGCAATGCAATGGCCATTCTGAACAGGTACCGAGTCTCCAATGCCACATCTGTGATTGCCTCCAGTCTTTTCTCGGACCTTTTAGTCCTAGAGCACATCCTCGTTCGCAATAGAATGCTTCTCCGCAATGCCGCAGAGCTCGTTGGGGATTTTTTATCCTTCCACCGCTTTACCTTCTATCGCCCAGTAGCAGGAGTCTTTATATGGACTCGTCTTGGTGGGGAGACAGCAACAGAGGTTTCGGATGCAGAGCTTATGGAGAGTTTTGCATCTGCGAAAGTTTCTGTTGCTAGCGGTGTGCCCTTCCATGCTAGAGATAGAGGATGGTTCCGAATCACGTTTGCACTTCCTCGTGAGCAATTGCTCGAGGGACTGCAGCGCATAGAGAGGGCGATGACTTTGAAGCGTACATGGAGGCCTTCGAATGATATGGAAGTCGCGAGGTTTGTATCTGTCCAGAGGCAGAATCTGATGAAGCCCAAGGGCGCTGGATGTCTGGTCATGTAGCGGTGTATGTTCGGGGTTGATCATTAGTATTACTATACTTGTGCTGAGAATCGTTGCAATCGAGGTTTATTCTGTTGAGACAAGATGCTTCACTCGAGTGAGGCCTCTGGATTTGCTTATACGTCTGTTCGACTGCTTTGTACTCAGATATGCATATTAACCTGAACAATTACCAACGACATATCATGATACTCTTTTGACAAGCTGACGACCTTCGAATCTCTTTCTAACATATTTTACCAAACTTACTTAATCTTAATACGCAGGTTTTATGAGTTATGTTATCAGAGATGTCCAGAAGCCAGACTATGCGCAAAAAATGAGACGAGTTGATTCAATTATTTCAATCTACGGTATATAAATCCAGTTTTTGGTCCAAACATCTACAAGTCCAGGATCTCTCCAGCTTGCTCGCTCATCTGTCTCCAAAGCTTCCTTCGTTCATCGTGACCGACTTTCTTCTCCAGGTTAATCTGAGCCTGGGAATTTAACGACCTGCTTATCTCCCTTTCCAATTCCACTGTTCAGACATCATCAGCTGCCAAATGACTCGAGGGAAACCGCATTGGGGACAGTTGACTCACTCTGAATATCCACAACTGCTATTTTCCCGGTATAAAGTGAATGTAAGACATTGGTGCTTTTGTCAGTACTCGCATCGCCAACAGCATAGATGCCAGGCACATTTGTACGCATGCTTATGCGATCCACTTCCATCATGCCATTAGCCATACTGACTCCGAGCATTTCTCCAAGCGGAGACCGTTGCTCGCTGCCGAAAACCGTAAAGAGTACCTGACGCTCCACGCGCCCAAAGTCGTCAAGTTCGACTCTAAAGAGATCATGTTCAGGTACCATTGGTAAACTCGGATCCCTCTCATGTGCTCCGCCGTCTTGTAGTCTAGTGATACGAGTTATAGTACGATTATCGACTTTGATGTTCCTTCTTCGAAGATATTCAGATGAGTTTTCAGCAAACTGCTTGTCAGCTTTTGAACGGTATTCAGGCGTATCGGTGCCGTTGGCGAAAATCACAATATCGGAGTTCAGAGTGATAGCCTCGGCAGCTGCCTCGATAACCATGTCAAGAGGACCAAGAATACCCATTGACTGATCGGCATGTTCGATCCCATCGCAATAAGGGCACCAGTAGACACCCTTCCCGAAGTTCTCTTGAAGCCCAGGTGTTTCCGGAACAAGGTCTCGTAGACCAGTCGCCAAGATGACTTTCCTGGCGGTATAAGTAGAAGCTGTGCCATCTAACTCTATACTTGATACATTAAAGAATGTGTAGTTCGCTTCGGGCTGAATTCTGGTCACAGTTCCATTCATTGCACTGACAGTCGAGTAGTGGGCAATCTGTTGCATGGCAGACCACCGATAATACGCCGGCGTTACACCTGCACTCAGTCAGAAGATAGCTCAGAAGTACTGTCAGAAGAGACCAAAAACCATCAAAACCAGCAACGTCGTGCATGAGTCGCGTTGGCGCATTGCGATATTGGGCAGAGTCGATCATTAAGGCCTTGCGGCGAATGCGTCCAAGGGAGCTGAGAGCACCGAGCCCTGAAGGCCCGCCACCTACGACAATAACGTCATAATCTGTTGTGAGGGATGATAGTTCGGGAGTAGGAGAACAGGTAGCTGAGCGCAGGAAGAAAGCAGAGGTGAGCAGGATAATAGGCTTGAGCCACATCTTGACGGTTTGTTTCGAAAGCTATGAATGTTTTCTCCAAAAGTTCGAGCCCTTTCCAGATAGTTTTTTGAATGATGAATGTAAGAATGTACCTGCCAGGCGCTTCTCGTATTCCTTGACAGGATCAACAATGCCAATTGAGGCTTGACCTCATTTGCCTGCCCTTCGCTTGCTGGGATGCGGCATACCAAAGACCGGTTACTCCATATTACGCGCGGACTCCAATGTCTCAGTTGAAGGCACACGGCTGAAGATGTGATATTGTATTGAGTGCAGATCCTCAGACAAGGATGGTGAGACATGTCATAGCTGAGGCCTGGGCTAGTGACGCAGACCAAGCGCCCGGAAGTCGGCCCCTTGGTCGGCTAGGCTTGGGAAACATTCTTGTTGGTCGAGGCTAAGACAGACGGGATGATCAGTATTGCTACGTATCTGTAACTGAATGCCGGAATGCGCTGACCGCAAAGAAGAGACAAGTAGGTATGCATGCTACCTAAACTTGTGATTCTTAGCAACGTCGATCATGAAACTACAGTCTGGCAATATGCCCTCCAACACAAGGGTGAAATGGGGCTGTACCTTGAAACCACCAGCCAGGTCAATTTTTCTCTTTGAAATTCAAGTTTTTCCCCTTCCTTCTCTTCTCTCGCGATTTTGCTAAAAACTTCCATCCGTATTCGTTTTTGGTTGGTGGTACCAGGGACAATCCTCGCTGATGCGTCAGTGCGTTTTGTTACCTGTTGAGCCTGTTTCTGTATGAACCTACCATAGACCGTGTTGAATCCTTCATTTTGTCATTCCTTTTCTTTACCAAAAACAGCTTTTAAAAATATCTTTCCCGTACGTTTATTGTCTATTTTTATGTCATCGTCTCATAATTAGCCCTCTTCTTATCAACTAGACATCATGTCTGAACGGACACCACTTCTTGGGTCGGATCATGAGAACCAAAGTTATGGATGTTCTTCTCGTGATACAGCCGAGACTTCTGGGCAGGATGGAGAAGTAGCAATCATCTGCAAAGAGCTCTCCTTCGCAAGACTCGCTATGATCATGAGCACAGCCTGGCTTGGCGTTTTTCTCGGAGCAGCCGATACGACCGTTATCGCTACCCTGTCTGCCCAGATCTCCAGCGAATTCAACTCTCTGAGTCTCCTGTCCTGGCTTGCTACGGCATATCTGATAGCCAATGCTGCTAGTCAGCCAATCTCAGGCCGTCTCACTGACATTTTTGGTCGTGGACCTGGCTTGGCATTTAGCAATATTGCCTTTGCAGTGGGAAACCTCATATGTGGCCTTGCTACTAGCCAGAAGGTGATGATACTCGGAAGAGTCATTTCTGGGATCGGCGGTGGGGGTCTTATGAGTATACCAACCTTCCTAGGCTCAGATCTCGTCCCTCTTCGGAAGCGTGGATTGGTAGGAGGTATTGCAAACATCTGGTATGCTTCCGGCGCTATGATCGGTGCTTTATCTGGTGGCTTCTTGAATGACTATACCAGCTGGGGATGGAGAATGGCTTTTCTCATTCAAGTCCTTCCTTCTCTCTTCTCAGCCATCATCGTGTACAGCTTGATCAAAGTTCCACCGAAACAGTCTGACAAGTCATATGTCAAGCGTATTGACTTTGGTGGCGTCTTTTTGGTTTCTACTTTCCTGGCATCCCTCGTCTTAGGTCTGAGCTCTGGAGGAAACATAGTCCCTTGGCTGCATCCCTTGCCTATAGCAGCCATTTCAGTCTCGATATTATTATTCTCAACCTTCGTCATCTGGGAGCTGAGAGCTTCTCAGCCCATCATCCCTGTCCGGCTTCTTCTCAACCCTACAGTACTTGCTTCTTGCTTAGCTAGCGTCTTTTGCTCAGCTATTGCTCTGACCAGCATCTTTTATGTCCCTCTCTATCTTCAAGCCCGTGGGGATTCCGCCACTAACGCCGGTTTGAAGATATTACCGGCATCAGTTGGCACATGTCTCGGAGGACTCGTGCCCGGTTACCTCATGAAGAAGACCGGCAAGTATGTAGGACTGGTGGCAAGCAGTATTCTTGCTCTGATCATAGGTACTGGTATATTCGCACTTCAAGATGACACCACTCCAACTTGGATGACTTGCCTAGCCTTTTTTATCGTTGGTCTCGGTTACAATGCCGTCTTCAGCATCACGCAGGTCGCTTGCGTAGCGGCAGTAGGTCACGCACAACAGGCCGTTGTCACATCCACCACATGTAAAACTTTCAGCAGCCTTTGAGAAGAACCGTACTAACAAATTTATAGACCTTGCACGAAGCTTAGGCGGTACCATTGGAATAACACTTGCCTCCGTCTTATACCAATCAAGCCTAGACATGAGCTTGTGGGCACGGTTCGGCCATCAGCCTAATGCGACGGATGAGATTCGGCGTATAAAGGATGACCTGACCGAGATTCATCGTCTGCCGGAGGGCTGGTACAGCGGAGTAATGGAGTCACTCATGCAAGCTTTTGGACATGTTTGGTTGATGATGCTGGCTTGGGCAGTGCTAGCATTGATCTCTATCTCGCCGATCAAGCAGCACAAGCTTTTCAGTACATTGGATAGAAAATGAACAACGGTATAGAGGGTGAACTTGGAGCAAAATGCGGTTCGAAGTTATCAACATCACAGAACCAGTTATCAAAGCACTAATGTCATATGGGCGTATATATACTTCCAGTCACAAGTCTCAACTGCAAATAACATATCTAGCTCACTATTTAGGCATGATATTAAAATTTCTAACTAATTACTACAGCAAACATGCTGATACAGAACCCTGGAATATGACTCTACTGCCTCCCTTCAGAGAGTACAAGAGGCTCCAATTCATCGGCCAAGACAATCTAACTCACCAACACAGATACCAAGGGTCCTGCGAGACAACAACAAGTCAAGAAAGCGTTTTAAATAAAATCTTTTATTATAAAAAAGAATATTATATCTTTATTACCTATATTAGCAGCCTAAAGTTTAACCTTATAGGCAGCAATCGACTACATAGTTGCAGAGCTTTGTCGTTGATCATCATCGGCCGAGTGATGTAGTCTCCGGCTGTGTTCTGAACAGGAAAGGGGAAGCCAGATCTGAAACGCCGATTTTAAGTGACTGAAATATGCCCGAACAGTTAGGGTGGGTTACATAAGTTTGAGATAATATAAGAGCGCTGTTAGGTTCCCTACACTGCACTGATATGAAAGTTCGCTGCAAGCATTTTGAAGGTAATCACACGGGATACCATCGTCTTGCTTAATTCTTTAAGTGTTTAATTTAACGCCTGAGATCGGAGATTGATTATTATCTGTAATTATATCCGGCTGGATTATTATTTCTAGAGCGAATTAAGGGTGTAACAATCGGTATAGGATACAGCGTGCTTAGTAAATAATATTTATTTAGAGTACCTAAAAGATTGTCTCGATGTATAGCGTTGTAGCGAATTCCATAGTGATAGATAGCCTGGGTACATATTGAAATGAAATGGACGTTGATCTATATGTTAGGCTATTTTTGGCCCTCCTAGTTCTTACCGGCTAATAACCCGAAGCGTGCATCATAATTCGTCATACTATGGTAATAAATATGACAGTTAAAGCTATGAGCTATAATTCTATTTCATCATATAAATATCACTATTATTGAAATGTTATACACTATGATGAACTGGATGTTTTGTTTCCCGCCACAAGTCCATCATCATTCTCCATCTCTTTCCAAGCACTCTCTAAAGCATGAACCTTGACACTAACCTCAACATCCTCCGGTAAGTCAGTCGCGCTGAATATCATGAGTGTCAACGGCTCTGTGGAGAAGAAAGTGTTGGTAACACTATCAACACCATCGTTAAGGAAAGCCTCATAAATCGACCTATCAATAACACCACTAAGACTCCACGTGCCATTCTCAGTAGCGAGACTGCCAAGGGAGGTCTTATCAGTGTAGAAGATGTTATCAAATCCCTTAACACCACCGCGATCGAGGAAGAACACGGGATCGCCGCCGAGGTAGTAACCGCTCTTGATGGCTTCGTTGGTGATGGGGCTTGAGAATGTCCAGTTCATGGAAGAGGTTGAGGGGATTCCGCCGTCGGGAATGCCAGTAACGTTGACTTCCCAGTAGATAGCGTTGGACTCAACATCGGAGTAGTCAACGATGAGTGTTCCGTTGCCAAAGCTGCTGTTAGAGGCAAGCTCACGACCCAACACTGGGCTAAGATCATAAGGCTTGGAAACAAGCTTCCAGCCAACGCGCTTGGCCTTGGTGAGGTAGTTCTCACGAGGCAAACTCATGGCACTTCTCCAGCCTTCATCGCCAGTAGGGACAACGCTGGTGTACTGCCAATTGGATGCCCAAGCAATAGAAACAGGCAGCTCGTCTTCTGAAAGACCATAAAACCACTGTCCAGCGTAATTGTCCTTGCCAAAGTCCGCAATTCGTGCAGCAGCGTCAACAGCCTCAAAGTGAGTACCGTTGAACGTACCAGGGAAATACTCAGTGATAGAGCCCCCCAACGGCGCACCAGGGTTGATGCTAATGGCCATAAGCCACATATCATCTTGCTTTTTACCTTCCTCATCCACGTAAGGCATGGGGATCATGTTGGGGCACTCGTACTGGAGTCCGAGAAGGCCGTGGTGGGAGAAGTTGCTGGTAGGTGTCCAGTCCTTGAGGTTGTCAGACTCGAAGATGCCGATCTTGAAGTCTTGAGGGTAGGCAACGACCATGATCCATGAGTCATCGTAGCGAATGACTTTAGGATCGCGGAACTGAGTAGATGTGCTGTTGATGACGGGGTTGTTCGCATATGGAGTAAAAGTGTAGCCTCCATCTCGCGAATAGGCGATTGCCTGATCCTGAACGGTAGGCGATGACAGAGTCTGTGTATCGTTAGCGGTAATATTAACCGACTACTGTTGACAACTTACGTAAATCGCAACGACACCATTGTCCTGGTCAGGGAAGAATCCGGAAGTGTTGTTGACATCAACAACAGCGCTTCCAGAAAAGACATAAGTGTCTTTCTCTGGTGGGAAAAGCGCAATAGGCTGATTCACCCAGTGGTACAGGTCCTTTGAAGTTGCATGGCCCCAATGCTGGTTACCCGCGACTACATCAGTGGGATTATACTGATAGTACAAATGCCAAAGACCATCAGCATCGCGGAACATGCCATTGGGGTCATTCATGAAGTGTTGGGGAGGCGAAAAGTGAATTTGAGGACGGTATGTGCCATTGTAATCGCCTGTAATAGGTGTCCCTGTTGGTACGGAAAGAGTAGTGGAAGACTGGGCGGCACTGAGCCGGATGAGACCAGCGACGGTCGAGAACAAAAGACCTCTCATGATGATCAGGATGCAGAACTGTATCTTGCTGAGCAATTCAACTTATCGAGGATTATATGACGCTTATATACTTAAACTCCCTCATCAGCCCATACCGTCCCAACGACATCGGCACCGATTCAGCGGTTAGCGTTTTTCTTCCCCGCGTTCATCTCCAGGCAAGAAACACGCCGATCTGGAGAAGAGGTGATGTCAGAGCCATAGGTTAATCTGCTGGTTGTGGGGAAGACATGGGAAATGGACCGACTTGGCGAGGTTGTGTCGGACCGATATTCATCGTCATCGAATGGAAGACGAGGTTCAAGTTCTGAGTGTAGATCTTGTCTTGAATGGTGTTGCAGTTGGAGTTTGCTACCCCACATCAACGGCCCGACAGTTGAGATGATAGAAGTTTATCGTGGGAGTCGGATCATGGGGAAAGTTTAAGTGAGGTGAGACATTCCGAGATGAAGCGATTTATCACCGGTAGTTGAGATATCGTGCAATAGAGTGAATATGAACATGTATTTATTGTAATGGCTTGATCGATTGGGCATTTTTGGAGGATGGACAGGGTGAGAGAGGCATTAAGATGCAGGGTAGTTGGTGGGGTTGACTGCAGGGTTGGTGATGACAGTAACATTGCACCGGATACTCGGAAAGAGAAATATGCTCACATGATGAGAAAAGAACAGTCTTGTATTTAGTAAAAGAAAAGAGAGAGAAAAAGTACATGCAAGAAATATCCACAAACTCCAGGCACCTCTATCCTACCTCGTATACCGGCCGTATTGCTCCTAACGACAACATCCTTCATCTGCTCATCACAACAGTATCACCCTTGTCATCGCTAAACTCCACCTCCAGCGCCGTCAAAAATTGCTTCAATCCCTGCTTCTTCGCTTGACCAAACCATTGGAGCACCTTTGCAGTGGGAAGCTCCTTCAACTCTGGCAATTGCTCGCAGAGGTTCGCAAATTCACCCATGCTCAATGTCTTTGTGCCTGCGTGCTCGATGATTTGTACCCCGTCTTGTGATTGAGCAGAAGGCTGGAGAACCGTGTCGACGATGCAATTGGAGATCTGATCAATTGGCGCGAAATGGCCTGTACCGTTCAGACCCGTGGGATCGGGGCGCAGAGAAATGGCTTTCGCGAGACGAAGAAGCTCATCTGACGTGATGGTATCATCATCACCAGTCTGCCTATCTCCCAATGTTGGTGCTGGGCGGTGAATAAACACAGGCAATCCAGCTCGCTTCGCAGCATCACGCAACAATCCTTCAGCAGCCCACTTTGACGCGACGTATCCATCGCTGCCATCGACAGGTGGATGTCCATCTCCATACCGTTTGACAGCTCCACTGGACAACACGTGAACTGGAAGACGGCGGGGAAGCGCGAGACGAACGAGTTCCGCGACGCTGGTAACGTTGACGGCGCGAAGGGAACGGTAATCATCCCAGAAAGAACGATTGGCACCGCAGTGGATGATCGCGTCGACGCTGTTGCTGAGACGCGTGAAATCAGTGTCGGATAGACCGAGGTTGGGTTGGCTGAGATCTCCACGCCACAGAGTTACTTTGTCGCTGGGATCCGTGATTGACGCGTCGCGGACAAGACAGTGTATCTCAGACACTTGAGGAGACTCGGCAAGATGGGACATCAAATTTCGCCCCAAGAACCCAGTCGCGCCAGTGACAAGAACGCGTAGAGAACCATCCGCCTTCTGCGACGCGACCTGCGGTAAGCTCAACCATTCATCGGGAATCTTGGTCTCCCTCTGCCAATCGATATCACCACCACTGACCTCATCATTCACCAGTGCTGCCATCTCACGAAGCTTACTAGCAGCCATGAGGTTCAAAAGCCTAAGCGACACGTTGAACTCCTTCCTGATCATGCCCTGAAGTTTGATCAGTAGCAGCGAGCTTCCGCCGACGTGGAAGAAGTCGGTGTCTGCTGTAATGGCAGCAGAGGCACTCGCTGGGACCAGAGTCCTCCACATCTTCGCGATCTTTTTCTGTGTCTCCGACTCAAGACTGCCTTCTTCAACAGCTGCGTCATTGGCCGTAGCGGGAGTGAAGGCGGGGAGAGGGAGGGCTGCGATCGCGTTGCGATCAGGCTTCTGATGCGCTGTCAATGGGAAGCGATCAATTGGCATCATCAAAGCTGGGAGCATGTAATGAGGCAGAGGGAGTTTGGAGATGATCTTGCGCAAGAAGGACTCTACTTCAGGACGACGAAGACTCTTGTCAGCGACAACGACATGGGCGACAAGGAAGCCGTCATCATCATGGTCCTCATGTCGATCCTCAGGGTATCGTAGAGTCACAACAGCATCTGACAGAACGCCATGAGCTGCGCTCAAGATAGCGCTCTCAACGTCGCCCAACTCAATCCGATAGCCGCGCAGCTTGACCTGGGTACCGCCCTCAATAC